TCATATTTCTAGGTGCAAGGGGTCCGTAATTCAAGATATTCACACTTTAGACCCTCAAGTATTTGAAGCTTTACTTCGTGATCAAATGGGCTACGATTTCAGTGGGCCTGTAACAGGCTCGTAATTAAATATTGTAATAACCGATTGTATTCATGTGGTGGGTCTTAATTCTCCAACCTAATGCACGGCTTGACCAACAGTCCTCAATATACAAATTGCTTTGTATTTTTTTTATGCAAATCCTTAGTATTCATAACCACTTTTGTCATTTTCAGAAAAATGAAAAACCAAATCATCTTACTAAATTCCATTAAAAAGTGTATGTTATATAGACAATTGTAATACTAGTATATATATATATATATATATATATTCTGCAGAACAGTTGAATCATTCTTTTCTTTGATGTTGTTGAGGTGGTTGCCTTTGCCCCTCCGGATAGTGGGAGACAATACTTTTCAGAATTTTATAACCGGAAAAACAATTTAATCTAAATTAATATGAAGTTGTCCTACATAAACTATGTAAGGAAACAGTATACAATAAACTTTTTATATATCTCCACATTTATAATCACAAGATATTATGACTTCTTGCTTTGTCTGATTAGGTATTCTTGCACCCGAAGGACATGTCTCTTTCGTGTTTAATTAGTGTCAAAAGAAATTGAACAACCATTTAATAAAATATAATATGATACCAATCTATGATTCATCATCATATGCATGATGCAAAAATATCTAAATATACATGAGTTGTGGACGAAAATCGCTAGGGTGTTTTTTGTGATGATTGAATGATCATGTAACAGATTATAAATGACATAATTTTTTGTTTGAGATATTTCATATTATTCAGATGTAAATAAGCTTTGGTGTCAAGAGATTTTAGTTTTCAATTGACATACATCCAGGATTTGGTATGTGAAAATAACATTAATGAACATCAAACAAATATTCATTATACATCGACCCCTAGATTTATAGATTTTGGAATAATATAGAGAGCTGCCAGTTGGCAATGTTTCATAAGGTCTACACACGTTCAAGTATATGTTTGGAACGTATCTGCTTCTTGAATTTATGTTTTAGCTTCTATGATATATTTGGTATCCACGTAACTGCACGGGTTTCTGTTTCAAGAACTATTCAAAATAATATGTAAATTGGTTAAATAACAATCGAGAGACTAATAGTAACCGTGTGTAATCTATGTAATGACTAATAGTAATCGTGTGTAATCTATGTAAAATCGCTCTTGAAAGAAATTTAATTACGGTGACATTATGCAAGTGAACATTTCGATCGATGTTCGTAAGTCTAGCTAGCAACCACATTTGCAGCTGCTCAAGCCTCTTAATTAGACTTCAAAGCTAATTCTAGTTAATGTTTCATCTCCCTCTTTTTAAACACTGTTTTTGCATTTATACAGAGACGAAATAGTTATCTAGATTCGTAATTAGCATTTCAACAAAAAAGCTATCAAAATTTTTCATTTATCTAAAATCGTTATAGATATCCTACTTTATGACGGGAAAACATATAACTTTGGAGTATATGAGTTAAAAACTATTTTGAATAAAATTTTACATTGCAAAATTGTCCTTCTGGAAAGGTTAATATTTTAGTATTTTGCATTGATGTATATGTTAGTTGTTTATCATGACTAGATTAGACCTGGTTTGCTTGGAAAAAGTATAAGACCTTATAATTACATTTATGTGAGTGTTATTATCTCATCTACCTAATTTTGTATCTTTTGGGTGAGAAAATGGAGTCGTCGCCTCTGACAAGTTTTCTTTCTATTGTTAATTATACTATACAGTTTCTTAATAATCGGCAAAAGAAAATAAAATGAAATCATTTATTATATGTAATCAATTATGAGGGTCTACAAACATTATCAAACATCAGGAAAATGATTGATTACATAACTAAAAAAAAATAACCTCTTCAGATTAGAACTATTTTTGTCGAATAACCATTTTGTTATACTTATTTTCGACATGCTTTCATGATGAAAAATGTTTTCATAACTAACATGTAGAAATTCTAAACTGAATAAATAACTTTTTTGTTAATTAATAATCTTTCAGTGACATATTCTGCTAATTTGTTTTGTTGACAGCATTTAGATCAAAGTATTTAACACGTCAACTTTCTTTTGTTTAATAGTTTTTTACTTGAAATTAGTTGAAATAAACCGGAAAAAAAAAAATGGCAAAATATCTTTTATGTTAAAAAGAAAAAAAAAGATATAAATTATGAGCCGTCAATAGCACAGTTGAGTAGAAGAATCCATTGTTAAGTCCTTTTCTTTAAACTAATATCATTAACCACTAAAAGAACATATACTATATGAAAAAATAGGAATAGGATGCAAGAGAATATATGAGCAAATGGAATTTACGTTTTTAATAGCTTGTTACAATTTAGAATAACCTGAAATTTACATGTGATAAACGGATGTAACAGAAATCACAGTGGAACTGGTCAAAGTTTTGGCAGTTCTAACTTCTAAACATAATTTAAAGCAAGCCACCAAATCTAATTAATTTTATTTGGAGTTATATAGTTTCCTAATTAAAACTTGATAAATAATTTTCGTTCCACAAACATACAGAATCAGCTAGGTCTCTTTCATACAACAGCTTCAACCAGGTCCAGAAGAGCATAGAGTTTAAACAAAATACGGAAAACTATTTAAAAAAACTAAAGGATGAGAATATATCTCCTTAGACTAATTAATGACTCTCCTAGTCTCCTACGAAAAGGACTTTGAACTAACTAATAGGATTTTATTCACTTTTAGCTCAATAATAATTAATTCTTTAGAAAATAGTTTATTTTATTCTGGACGGCATGATATTAGATATATATAAACAATCTGTTATGAATTACAGAAAGATAGTGGGACGACAAAAAAAAAAAAGAACTACTAGATGACATTGTAAAGTTACACATAATTATATAGCTCTTTGTATCACTGAACCAACATAATGATTGGATCGCGATTTTGTATAAAAAAGTTCCTTGAGTTGCCAATTTCTATCTTATTATACAGTTGCTATTTATTAAACTAGTGATTCCATTTAACTACTATTCTCTCGATTTCAAATTTTCAACTTATGTATTGTTTAACACTATTCATGTGAAATAATTAAAGGAAAAGGTTAAATGTTATATAATTTTCTTACAAAAAAAAAGTGACTATTGAACTTATAATACTCCAATTTATCATGTTTATTAATTATAAGTAGGTGTAAGTAGATAATTTGTTTTCCTTAAAAAGTAAGCAGATAATTTCATATGAAGGGTTACAATGAATTCATAAAACGACATATCAGAAAAAAAATAATTCAAAACGATATTTATTGTGAAGTGAGAACTATATATATGATCTAGATCCATGCATGCGTAGTATAGTTATAGAAACCCTTCACAAAGTACATGAGAAAAATGGTGTATATTAGGCGTGGAGTGTATGTTTCTGTTTTTTTTTTTGAACATTTAGGCGTGGAGTGTATTTTGTTGTTGTTGTTGAACATTTAGGCGTGGAGTGTATTTCAAATTCGAAAAATAAAATATGGTGTGTGTATTTAAATGGCAACATGCATAAGCACTAGGTCGATACATATAGATGCAGCTTATAACACTAAGCATGTGATCCTCGAGAACTTCACAGAAGATGTTAATTCAATGTCTCAACGATCTAAATTTAGACATTTTCTATCATCAGCTTATATATGAAAACAATTATTTGTTCTTACAACTTGCGTTTTAGTCTATTGTTGTTATCTTATAAAACTCTAAATTTAACTTGAATATATATATTTTAAACTCTTTAATTCCATTTACCATTTTCAAGCCTACTTTTGTCAAAATAATCAAACTTTAAATTAAAGAAACAAGTTTTTATTGAGGATCGGGATTCGGGAGTAATTACAAATGGGTGTGGGTTCACTAACATCGATGAGGAAGAAGACAGAAAGTATTAAGAAAAGGATAAGAAATGAACAAGTTTTTTCCATAATTGGCGCGACACGTGCTGTAAATATAACTCATCTCTTCTGTAATTAAAACGTTGCTTCTTACCCGCGCAGTTCATGGGTCAAATCCTAACAAAATTACTCTCTGTAATAAAATATCATTGAAATGGACAGAAAAATAAAGAAAAAAATAAAAGCAGAAAGAGAGATTTAAACGGGGAAGAAGAGACTTGGGACGGATCCGAAGAAAACGGATTACTTAAGAATCAGTGGTGTGTGCGGTTCTTAATTATCTCTTAAGATCTCTCTCTCCTTTATTTATTCTAAGGGATTAAAATTTTACTTTTATTGACACGAAAAGACAGAGAAACAAAGAGAGTCGAGAGGCAGAGAAGAGAAAGACGAACAGAGGATTTTTCAAAGATCCTCTCTCCTTCCTCTGTTCTTCGCCTTCTTCTCCTGGTTAGTTTCCTTGATTTGAAATGAGAAAGTTTAATCCTTTTTTAATGGGTCTGACTTCTATGTTAGAAAAATGATTTGAGTTTTGATTGATCTCCAAAAGCAATGCTTAACTGTGTTCTCAAGATTTTCTTATCTTCCACGTTTCAAATTTCAAATGCTGCGTTTTTGGGGTTTGATGTCATCGATGTTTGTTAAATGTTAATTGAAAAGATTACAACCAATTAAGCAGCAAATTTATGAAAAAAAAAACTTTTTTTTCTCTCTTTTATGAAGGTCTTGAAGATACATGAATCAACATCCCATTGTTATGAATGTCGATGCATTCTCTTATGTATACATAAGTTCTTACAGGTGACATCTCAGGAAGATAAAAAAAAAAGTAAAAGATTCAATCTTTTGCATATGATTTTTGATTTCAGATCATCATATATTGGATGTGGTGGTCTTATTCATTCTTATGTCTTGATTGTTCAACAGGTTCCATAAAAGGAATTTTGATTCGTTTGAGCTTAAGCTGGTGAATGTATTACAAATCCTCCAAAACAAAAAAATGGGTGGCTGCGTCTCTTCCCAGAGAAAACTCAGCAACAGGCTTCATCAGAAGAAGCATAAACGTGGCAGATCTGGCAAATGTCGGTCCAAAATCTCGGCTTCGATGCCTGATGTTCCTATGAAACGCATGAGCAATGCGAGCGTCAGAGATTTTGCGGTGAGCGAATATGTTCATCTTGATTTCGAGAAAGGCGCTGCCAAGATGATGTGTAAGAGAGCTGAGATGTCTAATGCGAACTTCCATTTAACTCAGCTTCAATGGAACTGCAGCCAAATGGATGGAAACCGTAAGAACATATTTCTAAAAAGAAACTCTCTCAAGTTCTTGAATTCTGTCTCATTGAATCTGATTAGTTTGTTTTTTTCTCTGCTTCCAGGAATATCACATGAGGAAGCTTGGTATGATTCATTTAGTTACATTGATTCTGATTCTGATGATGGATCAAACAGTAGTGTTTTCGAAGGTAAACGTTTTTTCCGAACAAAAGCAACCTGAGACATTGGTTTGTGAATGAAGACTGTGTCTGAAAAAAACATCATCTTTCTTGCAGATGCAAATCCTTCTGCAATGGGACAGGTGATTCAGTACGAAGAGTTCTACGAAAGTTACCTGAAAATAGATGGAAACAAAGGTGAGTCATACTCAAGCAAGAATGAAGTTAGCATAAAGAGAAACCAAGTGGCTGATGAGTCTCATCATGAAACTTTCAAGACTACTACTTGTGAAGATCATCAAGATCACAGGAAGAAATCATCAAAAGTTGTTATGGTTTCTGTGCGAAGAACGTCTATTGATAGAAAATCAACAGCATCTGAATACTGTAAGAACATAAAAAAAGGATCAAATCTTTTCAATTTTTTTCATTTTTGAAACCTTTTTAGACTCTTTCTGATAATGATGTCTTTAAATGGGTATGATCAGCTCCCGCTGAGAAGCTTTTGTACCGACCAAAAGCCGGTTCTGTGATTCAATGTTCTTTGGGAGAGAAACTTACCAGTCAAGGAAGCTGGTCAGAACTTTCTCCATCTAGTTTCAAGCTCCGTGGATTGAATTTTTTCAGGTCAGGATTCAAATTTCAGATCAAGAAAGTAGACAAACAGTCTCTTTTTGTTTTGTAAAGTCAAATCTAATTGTAATGTTTATGTCATTTGCAGAGACAAACAAAAGAGTCCTGCACCAAATTGTAGCCCTTACATACCAATTGGAGTCGACCTTTTCGCGTGCCCTAAGAAGATAAAACACATTGCTCAGCACATTGAGCTCCCTAATATGAAACCGGCGTCATCACAAGTCAGCGATATCCCAAATCTATTGATTGTGAACATCCAGCTTCCAATGTATCCAACCTCCATGTTTGGTGACTATGATGGTGAAGGACTTAGCTTAGTCTTATACTTCAAACTGAATGAGAATTATCACAAAGAAACCTCATCTCACTTTCAAGAAACCATCAAGGTATTTTATGATAATGGGTCCGGTCCGGTCCAATCCCCTTTTTTGGTATATGTTTCTGTAAATAGAAATCTCAAAAGATTTGGATTTTGCAGAGATTTATAGATGATGAGATGGAGAAAGTCAAAGGATTCACAAGAGAATCAACAGTTCCATTCAGAGAGAGGTTGAAGATCATGGCCGGTTTGGTGAATCCTGAGGATCTTCAGCTAAGTTCTACTGAGAGAAAACTCATCACAGCTTACAACGATAGACCGGTTCTTTCTCGTCCCCAACATGATTTCTTTCAGGTTAGATTACAAATCTTCTTATAGTTTTCAAGCTTTCATTTCCAGAGCTTTGTGTATTAATGTTATGTATGGGTTGATCAATTGGACACAGGGACCAAACTACTTTGAGATCGATCTGGATATACACAGGTTCAGTTACATATCTAGGAAAGGACTCGAATCTTTCAGGGACAGGATCAAGAATGGGATTCTTGATCTGGGTTTAACTATTCAGGTACTTGAAAGTTGAAACTCTCCCAAACTTTTTGGTTGGAAGGTTGTTTCGTTGGAGTGTAAATCAAGTAAACGTTTTGTTATTTTTTTATGACACAGGCTCAATCACCAGAGGAACTTCCAGAGCAAGTACTGTGTTGTGTCAGGCTGAACAAGATTGATTTCGTGAATCACGGACAGATTCCAACGCTTTTAACTAACAAACAATGATGAGTTTCCAGATCACAGAGAGAAGAAAAGATTCAATCAATCAATCAATGAGAGAGCAAAGAGACAAAAGCAAAACAGAGAGCCTTTTTTCACATGTTTTGTATTGGAAGAGACGTAAGAAAAAGAAACGAAAAAAAAATATCAATGTCTTTTTTGGAAACCATAGAAACAAGATTTGTTCTGGAATTTATTTGATCTCATGAAAAAAGATTCATTTGTACAGAACGTCAATGAATTATTCCTCCATTGTTCAAATCCCTAAAAACAAAAGTTCACTAATCAATGACTATGCGAGAAACAAAAAGCAAGCATATTTTGGGTCAATAATAACTAATACTGTATTATGTAATAATAATATAGTAATCAACAAATAAAACCAAAGTTTGATATTACAACAGATTATTTCATCCACAAAAGGTAAAAAAAAACCTATAAACTGAAACAATAACACAAAGATACAACACAAAACCCCCCCTGTAATTTTCTTCCTCATGTACAAAAGAATTCACATAAGAAAACAGAAATCTGAAAACCCTAAAAAAAGCTTACAAGTGTTACACCAGAACAACCCCTTCCTCAAGATCTTTCTCTTCCCTGCAATGCAAACTTCTAGATTTCTCAGAAAGGTGTAATATAGAAAAGCTTTATCATGAAAAAAAGGTCAGAGTAGAATTTGAGTTGATAAAGTTGTCTTCTCTCAAGTTGTTTGCTCTTCTTTCAGCCTTAGACGCGCCACGTGCTGCTGCTGCTGCTGCTGGTTTAAATTAGCCAAACCGCCATGTCGATTCTCTGGCCTTAACTGTGCCGCTGCAGCTGCGTGGCTGCTTGTTTTAGCTGCTGGAAGGTCATGGTTATGTTTGCCTTCATATGTTGTTACTACAGCTTTTGGATCCGTTGCTGCTCTCTCTACATGTTTCCTCACTCCACATCCCTGTGTTGTGCACTTGTAGTAGCTCCTAAAGACCAAAAAGAGAAACATTAACAAGAATCTTCTAAGTGATCATCATTAACTAGACCAAATAGATGGTTTAAATGTCTTACCTCGGATAAGGATTTCCTTTGACGACTTTCTGTCCATATTTGCGCCACCTATATCCATCATCTAATAGATCAACTTCACTTGTCGTTTGGACAATTATTCTAGGCTCTGTCACGGTCCTATGTGAAGCAGTAGCAATAGCAGTAGCAGAAGCAACTGGTTCTGAAACCCGAACTTCTGTGCTTCTGCACATTCAAATGATCTATCTCATCAAAAACTGGAAAACAAACAAAATGGATAATCAATCATCATCAAAGCTTTATATACCTTCTCTTGGCATCAGGCTCGTCTTCAACTTTCTCTCTGACACCAGCTTCTCCATTACCGACTTCTTCGCTGTCGCTTGCCTCAGACATTTGCTCTGTTGTAGCTTGACTTGCTGCTTCATGTTGTTCCCTCTTAGTCTTGCTGAAGCTACTGGTTTGAAACTGCGATGCCGTCACCTCAGAGCTCCCGCGATTGTTATTCATCGAACTCCCGTTTAGATCTTTGTTTCCCCGCTTAGTGTTCTGAGGAGGCTCGTGATTGTGCTGGCCTTTGTAGATGATCTCAGTGACTTGTCCGTCAAGAGATCTCTCAACCTTTTTCTTGACAGGGCATCCCGGATTAGTGCACTTGTAATAGCTTCGAGGAAACTCGCTGCCTTTCACTTGCTTTTGCCCATACTTTCTCCAGTTGTATCCATCATCAGCTGGCTTGTCAACGTTCAGAGGCTGCTGTGACCTGTGCTCGATGATCGTTGCATCTGAGGTTTCTCTTTGAGCTGCAAGTGAAGAGTTTGGAGCTGAGGTCGGGATCTGAGGTTGACCAGATGAGAATGTTTGAGCCTCAGAGGAAGGAGGTTGCATATTGGCGTGGGCTTGAACTGCTTGAGCAGTGACTTGAGCTAGTGCTTGCTGATGTGTCATTCCATATGATCCCTGCAACATTGTTAGAGTTAGATCTGAGAAAACCAATCTGAGCACGCATCCCAATATGTCGACAGATTCAGAGTTACAAAAACACAGAAAAACAAAACAGACACCAATTACCAAAGATAATACTAAAGGCCTGTCTAGAGGAAACAAATCATTCCAGAATCAAACAAATTAAGTCAAAAAGAAGAGGATTTTTGGATACGGTACCAAGAAATCTTCCTGAGGATTTTATATGTAATCCCAAATGTTGAGATGTGTTTGATTCACAAGCAACTTTGGTTTCTCCCTTGATGATCTTCTTTCTATCGAAGTTCCTAGTTCCTCCTACCCAAACCTCTGTAATAAACCTCAATTTCAACTCTAATCTGATTTCTCCAATTTTGACCTAAAATGAACAAAAGCTTAAATGTTTTCTTTCTCCTATATTCCAACAAAATGGTTACAAATGTCTATGATTTGTTGGACTTTACCAAGATTTGCTAACAAAAAACGTGTTTCCTTTTTCCTGAGTAGCCAACCAAGCAAATACAAGAAACAGCTCAACAAAGTAACACAAAAACTTTCGGTTTCCAAAAATAGATTTTTAAAACTTTATCCCAAATAATAAAAAAAAAGAAGCAAAAACGGTAGATGAATCTTAAACCTGAACAGGAGAGAAAAGGCCTAAGAAGCTCGGTGAATCTAACAACATCGCCGGACTTAAACCTGCCGGTACGGTGAACATCGACGGAGACTGCGAAACCATCAAACCGGTGGGTCTGTTCTGCTTGAATCTCGGGTCAACATCACCACTCGAGCTATTATTCCCTTCACTAACCGTCGCGGCAGCGGCAGCGGCTGAGGCAGCAGCTGCAGCCGCCGGAGAAGCCATGGCTCCGGCAAGAAGCTGAGAGAAAGACCTAAACTCATCGGAATCGGAGAACATATTTGAGACCAGAGTCATCGGACCAGGGCTGAATCCAACTCCACCGTTGAAGAACATCTCACTAAAAGGCCGGGGAGGAAGAGATAGAGTCGGCCGCGTCGGAGCTCCGGTGGACTTCGATGTCGACGTAAGTTCTTCCTTTTCCGACATCGATCCCCAAAATTAACAAACAGAAAAGGGGAAGAAGAAAAAGGAAAAAAAAAACCCAAATAATAATCAAAACAAAAAAAAAAGAAACTTTATTTTCTTCTCTTACTAAAATCCTTTTTGTATATATCTGTCTGTGTGAATCCGTGTCGTGTTTCGCTACGCTTTTTTGCCGTTTTATTTTTCTTTTTAATCTCTGTGGGTGTTTGTTTTAATGGAGACTTCGAGTTTTTTTCTTTTCTGTTCTTTAAACCGGATCTGGAAATATAAAAGATTAAAACTTTTTTTTGTTCTCGCAGTATAAAAAAGTCCACGCTGCAGATATGTAAAAGAAGCTCCCTCTCTCTCTCTCTGCTCCAATTTCTTTCTTTCTTTTCTTGCGTAAAAAGTACAACACTAATTAAATTTATATAAATGAGTAATGTTCAGAAAATGAATGAAAACACGTTTTCGAAATGTATATGCTAAACCGTTATTTGCACAGGAAGTAGAAAACTGGAAAAACTGTGGTTTCAGACAACATTCGACACTGGAAGTTTAATATCTGTGTTTTAACTAGTTATGTTTTTTTATCAAAAAAAAAAAAACTAGTTATGTTTTAACTATAGCTTAGGTCAATATCTGTGTTTAAAGAGATAATGTTTTCATTTTTAATAAATAGATCAGTCATTGTAAATTTTACAATATTTTAGATTTTAAAAAATATTTTAAACATTCTGAGAAGATAAATTAATTAAAATTCATGTACTATTACACTTTTAACATTTTTAGAAAAATCAAATCGAAAATATTCAAATAAAAATCAATTGTGACAACAATAATATTAAGATATGATATTAATCTCAACCCAAAAAAATTCGAAAGTTGTACCGAAGCGATCTACTTAACTATTCGATTTCAGTTTAGGTTTCACCTTTACAAAAGCGTCGGGTCTTGTTGTATTGTACGATGAACCTGGAGTGAAGAGGCAGGGACAAGGCCACAACTACTCCACGTTGTACGAACAGGTGGCATTCCTTCGTTAAGGCCCATTTTGTATCTCAATGGGCTGTCGAATAAATCGTCTGAGAGAGAATATACAAAAATGGCATATAATTAGTATATAAACCGTATAAATACATGTCTACTTATTTATTTATGCATTATGAGTATGACTTTCGGTAGCTATCAAACAAAAAAAAAGAGTATGACTTTCTGTAATATCGTTTCATGCGACCGCAAATAAATTTTAATATAACAGTTTGTTTTGGTGGACTTTTGGGTGTAAATTTGTAATAGGAGGAAGGAAACGTGAGGTGAAGGAAACAAAGCAAAACAAGCTTTTGAAGAGACATTTGACTTTGCAGGAGCAAAAGATAATATAAACATTCTGACGAATTAGGTGGGACACACGTAGGCTCTAGTGGTAAATTCCTTTCATTTATTGCCAAAATAAAATATGATTGCTACAATATCTAACCTAAATTTCGTAATTTTGAAATCAACCGGACTCTAAACATTTCCGGCTTACAACCTTAACAATCTCTTGCAACAGCGGTTGAGCCAGATAGTAAATGTTTCATCTCCCAACTATATACTCTGTTCTGATCCGTATAGTTCATTAATTATGTTCAATTTTACTGTTGGGAAGCCAAAAATTCAAACAACATGAAGAAGAAGAAGGAGTTGAAGACGATGAGACATTCATTAGTAACAGAGGTTTTTAAATTCCAAAGTAGAGAAACCAAAACACAAGAGAATCTCTGATGGAGAAAGAGAGAGGGAGTCACATAAATTATAATTAAAAAGGTTCATAAAACAGTGACCTCCCCTGTAAACGCCATTGTTGATACACAAAAGCTTTTGTCGTTTTCACTTGGGACCAATGTCCTTGAGGGCATTGATCTGTTCTTCTCCCATCGCTGACATCACACTCACCACTAGATCTTTTCCATCTTCAAACCCACTCTTGATCTGTATTCGTTTCACACCAATCAGGTCACTACTTTTTAGAGAATCATTTTTATCAGAGTCGTCAACATTCTTAATGTATGTGATGAAAGATGCTAAAACATAACCTGTTGGAGCAGAGCATCATCAGTAGGGAGCTTAAGGTCATCCTTAGTGCTACCATTGTCAGTCAACAAGCTGACCTGATAGATGATATTACGATAGACCCACAAGTTATTATACAAGTTACATTCAAATATCATAAAAGGGGACAAAGGAAGCACACATACATATCCATCTTCAGAAATGTCAATTAGCTGATAATCAGTACGGTTGACGTGAGGAACCTGAAACCCAATTCAACAAAAAAAAAAACAGATTAAAAAATCTCAAATGCAGAGAATCAAAGACACTAACAAACCAAAGAAGCTCTCTCACACATACATCACAATTATGGGAAGAAGGAACAATATCTTCAAGCTTCTTGCTGGTGAAAATGTCAATAGCAACAAAGTGACATTTAGCATGACCATGCTTGCCAGTCTTTGAGGTTGAAACCTCAACAACCTTGCAAACACAACATTACTAGTTAGATCGTTTCCATCTCTTTCTCTTGTTAAGGAATCACAGGTTTGAAAAAAACACACCAAAGCATGCAAGTACTAGTGTTTAATTATGCACATGAACTAAATCTCCTGAAATCGTTCTTGTCAAACCAATTCAGGTTACAGATAAGAAAGGATCGTAAACATGACCTTATCGAACGAAATCGAAGGTACACAGACTGATAATTTGATCCCCCCACAAAAATAAAAAACCAGAGTGCATATAAGAGGGAAAGTTAACAGGGATCACAAGACAAATCCAATAGAATCACCGTGGAGATACAAACGAAACATAAGCAGAGGGATGAGAATAATCGACAGATCTAAGATCAGAGGAAGGAAATGAACCTTGCATGGACGACCCTTGATAACGATGTAACCGTTCTTACGGATGGTTCCAGCTTGTTGCGGGTAGGTTTTGGACGCTCCGGCGTCGCTAGACTCAAAATGATGCTCCTCGTCCGACATGGTTGCAGCGAAAACGATGAGGGAGCTTCGACGAGGAAGACGATACAATTACTTTTACGGTAACAGATTACGGATCCAAGATGGTGACGACGATCGACAAAAGCTTTTGGGCTTTTATACCAAAAGGGCCTTTCTAGGGTTGTTTATTTTTTTTTCATTTTGTTCTTTCAGATATTGAGATGGGCTCACTTATTAAAGCCTTTAAAATAAACAAACTAAATTATAGGAGCTAAGGTAAAAATCTCATTCCCAGAAGATGATTTCTCCTTGCTCCCCAACCAAACCAAGATCTTTGAGCCTTCTCTCCTGGTAATACTCAAGCACATCAAGCTCAAGCTCTCTATCCTTGAAGACCTGGTCGATTTGCTGAAGTACCTTCTTCTCACCAATCCTTATCTTGAGAGCCATTTCCATCCTAAACTCAAGCTTTCCTTCTTCCAGAAACTTCTCATCCTGCCAAAGACAGAGCAAGAAAATGAGTGATAAGTAGCTTGCAAAGACAAAGTACAAGTAATAGCTACAACATATATATATATATATATATAATATACCTCTTCAATGGTGCTGCTAAAACCAGACATAGCAGATTTGCAGGCATCTCTGACAACACGGCATATAAGTTCCTCGTTTGAACGGCTTACAGGCAACTCAAGGTGTCCCCATATGGTGTTTCTGAAGATAGATTCTAGCAAGAACGCATCCGAACCGCCGAGAGCCACAAGCCGGATGTACTGAAGCATGCCAGCGGGAAGAGACTGGCCTTCTACTATGTCAAAGTAACCGGTCTCACTCATCCCGTTTGTCTCAGCGATATCCAACTTATCCCCAAAGAACGGGTCTGATTCTGGTATCTCGATTGTTAAAGTATACGTGTTCCGGTTAGCGTTTGGTTCCACAAAACCGTAGTCTAGAGCAAGTTCTGCATTGCTTTTGTTCATATCGTACTGAATGTATACCTGTGGAAGAGATTACCCACACAAGCATTAAAGGGCTTTTGTTCTTACACTCTCTTGAAGGAGGGTAAACAAAATAAGTAACAGTGTTTGAAGCTTACCTGCTCACCTGCTTTAACATAAACAGGTGACTTCAATGAAAACAAGAGATCTCTAGAGAAGAAGCCAGCTCCTTTGATCTCATATGCATAATCTTCTGTAGTTATCGCGGGGTTGTGGTTTATCTGTTCAAATCAAAAGTGGACGTGGATAAAGATTCTTTGCTCAAAAATCTAAGCCTAAGACATTCTCTGAAACATGAAGATAACTGTATTTTCTTTGGATCATTCTTACCAAATCTGCGAGAGGGATCAAGACAAGGTTTTGGCCACGGAGGCGGGAAAAAGCCCTCGATTTTAGAATCCCAAATGCCCAGATGAAGTCATCGAGTGTTATGCGGGATGAGAAGAGAGCTTTGTTAGGCAGTATTATCTCTTGTTCCAGTTTAGAGAATTCGTTCTCTACATACTCTTTCACACCCAATGTGGTGCTCAACAGTTGAGTCCCTGAGTCAAAGAAACAGATATCACCAAATTAACAATGTTTGTTCATCAATTGCTACTACTAGTGATACAACATTACTCAGTCCAGCTACAGCTTGATTCCCCCATAAAATTGGTATGAATATAAACAGTGATCTAACTATCAAAGGGTAAAAAGATTGAACCTTTGAGCTCAGCAAGCTCCTCTTCTGACCTGTACTGGAGACATTTCACGAAGAAAGACATCTCATTAGCTACGTGTTGATCAGAGAATGAACACACAGAGAAGCTACTGCTCGATAAATAACTGATGATGATGTATTTGATGATCAGAGAAGGACAAAACCCACCAGAAGATGGTAGAATCAGTGGATTCAGGAAGAATGTCAAGATAAACTCTCCACGAAGAATCTTCTTCGTACTTCTCTCTGATTAAGAACAGAGCTACTGAAACCCACGGCTTTAACTCACTACATAAAGGTCCGATTTTGGAAGCCGTTACAGTCTCTGGGTTTATCCACAGCCGCTTGGGAATCTCCAATACGACCTCGTTTCTTCCGATATCGCGCCGGGCTACAAGTCCCAGACCTTCCGGTACCACCGCGGGTTCCGCGACGGACTTCCCGGAGACGACCCCTTGGTCCCCGAGCCATTTCCAGAAACTACGAACATTTTCCGGCAGTTCTGCGCTTGATGCGGAAATGGAAATGGGTCTCACTGAAGATTTCTTTGGAAGATTTCTATTCCGAGTAAAGAGAATAGAAGAGTGTTGAGACTTTTGAATTGAAGGTAAACGGAGAAAACCCGTCGCGACGGCGACGGAAGCTGTCATGGTGGTTTTCCGTTGGCGGGTATCAGTGAAGTAGAGAGTGGATAATAATATATCACCGAGATCAGATTTTCAGAAAATCCACGGCATAATTTATTTATTTTCAGTTGAGAAAATTTTACAATAATTATTTTTCTTTTAAGAATATGAAAGGCCCATTGTTATAAATGGCCGAGGCCTACGTATACGTAAATATGTCCAGAGCTGATTTGTTTTGTAAACACGAGTGACACACTTGGCTAATTTTAGCACACAAATATATTGACAATAATTCGGCAGACACTAAATTTGTAAAATCAGTGCTTGTAAGTATGGATCATAGGCAAATGCTGTATTATCATTTATTGCCATATCCCTAACGCAATAATCTTCATCAATGTACACATCCATTATTATATTTGAATTTCAATTTATAATATGAAATAATACTTCACGCCACAGTCTCCAATCTACTAACAAATGTATTTTTTTATCGGTGTACACATCCAAGGTATACGAAAATGTGTTCCATGTTTTTGTGTTTAAGAAAGTATGCAAGTTTTTTTTATAAGAAAAATATCTTGTTATACATTCGATTTTAGGTTCGATACAATGATTTATTTGCTTGTGTGTTTGAGTAAAACGTTAAATCGCGGAGGTTTTGTCGAGCTGGACTAGCTAGTTTTAATATTAAAAAAGTCATATATGTATATATGTGCTAAGTTTGAATATATCTCGTCTATCTTTGAACAAATATGATCTATAAATTTCTAAACTTGTTTTCTAATTTTTTTTTTTGGCTTAACTTGGTTAGTACAAGAATTGTCAAGAGGAAAAGATGGGCAGTGCGACTGTAACAGTTGTTAAATAGCAGTTCAGAGTCTTAAATTTAAATTTATAATTGACTTAGAATTATCAACAGTCAAGAAGAAACATCCTAAAAATAGTTTTTGTCGCGCCCGACACGGTAGCATGTTATGTTAAAGTCAGTGAATCGCTTTCCAAATGAAACCAAGGAAAGGTCGCGCTAATAGTGCCTCCATCTTTTGTTGTCTTAGAAAAGTAGAGAGCTCAGAAAATAATGAAATTTGTTGACCCAATGCCTGAATTGTGATGTGTAGATCCAAGCACCACGTCATCCATCCATAAGTAGAAAGCTAAACGATTGCTTTCCATGTTTGTTATACTTCCTCAGCTCCATAATAGAAGATATCAAACATCAGTGATTTGTCATATTTAATTTTGTATTTATCTTTTATTCACGTATATAAATATCAACGAAACCTTTTATTTAGAACTATAGTATTATATAATTTTAGTGTTTCAAGAAGGTAAATAGTGGATGGCTAATTTATCAAGGAAAGTGAATTTGCCTTGCGTTAATTAAAGAGACACGGACATCTAATTTATATTATAGAAAAAAATCAACTATTAACTATTGTCTTCATTATTCTTTTAATAGTCTTCTTTAACTAGTTTGTGGATAAACAAACGCAATTTGTTGAACAAAAATTCTGTACAGTGTAGTCCAAATCGCCCAATTAAATCAGAGCATCTTAGGGTAAACTAAATAAATAAAAGATCATGTGAGTGAGACATTGAGAAATGACTTGACAGCTGTTGATAAATAACTGGAAGACTACTAATTAATACTATTGTACTAGTGTTGATTTTTATACAGATAACCGTTTTCGTCACATTTATGATACTCAAAATATCTTACAGTACTGATGTTGTCGGTTCAATTATCATGTTGATGATGATATACTAAAAAATGCCGTTTAAAAAAAAAAATAACAGGCTTATCATTCCAACTGAGCCCATGCAACGTAATTTACGTTTTTTGGATGTTGAAAATGAGATATAATTGTTTAATATGACATGCATTGACTTATCTTATATATAAATCTATCACATTCGTACATATATTAGATTTGCACGTAATTCATTATCATCAACCATTTCATCGCTTTACTTCTGTTAAATGACAATAATACCATCGACTTTTGAGGTTTGAGCCGCCAGATGGGTCTGGAACACTGCGACTACGGTCGTCCACCATGAATATTAAATAATTAATTTGTCCTAATTTTTCAACTACTTTTTTCATTCAACATTATATAAACGCGGTTTTTTTAACACAAGATACGATGGTGCAAATATCTTCTCTCAGTCCTACCTAACGGAATTAGCATTTAGATTATTAAAAACAAAACTTAAATTAGATATGTCGAATTATTTATAATTTGATAGTTTTTGGGTAGTATAACAACAAATACAAATATTTATGGTAGTGTTGATCGTAGTGATCCCTAAAATAAAATGTCCGGTCTCAAAATTGAAGCATAGCGTTTGATTATATACACTGTGGTTAAAAGTTAAAACATATAATAATTCCCGGTCATTCGACGCGCGCTTGAGTTGCCCTCTCTGAATACATGTTGAAAAGAATCAATCCAGTAAAGATTGAACAAATCAAAAGCTATAAAGTTAATTACTTTTAATATAGTTTTAAAAAATCATAACAACTCTCTCTCTCTCTCTAACCTCTGTTTAGGTGTTTATAAATACGATTCCTCTGCTCTGCAGACCCAAACATAAAATAGAAGGAAAAAAAAAAATCAGAAACTAAAGACAAGAACCGAAATGAAGTTCGGGAAGGAGTATTCGTCACAGATGGTGCCAGAGTGGCAACAAGCTTACATGGATTACGATTTTCTCAAAACCCTTCTCAAAGAAATCATCCGATTCAAACTCAGATCCAACAATGCAGCTCCTCGCGACGGCGCCAAGAATCATCACGACGGAGGATTAAGCCGGAAACTGACCCTGTACCGCGCGTTTAGCGGTTTGGTCTCAACGCCTGGAAGACATAGACTCACTCATTCTCACGACGTCGAGGAAGGGGTACAGTTGACGGCGACGGCGACGACGACAACGTCAGGGCCGATTCTGGTGAACAACACCGCGAGTAGCGGTTGCGAGACGACGTTCCTGATGGCGGCGGAGGAAGGAGGAGAGTACGAGTTGGTGTTTTTCCGGCGACTTGACGACGAGTTCAACAAAGTCAGTAAGTTCTACAAAAAGAAAGTTGAGGAGGTGTTGGAAGAAGCGATGGTGCTTAACAAACAGATGGACGCTTTGATCGCGTTTCGTGTTAAAGTTGAGAATCCAGATGGGTGGCCATGGGAGGAACGGACGGTGGAGATCACTCGATTGGCTTCCGACATCGCTACTTCCGCGGCGGCTATCTCCGCTTCTACTCCCGCCGGAGCTAAATCCAGTAAGCAATCATACACACATACTTTATCTACTTTTCCACCTAACTTCACTGACTTTCTGACAGTAGACTACAAAGAATTTAAAATCGGCCCGATTCTTACGTCCGGTTTAAATCATATTTGGCAGTTCCAAAACCGGATTAGAATAGGTTCAAATTAAGTTCCGGTTTGTTCAAATCGTACCGTACCGGAACTAACCAAACGGACATTTCAAATTTGCAGTGAAGGTTCGAAGTCAAGCTCATATGGAGGCTATACAGGAAGGAGGCTCGAGCAGAGCTGGGCGAATGGAAGATGACGAAGAAGAAGAAGAAGAAATCAAAGACTCGGTGTCTACCGGAGCTGGTGAAGTGAATACGAGCAGAATGAGAGCAGGGAGACCAGCTCCGATCGATGTTCTGGATCGAGTGAAGATCAACAACACCAAAGAGACGCCTCGTTCCACCATTAAAGGAGTTCTCCAGGTATCGAAGCAGACCGAGTTAAAATTCAACAGAGAAAATCTGATGAAAGTCCAGGAGAGGCTGAGGCACGCCTTCATCGTGTTTTATCAGAAGCTTCGGCTTCTCAAAAGCTACAGGTGCGTATGGGTTTACTAGGACTGGGATATTGTTTTTTTTTGTGATTGATGGGTTTTCAATCATGTTCATGCAGCTTTTTGAATGTATTGGCTTTCTCGAAGATATTGAAGAAGTATGATAAGGTAAGATTTGAGACTTTGATTTGGGTTTTTTTGTAAAGGGGTTTATTATATGACTGAAATGTGTTCGACGAAATGTCTTTCATAGATTACTTCGAGGGATGCAACGAAGCCTTACATGAAAATGGTTGATACTTCACACCTGGGAAGCTCTGATGAAGTAAGAGGTTTATGAGATCTTTTCTTAGTTTTGAGCTAATTGGAAAAGTAACCTTGTTGTGGTACTGATCTTCTCTCGATCCTCTGTTATGATAGGTTGTGCGACTCATGGAGCGTGTTGAAGCCACGTTCATAAAGCACTTTGCAAATGCTAATCGAACAAAAGGAATGAACATTTTACGGCCTAAAGCGAAACGAGAGAGGCATAGACTTACATTCTCAACAGGTAAAATCAGAAACTTTTATAAATTTGGGTTTTTTCAAGTTATTAAATTTGTGTTTGCTTATGAGGAAATTGGTTTCAGGCTTCTCGGCTGGATGCGTTTTCTCTCTTATAGTGGCTCTTGCCGCGATCATCCGCACCCGAAATCTCTTGCAGGAGGATGGCCAGAAGCAATACATGAATACTATGTTCCCTCTTTATAGGTAAGAACTTAAGAATTAATATCGAAGTGTTTGAGTTGGAATGTGTTGTTTATAATGTTGTCTTCTTTGCTGTTTCTTGGCAGCTTGTTCGGTTTTATCGTACTGCACATCGTCGTGTATGCTGCTAATATATACTACTGGAGGCGATACAAAGTAAACTATTCCTTCATATTTGGGTTCAAGCAAGGAACTGAACTTGGATACAGACAAGTCCTGCTTGTTGGTTTCAGCATCGGAGTCTTTGCATTGCTCTGTGTTCTTGCCAATCTTGACATGGAGGCAAATCCCAAGACCAAAGAGTATAAAAAATACACCGAACTTCTTCCTCTTTTCCTACTTATTGTAAGTTCCAAAAACCCATATTGTACTCAAAACCAGCCATATTTGAACGATTGCATAAATAACTTTGTGATGCTTGCAATCCACTTTTGCAGGCACTGTTCGTAGTTTTAATCCTGCCCTTCAACTTCTTTTACCGCTCGAGTCGTTTTTTCTTCCTTACTTGTATGTTTCATTGCCTGGCCGCTCCTCTCTACAAGGTAAATCAGAGATTACATAAGCTCATTGACCAATGTTGTATATTCCGGTCTTGAACCGTCCATTTTTCCTCTCCCGCAGGTAACATTACCTGATTTCTTCTTGGGAGATCAATTAACCAGCCAGGTTCAAGCCCTTAGAAGCATCGAGTTCTACATCTGCTACTATGGTTGGGGAGACTACAGACACAGAGTGAACACTTGTAATAAATCCAGTGTGTACAACACTTTCTTCTTCATAGTTGCTGTCATCCCTTACGTCTCTCGCCTCCTTCAGGTACATTAGCTTCTTCCCTCCAAAAGAGAAAAACGCTACATCTCTATAGCCTTCATTCAATAACTAAACCTGTACTCACATGCAGTGCCTGCGACGGCTGTTTGAGGAGAACAACCCGGAGCAAGGGTACAACGGACTCAAGTACTTCTTGACTATAGTGGCGGTTTGCTTCAGAACTGCTTTCAGTATCCAGAAAACTCAAGTCGCTTGGAGGATTTTAGCCGTTATCTCCTCCGCTGTAGCTGCAATATTCTGTACTTACTGGGACTTTATCCATGACTGGGGTCTCCTAAAGCGGACATCCAAAAACCGTTGGCTTCGGGATAAACTCCTCGTTCCTCAAAAGAAAGTATACTTCATCGCCATGGTGAGTCTCTTACAAAATATGTTGATTCCATCAAAAAACGATGTTTCACAGTAACTGATGTTTGGAACATGTATCAGATTTTGAATGTCTTGCTGAGATTTGCGTGGATCCAGACGGTTCTGGATTTCAACTTCTCCTTCATGCATAGACAGACGATGGTTACCGTTGTTGCTAGTCTTGAGATCATCCGTCGTGGTATCTGGAATTTCTTCAGGTTGGAAAAAAACTTTCAAAACTCATATTTACTGATTCCACTGGCTGTGTTCCGTTAATTATTCAGTTAGTAACCCTTTGTGTATGTTTTGTTCGTGGAAAAACAGATTAGAGAACGAGCATTTGAACAATGTCGGCAAATACCGAGCCTTCAAGTCCGTTCCATTACCGTTCAACTACGATGAAGATGAAGATAAAGACGATTAGCAGTGTCACAATACCGTGAATATACTCTTTAGCTACCAAAGTCCATCACAGTGTTTACACTGTGTGTCTTATCTTTTTCTTCTCCATTTTTCTTTAGTGGTAAATCGTGCAAGGAACATATATATACAAAATTCTTCAAACTGTTCATTTCAGTTTATAAGATTCTTTCTATTCAGCTTCTCCCTTGGTACATAATTTGAATCGACTCTGATCCTAGTTTGCAACCGAACACACGTGAACAAGAATAGTTGAACAGACTTTTGTGACAATGCTGTATTGCTGTGGACTTTGAATTGTCTATCAAACCAAAGAAACTTCAGAGAACAATGTTGTGGACTTTGAATTGTCATACACTATTTCCTGAGCAGAGAAGGATTTGGTGCAAGTTTGGCTTTAAGTGTTTTAGGCTTATTGGGTTCTCAAAGGCCAAAGTTTCATTAACTCTGCCTTTTGTGAAACAAATGTTAAGCACACAACGTGAAACAACAATGAAGCATACTTCTCAGCTTGAAAACTGCTGGAACCACGAAGCAATCACTAAAAAAAGATCTGACCTTTTACTCTTTCAGAAGCAATAAATCACATTCAAACGAGGAAATAGCTTAGCAAACCACAGTATAACACGAGATTTCTTGACTGGAACATGAAACCATCAACAAAGCAATGACCTTTAGGGGAAAATACGAATCATACATAAACAAAAAAAAGTGTATTCATTTAGATGGAAACGTTCACAGATGAGCGAATTGATCTCAATCAATCGACTTATTCGCACACAAAGTGACAGATTAATTAGGGGAAGAAAACTCAACCATCAATGGTCGGTTGATTCGAAGAAATTTTGTTCTGTTCCTATCGAAACCATAAGAATTACCTAAATTCTTTCAACCAATCATCCCTCGGCTTGCTTCCTCGCAGCAACTTCCTCTTCAGAGACCTCCTCTTCTTCATAGATCTTCTTCTCGGCTTCGAGCTCCTTCTTCACCTGTTCCTCAGCAGCTTTCTCCGCCGCGAGAATCGGCTGGTAGTAATCGGAGTGGGCGTCCATGCACTTCTTCAGCGTCGAAGTGACCTCCATACACTTGGTGACGATATCTTCCTTGTTCTTCTCAGCTTCCTCCACGCAAACTTCCCAGGCAGTGAACGAGTCTTTGCAACCTCCACCTTTCATGAACAAGCAAAACCCGCACTCTCCTTCCTCTTCCTCCTCTGCGTCTCCTTCCTTTGCTTGATCCGATTCTTCTTCGTTTGGGGATTCGGAATCTACTGGATCTCGCCACACAGTTGACGAATCTCCAAGTTTCTCCGACGAGGCTTCGTTGCTTTGAGCTTGGGAGTCGGAATTCTCCGTTTTCGGATCCGTAGATGAAATGATCCCCATTTCTCTTTTTCTCAGCCGCGAGATCTTACGGAAGTCGGCGGCGATTCAGACGGAGAAAATCGAATTGGGGAAATTTGGGTTTAAGGGTTTAAGAGACTCCTACAGACAGAGAGAAATGTGTAAAATCCCTCAAAAACCCTTTGTGATCATCTTATTTTACAAATATATATTTTTTATCTAATTTAATGATTTGATTATTTTAGTCCACAAGACAATAGAAAAAAGCAACATGACAAATAATTGTATCGTTGAGATTTCCACATCACAATGCTTTTTGGTAATTAAATCTTAACTCTCTTCGTTAACTTGATAACTTGATCGTTCATATAACAATACCTACATCGATTTGTTTATTCTAAGAAATTTTAAGAAGTAATCAATAGAAAAATACTTGAGTCACTTTCAAAGTTTGTCAATATTCACAGCCGAACACATTTAGAATATATATAAACGTACAAGTTTCTTTGACTTAGTCACAATAAGAGTTCTAACCTCTTTGATAACTCCTACTAATAATTGATACTAAAAAATCCATAGAAATGTCAGTATGTATCATCAACTATTTCCGATCTCCGGTGAAAATTTTCTGGGCTCTGGGTATGAAGATGAAGCTTACCATAACCGTAGTCACTTGCTTAGTACTTTGGTCGGTGATGTTACTATCATTCTCCAACGTCTTCAAACATCAGCTTCTTGGTGCTATAATCAACGGTAGGATCATTCTTATTTTTTTTTTTGTTTGTTTCTTATTCAGATATGATCCTGTTGACTTAATATTTCAATTTTTTTTTGTAATACATAGGTTCAAACGTTTCCGAAAAACCGAGGGATAGACTGTTAGGAGGGCTTCTAACTGCTGATTTCGATGAAGCTTCTTGCTTGAGTAGGTATCAGTCTTCCTTGTATCGCAAGCTTTCACCTTACAGGCCTTCTGAGTATCTAGTCTCTAAGCTTAGAAGCTATGAGATGCTTCACAAGCGTTGCGGTCCAGGCACAAAAGCTTACAAGGAAGCAACAAAGAATCTTGGTCATGATGAAGACAATTATGCAAACAAATCTGCTGGTGAATGCAGATACATTGTGTGGGTCGCGGTTTACGGGCTTGGAAACAGAATACTTACTCTTGCCTCTGTCTTCCTCTATGCTCTCTTGACAGAGAGAGTCGTTCTTGTTGACCAACGCAAAGACATTAGTGACCTCTTCTGTGAGCCTTTTCCAGCAACTTCATGGTTACTTCCTCTGGACTTTCCATTGATGGGTCAGATAGATAGCTACAACAAGGAATACTCTCGCTGTTACGGAACGATGTTGAAGAACCAAATCATTAACTCGACTTCAATCCCACCGCATCTATATCTTCATATCCTACATGATTCAAGGGATGGGGACAAGATGTTCTTCTGCGCAAAGGATCAAAGCTTAATCGATAAAGTCCCTTGGTTGATTGTCAAAGCCAACGTCTACTTTGTTCCATCTCTATGGTTTAATCCAAATTTCCAAACCGAACTAGTCAAGCTATTCCCTCAGAAAGATACAGTCTTCTACCACCTGGCTCGGTATCTTTTCCACCCAACGAACCAAGTTTGGGGAATGGTCACTAGATCCTACGATGCTTACTTATCAAGAGCAGACGAGACACTTGGGATCCAAGTAAGGGTTTTCAGCAGGCGCGCTGGATATTTCAAGCACGTCATGGACCAGATCGTAGCCTGTACACAAAGAGAGAAACTGTTGCCTGAATTGGCTTCACCGGGATCAGAACCCACTAATACAACGAACATCCCGAAGCTTAAAGCTGTTCTTGTCACATCTCTGTATCCAGAGTACTCTGATAACCTTAAGAGTATGTATTGGGAACGACCGACTTCGACAGGAGACATTGTAGAAGTTTATCAGCCAAGCAGAGAAAGGTTTCAGCAAACGGACAAGAAGATTCACGACCAAAAGGCTCTTGCCGAGATGTATCTTCTGAGTTTGACAGATAAGATTGTAACGAGCGCAAGGTCTACATTTGGATATGTTGCTCACAGTCTTGGAGGATTAAAGCCATGGCTACTCTATCAGCCAGCGAGAGGCAAAACTCCTGATCCACCATGTGCTCGTGCTACATCCATGGAGCCTTGTTTCCTTACTCCTCCCACTCATGGATGTCAAGCCAAAAAGAGAACTGACTCGGCTAAGATCGTTCCTTTTGTGAGACATTGTGAGGATCTTAGGCATGATGGGCTTAAGCTATTTGATGATACCAAAGATGAGTTATAGATCTTATTCCACTGAAACAGAGACTTTTTTTTTTTTGAATATCAATTGTATCAATGTAATGGCAAATAGGCAATGGATCTACCTTGTGATTTCATTGTTTGAAATACTGATATGACAATATCAATATTGAGGTACACAAGGTCAAAAGAGAGGAAAGTTTGTATTAATATATTTATTATTACTAGATATATTGCTTGATTTACATATAGTCTTGTGTAATTTAAATCTCAAATCTCACAAATCCTAATGCATTTAACCATCAGTTTAATAATTTTAAAGCATTTTTTTTATGACATACAGACTGGAACTTATCTGTATATATTTATGTAGATAAACAAGATCTTTGAAAATCAAATAATATCAGAACTTACAGCAATTTCATTTCATAGTTGTGATAAGAAATATAAATTAATCAATAAATAATGGATTAATTGATTAATTCGGAGTTTGTTATGGTCACAACAATAATACAATGCAAATACATCACGTGGGCTCCATTGCGTGAGGTTGGAAACAGAGTACTTGGCTCACGTCGACATTGTTTCCTTCTTTCCATAATGGAATCGGTTAGTCAAATCGCGAGTGTATGGAGAAACTCGGGCCAAACTAGTGTCTACGTCATAAAGAATACTATTCGAAGTGTTTGATATTAGGCGTGACTAAAAAAATGTAATGTGCAAATTTGATTCTATTATTTTTTACTATTCGTGTTATTCATTATATTTTTACGGTTTTTCATGTTTTTAAAACGTGATTCTGTTGGCATGTTAAAAATATAACTAGAAAAAACAAAACGTGATTAATCTATTAACAGTAGCTTTTCAACGTTTCACAATTATTCATCTAAAATATTATTTAGTTCAGTTAATTCCGCTAACAAATTTTCAATTATTGCGCTATTTTGTTATTCATCTGACATATCAATCATACCCGTAGAAAACCTTTTTTCCAAAAAACAAATAGTCAATATTACCTTAGCTGTTAAAAAGCCAGTAGTCAATACATATCACAACATTAAATTTAAATTCATTTTCCAATTTTAATTTACACCATTAAGCTTTCTATGGAATTCTATTTGTATTTACTAGTTGATTACTATTGACTTACATATATTATATGGATACTAATAAATTTATGGAAATAATTATATTACCCTCTTCCTAGAAAATAGACTAAATAGCCGATAGTTACCTTACCTGTTATTAAGACTACCTTATTTAAATTATAGTAACGTTCATGTTAGCAGATTGAAATCTAATTAACATAAATACGGTGCGTGTATACTCATTTGTATATAAGAAAGTTTTAGGATCATGCTCTCTTTGTTGTAAACAAAGATTCTCCGCCTTTTGTTTTTCTTTTGAACTCAGTATTTTATTGGTATTCTCTTCTTTTCTTTTATCTTTGTTTTTCTTGATTTTTTTTTGTTATTATGGTCAGGAAAGGTTCTTAAGTTACGTTAGTTTTCAATAATAATAAATAAATAAAAAAATCTTTCTGTTTGCTGTTTGATGAACACTATGGATACCAAGCAACCATTTGAATCATATGTTGGAGAAAAGCCATATTATCAAAGATCAATTCTACAAACAACATATGATCAAAGCATAAAGGTACGTACATTATCATTTTTTTTACTCGTTTATAACTTTATACTTGTCTTCAAATCATATTTGAGCTTTCATTCATTATATAATTTATTTTCTGTTTATCCAAAACACGATTAAACAAAATTATGTTATACTAATAATAATTTTTTTTGATAAAAGATCTTCACATATTAGAACTTTAACGCCTACCCAACTCCCAACCCCAGACGGGGGGATTCACCTGATTACAAGTTAAAAATTAAAGATCTTTTTGATTAATTGGTTTACTCTGGTTTTAATAGTCGATTTCGGTTGGTTAAGTAAAATGTCGGGCTAGGCTTTTCTCTTAATTTTTGGGCCTAGTTGTTCAAGGCCCAGTGGCAACAAATGTAATTAACCCGACGAGCCCATATTTTCTGTTGGAAACAAAAGCTACTTAATATAATGGTAGTTTATTTTCGTCTTTTGTTTTAATGGTAGTTTGTTTTGAGAGAACAAAAGCTACTTAATATAATCAATATATTCGTATAAGTTTTGGATTCGATTTTTTTTTTAATAAAAAGAAGTATAATAACTTGTATAATATTAGAGGGTCGTTGCAGTAAGTTTCCTATGAAAAAAACTATCAAAGTCGTCGTTTCTAGTTTCATCTGATAGTCATAGTCTCATAGATAAGTTGTCTATTGAATTGTTATGGAGGCTCGTGTTCTTGGAAGCTCGTGTTCGTTCTGTCAACCATAGATAAAACCAAATCGCATTTGTTTACTTTGTTTCTTCTTAGTCAACAACGCGAACTTTTGGACCTGATCAAAGATTATCTTTCGTAGAATAAATAAATGAATACGATTTGTTGTCAATTCAAAAATAATACATGGTTATAGAATAAAGAATTAATAACATGACAGGAAAAAAGATTCCAAGGTTTGGAAATTATTACGCTGGTTGCGTATTCAAAACAACTCTCTCATTGGCCAATTCTTCGTTTGTTAAATATACAATACAACTTGATGATTCGCATAATTAGAAGATCATGACTTTTATTCTTTAAACAAAAGTAGAGTCACGTTCGGAGTTCGTTGATAGTTACAATATAACAATGACACATTAGAAAATTCAAACTCTTGTTATCATGTTTTGTCCACTTTAAACCGCAATAAGAGTTTGTAATCTCGCTCGATATATATAAACTCTTTTTTTGAACTTTCTCATAATGCGAACCAATCAAACTAAAGTCTAACATGTATAACATGTTTCAGATCTCCGGCGATGTTTTCAGGGCTTTGGGATTGAAGATCAAGATTCTGATAACGATCATCTTTGGTGGCTTACTAATTTCGTCTGTAATCTTCCTATCATTCTCAAACATCTTCAACAATGAACTTCTTATAGCTACCAACAACGGTAAAAACAAAATCATCCATCTCTTTGTGTTTTAGCTAACTCAATACAAGTGCTCCTTTTGACTTTTATATTCTCATTTTTGCTTGTGATTAATTGGTTTCAGAGGAATTCGAAACACCAGGGGATAAGTTAATAGGAGGGCTTCTAACAGCGGATTTCGATGAACGTTCTTGCGTGAGTAGGTATCATCAATCATTGTTGTACCGCAAGCCTTCACCGTACAAGCCTTCTGAGTATCTCGTCTCTAAGCTTAGAAGCTATGAGAAGCTTCACAAGCGTTGCGGTCCAGGCACAGACTCTTACAGAGAAGCAACCAAGAATCTTGGTCATGGTGGTGAGAAGTCTGTTGGTGAATGCAGATACATCGTGTGGGTCGCGGTTTACGGGCTTGGGAACAGGATACTCACTCTCGCCTCTGTCTTCCTCTACGCTCTCTTGACAGAGAGAGTGGTTCTTGTTGATCAAAGCAAAGATATAAGTGATCTCTTCTGCGAACCGTTTCCAGGTACTTCATGGTTACTTCCTCTTGACTTCCCATTGACGAAACAGATCGATGGATACAACATGGGTTACTCTCGTTGCTACGGAACAATGTTGAATAACCATGCCATTAGCGCAAACTCGACACCGCCGCATCTGTATCTCCACATCTTGCATGATTCAAGGGATGAAGACAAGATGTTCTTCTGCGCAAAGGATCAAGCTATGATCGATAAGGTCCCTTGGCTGATTGTCAAAGCCAACGTCTACTTTGTCCCATCTCTGTGGTTTAATCCAGCTTTACAAGCCGAGCTTACGAAGATGTTCCCGCAGAAAGAAGCATCCTTTCACCTTTTGGGTCGGTATCTTTTTCACCCGACGAACCAAGTTTGGGGTATTGTCACTAACTACTACAATGCTCACTTAGCCAGAGCAGACGAGAGGCTCGGGCTTCAAATACGGATTTTCAGCGACCAACCTGGATATCTCCAACACGTCATGGACCAGGTCTTGTCCTGCACGCAAAGAGAGAAGCTTTTACCTCAAGTAGCCACGAAAGAAGGACCGAAAGCTAATGTGTCGGAAACCCCGAAGCTTAAAGCTGTTCTTGTCACGTCTCTGTATCCAGAGTACTCTGATCGGTTAAAGAAAATGTTTTCGGAACGACCGAGTTCGACGGGAGAGATAATCGAAGTTTATCAGCCAAGTGGAGAAAGGTATCAGCAGACAGACAAGAAGCTCCACGACCAAAAGGCTCTCGCCGAGATGTATCTCCTGAGTTTGACAGACAAGATTGTTACGAGCGCGAGGTCTACATTTGGATACGTTGCTCACAGTCTTGGAGGATTAAAGCCATGGCTACTTTATCAGCCGAAGGATGCCACAGCTCCTGATCCGCCATGTGTTCGATCTACGTCCATGGAGCCTTGTCACCTTACTCCTCCTTCTCATGGATGCGACGCCGAGTGGGGAACTGACTCGGGAAAAGTTGTTCCTTTCGTAAGGCATTGTGAGGATCGTGATAACGATGGGCTTAAGCTGTTTGATGAGTTATAGTTCTTGTTTTATATCATAGCTTATTTCATTGGATTATTGAGTTACTGAAACAGAGGATCAATGTTTTATCTCTCTTTTGTTCCTTTTTCTGTTATAATCGTCATGTTAGTTGAGGTTCAGTTTCTAATTAAGTTCAAAAAATGTGTTTGCTTAGAAGAAGATCTTTCACTTTACAGTATAATTGTATCTTGTAGTAGAAGCAATTGTCAAAAACGGTTTACAAGGTTTATTTGGTTTTTAATACACCTTATTACATTTCACAAAACAATAATTATTTTTATAATGCATCCTTTCAATTACAATATATAAATTTGTTTTTATTGAAAAGGTTCCAAGGTTGATTTGGTTTCTTGTCTAAATAGGTAACAACAAGCTTAAAGGTCCTTTTTGAGATCTCCCGGTGAAGTTTTCTGTGCTCTTGGTGTGAAGATGAAGCTCGAGATAACAACAGTCACTTGCTTAGTACTTTGCTCTGTGATGTTACTATCATTCTTCATCATCTTTAATCGCCAGCTTCTTGATGCTACAGTCATCATCGGTAAAACAAAATAATTAACGTTTTGGTTTTGCTAGTAACAATGCTCCTTTTGACTTTATGTTTCATTTTCTTGAAACAGATTCAAAGGATTCCGGAGAACCAGACGATAAACTGTTACAAGGACTGCTTACTGCAGATTTTGATAATGATTCTTGTTTGAGTAGGTACCAGTCTTCTTCATTGTACCGCAAGGCTTCACCTTACAAGCCTTCTCAGTATCTCGTCTCTAGGCTTAGAAGCTACGAGATGCTTCACAAGCGTTGCGGTCCAGGCACATATGCTTACAAGAGAGCAACAGAGAAGCTTGTTCACGAGGAGAATCTGAGCACATCTGTTGGTGAATGCAGATACATCGTGTGGGTTGCTGTTTCTGGACTTGGAAACAGAATGCTTACTCTGACTTCTGTTTTCCTCTATGCTCTCTTGACAGAGAGAATCATTCTTATTGACCAACGCAGAGACATAAGTGATCTCTTCTGTGAGCCTTTTCCTGGTACTTCCTGGTTACTTCCTCTGGATTTTCCATTGACAGATCAGTTAGATAGCTTCAACAGGGAAGATTCGCGTTGTTACGGAACAATGTTGAAGAATCATGCCATCAACTCGACTATGGCAGAAAGCATTCCGTCGTACCTCTGTCTTTATCTTCTTCACGATTATGAGGATCATGATAAGATGTTCTTCTGTGAAACAGATCAAAATCTTATCAGGCAAGTCCCTTGGTTGGTCTTCAACACAAACCTTTACTTTATTCCATCTCTATGGTTGATCCCTAGTTTCCAAACCGAACTCAACAAGCTATTCCCACAGAAAGAAACCGTCTTCCACCATTTGAGTCGGTATCTTTTTCACCCGACGAACCAAGTTTGGGGAATGGTCACAAGATCCTACAACGCTTACTTATCAAGAGCAGACGAGACTCTCGGGATACAAGTACGAGTTTTTAGCAAGCCCGCTGGATATTTCCAGCACGTGATGGACCAGATCCTAGCCTGTACACAGAGAGATAAACTGTTGCCTGAAGTGGCTGCACCAGAAGCTCAAGTCACTACACATCAAGAAACCCGAAACTCAAAGCTGTTCTTGTCACATCTCTTTACCGAGAGTACTCTGAGAACCTAAGGAGCATGTACTGGGAAGGCCCGAGTTCGACAGGAGACATGGTGCAAGTTTACCAACCAAGCCAAGAAATGTATCAGCAAACAGACAACAAGCTTCACGACCAAAAGGCACTCGCTGAGATATACCTCTTAAGCCTAACTGATAACCTTGTCACAAGCGACTCATCAACTTTCGGATACGTTGCTCAAGGTCTCGGAGGATTAAAGCCATGGATACTCCACAAGCCAAAGAACCACACAGCTCCTGACCCACCATGTGTTAGAGCCATGTCGATGGAGCCATGTTTCCTCAGAGCTCCGCTCTACGGTTGTCAAGCTAAGACAGTGAAGAACAACCCTTTTGTTATGTACTGCGAGGATCGGGTCACGGGGCTTAAGCTAGTTGACTCCGCAGATGAATTTTGATTGTAAGCCTTCATCTTCTTCTACGTTCATCATTGTTTCCTAAAATCAATAAATAATCACCAAAGATTGTTAACCAACATATTGTGGGTTTGTCGTTGAGAAGCTGAAGCACAAGAACTTTCTTTTTTCGCCATAGTTAATTCTGATCTAGCTTACATAATAATCATTTAATGTTCTGTGATTTGTTATAAGAGTTGGATTAAACAAGTTTAGCATGCACGTGTATGAACATACTTCATTTTACAAATTGGTAATGAGAAATGTATGAACATTGTTATCTGAAGCAGCTGATTGATATGAAAACAGATTCTTACAAGTGTAGCCAGTTCAACAGATAAACTCCATTAGTATTTCTATAATTCAGATTCAATATTTAAAGCCCAATAATCAAAATAATGTATTTGGTCAAACAAAAAGACCAAAACATATGGTCTAGAGTATAATATACTCAACTAATCGAAGTAATGTGGGAGATGAAATTTAAGTTCAGAGAGCTACCGAATAAGAGAAGCTAGTTAGTTACCTGCGACGGAAGAGGAGACCGAGATCGGAGGCGATAAAGAAGAAATCAGAGAACCCGCCGATGCGCCTGATCGGTTTCGCTTCCCATCGACATATCTCCACAAGCTTTCCGATTACTATTTCCGACGGTGGCGAACCCAAATAAGCGATAACATGAGAAGATTTGTCCATGTCATAATTTTTTAGTGCCATGTCACAATTTGTTTTGTAAGAACGAATAAGGAAATGACACATCACTTTTTCATGAAAGGCGTAATAAGATATTTAATTATAAAATTTTATTGAAAATGAAATTTTGCATATTATATTCCAAAAATATAAGCAGAAATTTGATATCAATTAATTACGAAAACGGAAACATATTTTTTTGGTTGTTGGACAGTATATGCAAACAAATTTAAAATAATCAAACATAAGAAGTAATAAATATGACATGTAAAAATCTGATTGGACATTAAGTGATTATCTATTATTCTCTCTTTCGACATCTATCTTTTAGTAGTGCCTTTGAGATTTGAAGATAGTTAAGCATACCTTTTAGAGCTCGTTTCCTTTACCTGTGACGATAGTAGTCCACTTCCATTCTCTTTCATCCTGAAACCAATTTTTATCAAAATGAAAAAACTCGAAGACAAAAGGTCGTTGAGAATCTCCGGTATGTTGAAGCTCGCGCTCACAGTGGCCACTTGCTTAGTACTTTGCTCGGTGCTTCTACTACCATCCTCCAACATCTTCAACCGCCGCCACAAGTCTGATCATACAGCCACCGGTAACAATTTGGTTTAATTTACTTCATAATCTGGCCAAAAAGAAATAAGCTCACTTCACTTTATGTTCTTTCATGTTCTTTAGAAGGTTCAAATGAACAACCGAGGGAGAAACCTCTAGGAGGTCGGCTTCTTGCAACAGGGTTTGATGACAAATCTTGCTTGAGTAGGTATCATCAGTCGTCTTTGCGCAAGCCTTCACCATACAAACCATCTAGATATCTCGTCTCTAGGCTTAGAAGCTACGAGATGCTTCACAAGCGTTGCGGTCCGGGCACAAATGCTTACAAGAGAGCAACAGAGCGGCTTGGTCACAACGAGGTAAGAAGCTCTGGTGCTGATGAATGCCGGTACGTAGTGTGGACACCTAAGTTTGGCCTTGGAAACAGAATACTCTCTTTGGTCTCTGTGTTCCTCTATGCTCTCATGACAGATAGAGTCATGCTTGTTGACCAAAGGAGCGATATAACCGACCTTTTCTGCGAGCCTTTCCCTAATACTTCCTGGTTACTCCCTCTGGATTTTCCATTGACTGATCAGATAGACAGCTTCGACCGAGAACATTCGCAATGTTACGGGACGATGTTGAAGAGCCATGCCATTAACTCAACTACGATACCGTCTCATCTTTATATTGATATTTTCCATGATTCCAGGGATCATGATAAGATGTTCTTCTGTGAGAAGAACCAAGCTTTCCTCGGGAGTGTCCCTTGGCTAGTGGTGAAATCCAACCTTTACTATGTTCCATCTCTATGGTTGATCCCTAACTTTCAACCCAAGCTAAAGAAGCTATTCCCAGAGACAGATACCGTCTTCCACCATTTGAGTCAGTATCTTTTCCACCCGACAAACCAAGTTTGGGGAATGGTCACTAGGTCCTACAACGCTTACTTGTCAAGAGCAGACGAGATACTTGGGATCCAAGTACGTGTGTTTGGCACGCCAGCTGGATATTTCAAGCACGTGATGGACCAGATCCTAGCATGCACACAAGGTCAGAAACTGTTGCCTGAATTGGGTACACCGGAGTCACAAGTCACTACTAATACATCGGAAACCTCAAAGGTTAAAGCTGTTCTTGTCACGTCTCTGCATCCAGAGTATTCTGACAGTTTAAAGAACATGTTTTGGGAACGACCGAGTTCGACAGGAGAGATAATCGAAGTTTATCAGCCAAGTGGGGAACAGGTTCAACAGACAGACACGAAGCTTCACGACCAAAAGGCCCTCGCCGAGATCTACCTCCTAAGCCTAACTGATAAACTTGTGACGAGCACAAGGTCTACCTTTGGATACGTAGCTCAAGGTCTTGGAGGAATAAGGCCATGGATACTCTACGAGCCAAGGAACAGCAAGGTTCCTAACCCACCGTGTGTTAAGGCCATGTCTATGGAGCCTTGTTCTCTTAAAGCTCCACTCTCTCTTTGTCAAACCGAGACAATCAAAGTCACCCCTTTTGTTAAGTATTGTGAGGATCGGATCACAGGGATTAAGCTGGTTGATGAATTTTGATTGTAACTCTTCATCTTCTGTTATGTTCATCATTGTTACCTAACAAATTTCCTAAAATCTATAGAAATAATCATCATTGTTATCTTTTACTTGTAATATTTCAAAAATCATATTTCATATTTCTTGTATTTTGTGAAGCTAAATAACTCTCATTGAACTTTGATTTGTCCACAACGCACTCAAAATGTTAAATTTAATGATGGTCAGTGGTGTCACACTCACGAAAACTGGTAATACTGATTATCGAAGTACAACTTTAGCCTAATTCGTTTACGAGGAAAATGTGTGGGGCCAAACGGTTTCCGAATCTAAGGGATTATTTAGTACTAGACTAATAGAAGAGATTACAGATTTGTGAGTTTGGATTTGGACTGAGTTCTGAAAAAAAAGACAGGTTTGGATATAATTAAGTCCTTTTAAGGTTGAAATTTCAACATCGTAATGTTTCTAAAAATGTTATTTTGCTAGTTTAGACGTGGAAAGAACATATGAACAAAACAAGACTTTTTCAAGATTTTGGAAAAAGTCTTTTAATGGTCCCTCTTCTCCAACTCGTCACGACAAGACAGAAACTTTGGTGTAATGCATATTTTCCATAAATAATGAATAAAGGAAAACTCGTTTCCGATCAGAACGTGAAAGTTTCCATATTTCCCACGCTTTCAAGTTTCAACTAACATAACTGAATCCATAATATATACCCACATAGATACAACAGACAAATCAGAGTGAGTAGAAACAGAGAAGACATTATTAGCTCATAACAGATCTCCTGCGAATCTTTAATGAGATCTGCTACGATGAAGTCCCCCAGAACAGTCATCACTTGCTTTATACTCTGCTCAGTGCTTCTACAAACATTCTCTAACTTCTTCAATCGCCAGCCGTCGGATATCGACCCACCTAAAGTTACTACCACTGGTATGATCATTCATCCATCTCTGACTCCGTTCTCGCTTACTTTAACAGGTTCAAAGGATTCTCAAAATCCAAGAGATAAATTGCTAGGAGGGCTTCTTGCTACAGAGTTTGATGAAAGTTCTTGCCTGAGTAGGTACCAATCTTCGTTGTACCGCAAGCCTTCACCGTACAAGCCTTCTCGATATCTCATCTCTAAGCTTAGAAGCTACGAGATGCTCCACAAGCGTTGTGGTCCAGGAACAGAAGCTTACAAGAGAGCAACAGTGCAGCTTGATCAACACGGTAACCTTTCAGACAGCTCCGATGAATTATGCCAATACATTGTGTGGGTTCCAATGTCTGGTCTTGGAAACAGAATACTCTCTCTGGTCTCTGTGTTTCTCTATGCGCTCTTGACAGAGAGAGTCATCCTTGTTGACCAACGGAACGATGTAAGCGATCTCTTCTGCGAGCCTTTTCCGGGTTCTTCCTGGTTACTTCCTCTTGAGTTTCCATTGACGGAACAGTTAGATAGGTTTCACTGGCGCTCACCGTTTTCTTACGGTAACATGTTGAAGCGTAATCTGATTAACTCCTCGACAGAAAGATTCCCATCATATCTTTACCTTCATCTTGTTCACGACTATGGGGATTACGATCAGATGTTTTTCTGCCAAGAGGATCAATCACTGATCCAGAAAGTCCCTTGGCTTATCTTTAAATCAGACAACTACTTTACCCCGTCTTTGTGGTTGATCCCTAGCTTCCAGTCTGAGCTAAGACAGCTATTCCCGCAGAAAGATACTGTTTTCCACCATTTAGGTCGGTATCTTATTCACCCGACAAACCAAGTCTGGGGTTTGGTCGATAGATTCTACAATGCGTACTTATCAAGAGCAGACGAAAGGCTTGGCATTCAAGTGCGGGTTTTCCATCGCGCAGGGTTTCTCCAGTTTGTGATGGATCAGATTGTATCCTGCACACAAAGAGAGAATCTGTTACCTGAAGCAGCAGCTGCACAAGAAGAATCACAAGTCAATTCATCGAAAACCCCAAAAGTTAAAGCCGTTCTTGTCACGTCTCTGAATCCAGAGTACTCTAATAACCTGAAGAGAATGTATTGGGAAAGATTGAGTTCCACGGGAGATATAATTGGAGTTTACCAACCAAGTCAAGAAATGTACCAGCAAAAAAACAAAAAGCTTCACAACCAAAAGGCCCTCGCTGAGATGTATCTACTAAGCTTGAGTGCATTGTCACAAGCGCATGGTCTACATTTGGATATGTTGCTCAAGGTCTTGCAGGAATAAAGCCATGGATACTCTACAAGCCAGAGAGCTACAATGCTCCTGATCAACCATGTGTTCGTGCCATGTCAATGGAACCCTGTTTTCATTCACCTCCGTCCAATCGTTGTGAAGCAGATACGGGAACTGATGCCTGGAAGATGGTGCCTTTCGTAAGGCCTTGAGAGGATCGGATTTCTGGACTTAAGCTATTTGATCACCCAGAAGAGTTATAGGATTGTAGATAGAATCCTTGCTGACTTTTGGTTGTACTTCTTTGTTGCCTAAAAACCTGATGTAATAAAATTCAAAGTTTGTTAACCGACACTGTGTGATGTAACAAGGACAAGTGATGCATTAAACTTGTTTTGGTTGAGAATTTCACATGATAACGATTATGAATAGACTTTGTTGCTAATTTAGTAGTGAATTTGAAGATAATGATTCAAGCATACCTTGTAGATCTCCTTTCCTTCATCTCCTGATGATCACAGCATGACAGTCCATTTCAACCACAATCGATAATGATATTAGTACATGCAACAAAAGTAGAAAACAGGAACAAAACATGTCGTTGAGTTTTACCCCACAAAAAAAACATGTCGTTAACGATCTCCGGTATGAAGAAGCTCGCGATAGCAATCGCCACTCGCTTTGTACTTTCCTCGGTGTTACTACTACCATCCTCCAACATCTTCAACCGCCACAAGTCTGATCACACAACCACCGGCAATAACAGGTTAAATTTATTTCAAAATCTAGCAAAAAAACAAAAAAAAAAACAAACAGAAATGCTCACTTGACTTTCTTTCTATCATGTTCTCTAGAATGTTCAAATGAATCGAGAGAGAAACTTCTAGGAGGGCTTCTTGCAACAGAGTTTGATGAGGAATCTTGCTTAGGTATCATCACAACGATGTTGGAAGCTCTGGTGGTGAATGCAGAGATGTAGTGTGGACGCCTATGTTTGGACTGGGAAACAGAATACTTTCTCTGGTCTCTGTCTTCCTCTATGCTCTCTTGACAGAGAGAGAGTCATGCTTGTTGACCAAAGGAACCTATTCTGCGAGCCTTTCCCTGGTACTTCATGGTTACTTCCTCTGGATTTTCCATTGACGGATCAGATAGACAGCTTCAACCGACAACATTCGCAATGTTACGGGACAATGTTGAAGAATCATGCCATCAACTCAACTACAATACTGTGTTTTCCATGATTCCAAGGGATCATAATAAGATGTTCTTCTGTGAAAAAGGACCAAGCTTCCGTCGGGAGTGTCCCTTGGCTAGTCGTAAAAATCAAACCTTTGCTATGTTTTCTGATCCACCTTGTGCTCTTGCCATTTCGATGGAGCCGTGTTTCCATGCCTCCTCCAGCTTATGGCTGCAAGGCAATGCCCGAATCAATATCGTCTCTTTTATGAGGATAGAAGCTGAGGACTTAAAGCTAATTGAAGCTCCTGGTGAGTTTTAGCTTCTTCCATCCCTCAATTCTGCTGACTACTTATGTAAGTAAATCTATGAAACTAGAGCATGTATGTGAGATTTCACCTTGCTTCGCCAATCGTCTCCTTCCTTCCATTGAGACTTTTCGCCTGAGCTTTCCTTCTACTGTCGAATCTCCACGAAACTGCCAATTGTTGACCTCACCGGTACGAAGAAGTTCGTCGCTTTTTAGATCTTTGACGTTTACGGAATCAGTGATTTCATGATTTCTTCTCCTGGGATCGCAAGTGATGCTGGATAATCTTCGCTAGGCTTAGGAGATGAACACGTGATTACCACGTGCAACAATTTGACTCTCATCTTTTAAAACTGCTCATACACTGTATCAACACAACAATAACATTCAAGTCTCTCCATAACTTGAGTTTTTTTAAGCTTTATAAACATGATAACTCAGTAAAAATAATCATCAATCAAAACATTTTATTAATACAACTCATCAACTTTTTTTTTAAATTTTAAACTTAAACCCATTAAAAATTCAAATACTTTTTCTATTAATTTTTGTTTTATCTTTTACCAAACAAAAACCCAAATAATTAATAATAGCAAATAAAAAAATCTTTATTATAATTTTTACCAAATTCAAAGCTAAATATTAGATAAAAACAAATAAAAAAATAAATTTTTGTTTTATTTTTTGCCAAACCCAAACTCAAATAATAAATAGCAACAAATAAATAATAATAAAAAAAATTAGCTATCTGTTTGTTTGACATAGACGTATATGATTGAAAAAAGTGTAGGCTTAGCATCAACCATGCTTTGATGAGAAAACAATTTTTCTTAGTTTTGGTGGGAATAAGAAATTTCTCTGTTTTACTGGGAATAGTGGATTTCTTGATTTCAGTAAAAAAATGTGATTTTTAGTTTTGGTAGCAAAACTCTCGGGTTCGGCAGGAAAATGTGAATTCTTGGTTTTGGTGAGAAAACAAAAAAAAATTGATTTTGACGAGAAAACAAAATATTTTAGTTTTGACGGAAAAATGCGATTTCGATTTTGATGAGAAATGCAACTTTTCAATTTTGACGAAAAATCCGATTTCTCAGTTTTGATAGGAAATGCAAATTTTCGACTTTTGACCGATTTCTTGGTTTTCACGCAAAAATGTAATTTATTAGTTTTCACGAGAAATTGCAATATAATGATTTTGGTGAAAAATATAATTTCTCGGTATGATGGGAAAACAAAATTTCTAGGTTTTGACGGGAATAAGAAATTTCTCGGTTTAGATGGGAAATGAAAATTTTTAGTTTTTGACGAATAATGTGATTTTTTGGGTTTCGCGAGAAAATACAATTTCTTAGTTTTCGCGGAAAAATATAATTTCTTAGTTTTTGCGGGAAAACACAATTTATCTGTTTTGGTAGGAAAGCGTGATTTTTAGTTTGATGAGAAAATGATTTTTTTTTTGCGAGAATAGACGATTTCTCAGTTTTTGCAGAAAAATAAATTTATTGGTTTTGACTGGAAAATACGTTTTTTTTATTTTTGCAGGAAAATAATTTTTTTTTGTTTTAGCAAAAAAACGTGATTTCTCGGTTTTGGCAGAAAACACACAAATTTTTACGGGAAAATAAAATTTTAGATTTTAAGTTTGACGAAAGAATAATTTTTGTTGGTTTTGGCGGAAATATGCGATTTCTCAGTTTCATGAGAAAATGAATTTTTTTTTGGTTTGACAGGAAATGCGATTTCTCAGTTTTTGTAAGAAGATAAAATTTTTCTATGCTAAATTTTCAAGTTAAAGTATATACAGTAGCCAAAATTTTATTATTTAACTTAAACTAAAACGATATTTCAAGAGTTCTAATAGAATTTTCTATTTAGTTCTAAAGCAATAGCAATAGTTTTGATATGAATGTTTTTATTTATAATTTGGTAATTTGAGAAACATATGTTTATAATAAATATTTGATAAATAAATAAATTTTATAATTAGCACGTAATCATATTAATTATAAATCTTTTTTAAAAATGATACTTTTCTTTATATAATTACAAAAAGGATCAAGTGGCAATTTATTGGAGTTAATAGATTATATTTACCATTAGCATAAAGATACTGAAAATGCATTTTTTATTTTTACATATACATTTATAATTAGTTAGCTAACCAAATTTAATTACAAATTATAATTTTAAAAAAATACAATATTTATCAGATTTAAAATATATAAATACATAACTTAAACTAATAAAAAAATACAATACTCATTTATATTATAAAATAATTTTATTATATTAAAAATATATACAAAAATTAGAAAAATATACCACAACATAGCACAGGTAAATATCTAGTTTCTCTCAATAAAACACCTTTAATTATCAATCAATGACAAGAGATATCTTCAATTTCCATTGTTCTTATTGAGTTTTCTACACCTCACATATCAAAAACCAAACAGTATTTCAAGCCATAATACATAAAGACTATCTTTTGGAGCCATTTAAACATTTGATATGGTTATAAACTTTAGAGAATCGCCGTTATGCAGATTATTGCTCAGTCTAATCTTTCTTAGTTCTCCATCGCTGATAGGCTTGTACAGACGTGGATGTTCCGCATCCACAAATTCACTTGGAGGTTCGATAACTCTATCCATTGGTGCTAACAGGAACGTGGAGATAGTAATCCTCATTTTTGCATCTTTGCATTGCACTCTATGCTTCACATTGCACAACCTACCATTGCTCCATATCTATCAAACAAACAAAAAAATTCAAAAACGTTTAGCAATGAGTTTTCACTGTTCAAAACTCTGAAACATTTTTTGAACTATAAATATTAGTGATGGTGTCTGGTCTCAACCTTAGCCATGTCACCAAGGTTGACAGTAAGCGTGTTCGGCAACGTGTTTATGGGGAAAAATGTTCCTGAACAAGTGTCCATGGCTTCAAGTCCACCAACATCTTCATCGCCTTGAAGAATCGTTATGAATCCTGGATCCGTGTGTATTATCAAACCATTTTTACCAACTGTCTCTTGTTTGAAATGATATTTGCTCAGCCTAAATTGGCTCGGCCATCCTTTACAGATATCGGTTTCCTCTAATTCGTAACTCTCTGCTAATCTCCTTGCTAAATCCTTTGCAAGACCATCCATAGCTTTGCCATACTTTACCATAGTTTCCCTTCAACAAGAACAAAATTTGTTTAAGCCATTAGGACATAAGATCACAAGAACAACCAGTTTCAAATACAAAATTGAGATAAAATTTAGTTGGTTCACCTTTGATGAGCAGAGGCCTCGAGTTGATCACAAAAAGTATTGACAGCATGAGGAGAGGCAATGTCAAAAAGGCCGAATGATTCATAGAAAGGGTTTAAGTCAATGATAGGCTTGTAACCACTGTTTTGTATCACGTCAGTGTTACGCATCTTCACCTCAGTTGGACGTTCATGGAGATCTGTAACAGTCTTCTTCATCTCAGACATCAAAGACAAAGAAACTCCATGGTTTATCACCTTGAAACATCCCCATCTCTCACTTGCCTCACGTATTTTCTGATTCAACATCTTGTCCGGAATCTCTTGCAAGTCTATCGTCGGAATGACTTCATTGAGATCGGCCATTATGATTTGTTTCTTCAAGAGAACAGGTTTGTTTTCTCTGTTTTCAAGAGCAAACCCTTGTCCAAAGTTATATAGAAGAGCATACAGATTTGCCTTTTCAACGAAGAGATTTTCTCTGTCTCATCATTGATCTAATCTAACCAATGAGGTAGTTGGAAAATGAGTGGTTCAACAACAACGTGAATCACGTGATTCGGACAGCTAATGTTATCACTCATCCCAGTGATGATTCGAGTTTATTTATTCAATAGAATATTACTCATATATATTGCCAAAAATTGACAAAGGTACATCTTTACCTCTCTTTCTTAGGGGAATCAAAAGAGTCTCTGGTTTCATATCACAGCCGCATTAAGTCATTCAAAGGTTATAAGCTTGAGAGCTTCTCCATCATGCAGCTTCGTAGTCATTCTGATATTTCGTATCCCGTCGTGGCTAATAGGCTTGTATAGTCGCGGATGTTGAGCATCCACAAACTCACTCGGAGGCTCCAAATCTGTATCCATTGGTCCTAACAAGAAGGAGGCGATGGAAAACCTCTTTGTCGCTTCGTTGCACTGCACTCTATGCTTCACATTGCATAACCTCCCATTGCTCCATATCGCAGCCATGTCCCCGAGGTTGATAGCAAGCGTGTTTGGCAACGGGTTTATGGGGAAGAACGCTCCTGAAGAGTGGTCCATCGCTTCAAGCCCACCAACGTTTTCATCGTCTTGAAGAATCGTCAAGAACCCTGAATCCGTGTGTAGCTGCACACCGAGTTTCCCAACTGTTTCGGGTTGAAAATGATATTTGTTGATCCGAAACTGGCTCGGCCATCCTTTGAAGAACTCGGTCTCAGGCAACTCGTAACTCTCTGCTAATCTCCTAGCTAAATCCTTTGCAAGACCATCAATAGCTTTCGCATACTTTACCATAATCTCCCTTCCAAAACCCAAATTCACATATACAAATCAATGTTCCATCACAAGAGACCAACCAAAAAAAACAAGAAAAAAAAAGAGAAACCTTTGGTCCGCAGAGGCATCGAGTTGGTCACAAAAGGTATTGACAGCTTGAGGAGAAGCCATGTCATAGAGACCCAATGCTTCGTAATAAGGGTTGATTTCATTTGGAGCTCTGTAACCACTCCCTAGTAACACATCGGTGTTACGCACTTTCACCTCGTAAGGACGTTCGAAGAGATCCATAACGGTCTTCTTCATCTCAGACATCAAAGACAGTGAAACTCCATGGTTAATGACCCTGAAGCAACCCCATCTCTCACTCGCTTCACGGATTTTCTGGTTCAGGATCTTATCTGAAACCTCTTCCAAGTCTATCGTCGGAATAACTCCACCGGCTTCCGCCATTAGATTCAACGGGGAGTTTGAAAAGAGAGGTCCTTTCTTTTACTCAACACAACCTAAGTTCAATGTTATAAAAAAGATATTAGTTTCACCAAAAGACATTTCTCTTTGATTCGACAAAGACGTTCAACGAATCAGAAGAAAAAGTTGAATTTTTTTTCAAAACGTGACGATTCCGACAGCTAAAATAGTCTATCAGTGAAAATAAACATACATCTAAACCGAAGAAAACCCAGTAATAATGAATGCCTTTTACTTCTTCTGGATAAACATCAATTACTTCTAAAATGAAGAACCCAGTGATGAATTAGACCAAATAAACAAGATGATTCATCCTTTCACTACTTTTTCTTCTGATTACACATCAATTACGTCTAAATTGAAGAAAACCCAAAGAAACAGAAGATGTTTCGTTACTTTTGCTTATTATGGGTAAACATCAGTTACGTCTAAAATTAAGTTTCTTCTTTATCTACTCAAAAAGAGTTTTTAATAAGTTAAAGTTACCTTCTTTCTCGGGGATCTGGTCTCTAGATTTTCTCGAGAGAAGACGAAGGAGTAGATGAAGTGAAAAAAAATGACTTATTGAAGACGAGAAAGTAAAACGAAGTCGAAGACTGAAATCGAACTTGAGGTAATTGGATCTGCAGAGACTTTTCGCAACGATTTCCACGCGCGCAACCAAACGAAGAATGTTTTCCACGCGCCAAGTTTCTAGATTTCTTAAGAAAGGATAAAAATCAAAAAAAAAATTTTGTCGTCCTTGTAATATTAGAAACCCAACATGGGTAAAGCAGAGGATTACAAACATTTCGCAGGCCCTTAGACTGAAGCCCAAAAAAGTAAGAGTTACAAGCCAAAAACACGTGTAAGGACACTTGTGACCTAATAACAACACAACCAAGACACGTGTCATAAAACGAGAATGCTTGAAGGCAGCGCCGTTTCCTCACCGTGCCTCCTGCGAAGCTTGAATCTTCAGCACCTCCGCGATCTGCAACTTCCTCCGCGAACCATGCTTCACACTCTTCTCTTCGAAATCGCCGCCTTAGATAGTTGAAGTTTCATCCAACACCAATTATGACAACAACGAAAAACTTGAATTGAAAAAGCAGCCAAAACTTACTAATCCAACAAGTTAATCAAACAACTTAGTACTTAAGTTTGATAGAGAGACTTTGCTTGAAAACCTAACGTAGGCCCTATAAGGGAGCAAAGAATTAATTCTCTTCAAAAGAAAGGACTAAGGATAAGTGAGAGAGGAGAAACGATGAACAACAGGCGGAACAAGGCTAGTCCGATAGATCAGAATAGCCGAGATAAAGAGAAGAGAAGAGGGTGAAAAAGAAAACAAAAACCGAACAAAGTCGGAGAGAAGTCCGAACATGTCGGATTTATTAACCGAGCTAAAACGGTAACAAAAAGAAAAGAGAAGAAGGAGATCTCTCTCTCAAAGATAGAGGTGAGAGAAGAGAGAGCCCTCCTTCTATATCTGATTTAAATTTCCGATGCTAACTGATTGAAACAATGGATAAAAATCTAAAAATACTTTATTAATTTTACACTATACTGTATATATATTAATTTCATGTTCTACTTAAATGATACTCAAACTTTACAAAATAAATCTTAAATATTCATAAATTCAATAATATTCTACATCAACAACCAATTTATTCAAATTAAGACTTCAAACCAAACTGGTCAAAGTTTATTTTGAGCAAGGAAAGGTAAAAAGAAACTTTGTGAATCTTCTTACTATCAGAATGCTACTTCTCAGGTCTCTTACAAGATGTGTAAGAACCACCAAAACCTTAAATTTGCGTTCCAGAGAGAGCGGAAGAGAGAGAGAACTAGACTAGAAGGAAGAGAGACCTGCAAGCTGTCTAAACTTCTCGTAAGAGACCCAAAACACGAACTGCCACGGTCCAAGCCTTGCCCACGTCGGGAAAAAACCTTTCCACAGAGCTCTTATTCCTTCAAACCTAACAGTCTTCACCAAACAATCGTAAGAATTCCTGTACACGGCTTTCTCACCCTGGTTCATCATCCTCGTCTTCACCACATCAGCAGGACAACTCAGGGTTGTGGAAGCAAGACCCGACACTATGGATGCAAGAGTGTGCGCGTAGATGTTATCACCGGAGATCTTTTTCTCGATGACAAAGTGTTTGGCGTGGTCGTAGCAAGCTAGCTCACCCATGTTCACTAGAAACGCTCTCTGGATGTTTGGAACAACGCCTTTCCACAGCCCTTTCACTCCTTCTGATTGCAGGATTTTGGTGAAAGCTTCGATTGGTCCAGAGTATCTCGGTTTCAGGCCTTGGCTCACCAGTCTACCATCTGCTTGCATTCTCACTTTCACCAAATCAGCTGGACTAGCCACTACCTGCATTTCTAGTATTATCACAAAAGGAAGCATTTTTAACTTTTTTTTTGGGGTGTAGAATAGATAACAATCCAATGTCAATCCTAAAGATATAAACAAATTAGAAGATCTCTCTGCATTTTTGGATTAAGGATCTGTGATTAGTGATACAGGGAGTTTGACTGTAACAAGAAGTAGGAGACAACAACAAGCAAGCTAATTTTTTGGATTAAGGATCAGTGAAACATGTTGAGCAACCCAGAAAGTTTTGGATTTGGAATGATATGAACACAGAAACGCCTAAAAGTCTCCTTAGTTACTTCTTCTACAGAGCATTTTCAATGGAAACTACACATAGAGATCGATTGCTCAATACGAATTCCTAAATCTGCTGTTAGCAAGTGCTAGGCTCATCAGGAAATCAGTTTACCCAAACTAGCTTAAATCCAGATCAAAATTACATTCAACAGGTACATAATATGAACAAAAATTCCAAATGACTCTAAAGATCCAACGAATGAAGAAGTATCCTTACCTGAGCTATAACACCAGAAATCCCTCCGACGAGAGCTTTTGTGGCGAGAGGAAGAGACTCGCCGTTGTTAGCTTCAGATCTGACTATGAACCCCTTCAAATTCTCGTACCCAATGATTCTGATAGGCGTGTAGAACAAGTGTCTGATAATCGCCGGAGATAGACCTTTATAGAAACCCATCATCCCTTCCTGCCTCGCAATCTCCGACACGACTCCGATAGCGCCAACCCGGTGCGCATTAGCGGCGGCGGAAGCGGAAGCGGAAGCGGAGCCTAAACCATGGAGCTGCATTCTGGTCTTTGTGAGATCAATCGGAAACGTAACTGTCTCAGCGACCATCGCAGATAGTGACGCAAGCAGGATCCTGGTTCGGGTCGTCGGTGCTTCTCCGGTCACTCGGCTCCGCTCCATTTTCACCGGATGGGTTACGAAACTCAGTCAGCATCGTCATCACAAAGCTAGCCAAATTTTCTAAAAGACGGATTCTACTATTACATGAAATGACGTCGTTTCGTTAACATAGCGTACTTGACGACGTCGTTTCCATCATCTTAGGTATGTCAATGTGGCAAAAAGAGCTTATGTTATGTTCACTCATTTTAAATTTATTTTTCCATTGGAGATAAAATGTCAATGTAGAAAAAGATGAAGTTCGAGAACGAGAAGACAATATTTTAGTTTTCAGCTCCTCCCATTTCCTATCCTTTGTAATTAATTTTACAAAAACTAAATTAAAATGAGCTCCTTCACCACAAAAACTCCGCCACCGTATCTCCGCCGTCCAAATTACCATAGCCGCTTAAACCTACCGTTCTCCGTCAAATGCAGCGCCGGAGAATCCCAACAAGACAGCTTCACTCGCCGGAGAACACTGACCTCACTTATAACATTCACGGCCATCGGCGCTGCTGCCACGTCATCAGCATTAGCACAGGAGAAATGGGGAACGAGGTCATTCATTAAAGAGAAGTATTTTCAGCCGGGGCTATCGCCGGAGGATGCGGCCGCGCGTATTAAACAGACGGCAGAAGGATTAAGAGACATGAGGGAGATGTTGGACCACATGTCGTGGAGGTACGTTATATTCTACATAAGACTGAAACAGGCTTATCTGTCTCAGGATCTGACCAACGCCATGAACATCTTACCGGAGAGTCGCCGGAATGATTACGTTCAGGCGGCAAATCAGCTAGTCGAAAACATGAGTGAGGTATAAGTTAATTAATGATTTATTGATTTGTTTAATGTTGATCAATACGTACATGCTAGGATTTGATTGTTACTAACGGAATCTCCTTTGCAAAATTGTTTGAATTTACAATTTACAAACAATGTTTTTTGACAAAAATCTGATTGACAAAAAAAGTTGAAGTATTGATATTTTCTAAACTATGATTGAGGTAGATGTAAATTACAACATTTGAATATAAATGTGAGAAAAAAATGTTTGAATTCATTTGTTAATATACGATTTAATATTGAAAAAAAATGTTGTATCGATTTGCAAGTTGCATTGACTAAAACGTAGTTTCGGATTTCCTTCGATTTACAAAGAACATTCATTGACTAAAACTAAAATGGTGCGTTTTGTTATTTTGTTAATGGTGCGTAAAAATAAAACGGGGAATACGATCCAATAGAAGTGAAACTACAAGCAAGCCACATGATAATTTCATATTTTGTCAATGTTTAATAATAATTTTGTTAAATGTCTTTGATGCAATATAGTTGGATTTTTACGTGCGGACGCCAAAGGTGTACGAGTCGTATCTCTACTACGAGAAGACATTGAAATCGATAGATAACGTGGTGGAGCTTCTTGCTTAATTGTATTAGTATTGTATATATATATCTCTTCATATGAAATCTCGAGACTCATTATATTACATTACAATAGATTTAAATTTAAAGACCTTAATTAGTACTGTAGTTTCGAGACACATTTCGGCCATTTTTCGATGCAAACTCAGACCGATATATATGTGCATAGATAACTTAATGGCGTGAGAGGGAGATAGCAGAATTAATAACAAGAAGCATGAGGAAGATTAATGCGCAGAAAGAACCAATGAGAGATCCCGAGATGCGTTCGCAGAATCCGTTAAATTGCTGGCAAATCGGCGGCCAATTAGCGGTTGTGTTGCCCTCATGAGCTAAATACACGGTGGCTGTTGCTGCAGATGCACCGGAGCTCACCAAGACCAGCATCACCTTGTTATAAGAAACGATAAATCCGAACATGCATTTTAAGTGATCGGCTCGTTTAGATATAAAATTACATATGGGTTTCATATAAGCAAAAGGCTGGCTTGGATCACAAGTTATCTTGTCTTCTGTCACAAGTTAGATTGCTATGTTTATGCATATGTTCTTTTATCCTATGATTTTAGACTTTAACTGTGTTCTGAATATCAGTCAAGGTAGCTCTAAGCGTTCTTCTCCGTAGAAGATTGTTGCGGTTAGTTTAGACCGCCACTGAATATTACTCATTACTTTCAGTTATATACTTTAAAATCATGAAACAGTGGAGTTGCAGTTTTAGAGAAGAGGAGTAGCTAAGAAGAAAGGAAGACGCGTTTACCGTGTCGATGGCGAGCAAGATGATTCTTGAGGTTTTAGCTTTAGTAGTGATGATATGAAAGATACTCACAGGTAGAGAAAGAACCAAATATCCACCAGCAACCGCGTTTGCAACCACGAAAAACCTGCGAAACAGAGCAATATTTTGACATATAATTATACAAACATTTATACAAAAAACGATATTGAACACTTGAGTCTTTTACATGAGCGTTGGTAAGTCGCTGTATTTAGCCTTAAGGAGTATAAGCTGAGTGAAAGAGACAACTGATTCTTGTGTTGTTCCCATAGCGAGTGCGCTTCCTATGGTTCCAAAAACAGCAAATACCCGCAGAACAAATCCAATAGTCGATATTCCTTTCTTTATAACTAGCTTTGGCTCCAGAGTTATAACTTTTCTCGATGACGTTGAAGTTTCCCCAGCTTCAATTTGCTTTTCTTCCTCCATTTTTTCTTTGTGACTGTTACACAAAAGGGTCTGCGTACAGTTTATATGGGTTATCCATAGTGAAGAAAACCCAAGAAGTGGTTAAGACTTTGAATAGTTGATCATTATGAATAAATTAAAAAAAAAATTGTAAAGCATAAGTGTAGTATTCATATACAGACAGAGTTTAGGTTTTTGCTGAGGACATACAATGAGCAAAGATTATTTTGTAATCTTGTGTTTATCCTCTATTTACCTGCTCTAATTTGTTACATCCGACAACAACCAATATATAGGAGTTCTCTTTTTGGCGTTATATCCATGTCTGTAGTTAATAACCTAGAGCTATAAACTCTCTAAAGTGTTTACTAATTTAACTGTTAGTTGCAGAGGGGGAAAGTATCTAGAAGATAACAAAAATAGTTAAAAGATATCAAGCATAAAAAGAAAAAAAAATGAGGATGTAGGAGGAGGGCAATGAAGTGATCACGGTGTTTTATTGTTTTGTCTTTGATAGGCGGCGTTTCACGCTTGTTTATAAAGAAGAGTGAAATTATTTATTTTGTCCCACATCGGTAACAACAGAGACGTTAGACATAAGTTTTTGAATATAAAAAAGATTGCGGAGCCTCACATTCAATCCATACCTTTCTCAGTTTAAAGCCCACCAAAATAGCTTGCTATCTGGGCTTTCACAAGTCGCCCATGCAATGCACTACTGCACGGGCCTGGCTTAGCCTATCAACTAATAGTTCTAATTTTAAAAACAACCTAAACTAATCTCCACAGAAGTATTAAAATACGACGATGAAAAATGTAAATAGTAGAAAATTTCTCTTGCGTTTATTAAATATAAAAACCTGTACTTTTCTTAAATAGAAAAACTTCTACTAGAAAAGTAAAGAGAGTAACCTCGTCCCACATCGATTATATTTACAGTACCGCGACTCTATAAATACAACAAAAAACCAAAGAGTTCAATAATCGTCACAGGAAGAAGTGACTGGGCAACGAGCTTGTCGAAGTTTATGCTCAGGAAAGTCGCCGGGCCACACTTATCCGCAGAGATGCGGCCTTGGCAACGAGAGATTCTTGTGATTGGAGAGACATATCGGGGCTGAGACGCATGTGTGTGGAGCCTTCATGGTCTCTCCGACGAAGACACATTGGCCAATTAAACAGTAATTCACTTGGGGGATTTAACAGAACGGGGCTTACTTCCCTGAGACGAAAACCTTATTAATTAAGCTACAAATTTTTGTAATTAATTTCAAGCAGATATATTCTTTTTTCTAAATTAGTGTGCCCGTTTTTACTGGGACCAAAAGTGGTGAGTTTGTCATTTATACACAGTGCCATGGTTGTTCGTAAAAGAGCCTAGTTTGAGAAATATAGGTATTTTTATGTAATGCTGCACAATAGTGAGAGGTTGGTTTACCACAAAAGCACTCAAGAAAATTCAAACAGTATAAGTCCAAAGTAGAAATTAAACAGTAATTCACTTGGGTCCCTCACGGGGGATTTAACAGAACGGGGCTTACTTCCCTGTGACGAAAACCTTATTAATTAAGCTACAAACTTTTGCAATTAATTTTAAGCAGACATGTTCTTCTTTCTAAAGTAGTGTGCCCGTTTTTACTGAGACCAAAAGTGGTGAGTTTGTCATTTATACACAGTGCCATGGTTGTTCGTAAAAGAGCCTAGTTTGAGAAATATAGGTATTTTTATGTAATGCTGCAAAATAGTGAGAGGTTGGTTTACCACAAAAACACTCAAGAAAATTCAAACAGTATAAATCCAAAGTAGAAATTAAACAGTAATTCACTTGGGTCCCTCATGGGGGATTTAACAGAACGGGGCTTACTTCCCTGTGACGAAAACCTTATTAATTAAGCTACAAACTTTTGTAATTAATTTCAAACAGACATATTCTTCTTTCTAAATTAGTGTGTCCGTTTTTATTGGGACCAAAAGTGATGAGTTTGTCATTTATACACAGTGCCATGGTTGTTCGTAAAAGAGCCTAGTTTGAGAAATATAGGTATTTTTATGTAATGCTGCAAAATAGTGAGAGGTTGGTTTACCACAAAAGCACTCAAGAAAATTCAAACAGTATAAGTCCAAAGTAGAAATTAAAGATGAAAGACGACACACCCCTCGTGTTTACATTTCTTATGCGAACTGCATAATTAAACAACATATTTCTTTCTACAAATAAACACCTTTCTGTAAAAAAAATTTGCGACATATTTTTTCTGAAACTGATGAACACTCTCTCGATCTTCTTTAGTCTTGAATAAAAAAGAAAACCATAAAGCATTACTTTTCTAAGACGGGTCTTTTCTCGATTTAAGAAACACGGTTTCTTCTCTTGGAATTCGAATTCTGCAACAACATATCATATGCACGTAAGTGGGGAATATCTTGATGGAATATCTCAAATCTTGTGAACCAGAACATACCAGTTTGCTATAGTCGTGATCTTTAGAACCATCGCGTTTTGCATATTTGGCTTTGCTCGAGCTTTCGGTCAGTTGAGAGAAATAAGGAAAAGACGTTGGCAGCAAGACAAGTCCATGATCCATGTTGAAAGAGTTAGCTCTCAGCCGCAAAACTACTTGCGTAAGAGCTTTCATGGCGGCATCAGGATTTCCTGTAATCTGACCATAAACAAAATGGGGACAGTACTGGCTTAGTTTTACAGCAAGAAGCAAAGTCCAAACGCTGTATGACTAACAATTACCTGAACCATTTCTTCATCTTCACGCGCAATTTTTGGTACATTTTCTTTTTGGAGAATACGGATATTTGCTCGTGTTACACTCCTCATCTCGGATATAACAGCTCCACCTTTGCCAATGACACACCCGATTTGGGAACTAGGCACAAGCAGACGAGTTGATATTGCTGAATCATTTGAATCTTTACCAACTTTCTCACTGCATCGAACCTGCAAACGTATCGCTGCATTCACCGCTGGAGACTGATCTTCGTAGAACTACATACCAAACGAAGAAGCCAGCTATAAAGATTAGCGTGGTTGAAATATTAATAAAAAACTACGAATGGGATACGAGAGATTAGGCATTATACCTCTTTTGATGAGATGAAAATGATGGAATCCTCTTCATCAGTTTCTGAGGTATTGACTCTAATCGTTGCACCAGTTTCTTGCCTGATCTGATTAATGAAACCACCACCTTTTCCTATAACACCTCCAACGTTTTCAGCAGGACAGATGAAGCAAACACAAAACTCCCTCGCATCTGCTACATCTCTATGCACGGCGTAGTTCCTGTGAGAGCTCGTTGGTGCTGCAGACATCAACATTCCCACAGGTTGATGCACGGAACTTGAAGATGTCAGGAGTGAGTGCTGAAACCGTGAGGGATTATCATGAAGCAGTGAAGCAACTTGATAAAGAGCCTCTCTAACAACCAGAGGTTCTCCAATTATCTGGAAAAAAAAAATAATCAACCAAAACACACTCAGAGGACTTTCTTCTATTAATCATAAATATAATTATGAGTGTAATAATCACCTGAAGAAGCTCATCATGACTCAAAGTCAAAGCACAAGCTGGTAGATTATCTTTGATGACACGAATCTGAGCATTGGTTTCATTACGCAGATTCTGGATCACTTGCCCGCCTTTCCCAATTACACAACCAATTTGGTCTGACGGCACAAGCATCCTTACAGTAACCGTTTGTTTCTCACTAAGAACATCATCGTCATCATCATCATCATCATCACGATCATCATCATCAGCAGCAGCAGCGTCAGTGTCTTTCACAATCATGTCGTGAACCTTGAAAAGAGCGTCCAAAGCAGGACAAACAAGCTCTCCATCGTCACCGAAATGGTTTAACTCATCGCTAGTAGAATATATGGTAACAACACGCTCGTCGCAACCGGGCAGAGCCTCGTTGATCCTCATGTTTGATTTCGTGTCGGACCTTATCTGCTTTGCGATCTCACCGCCTTTCCCGATAATGCTCCCTGTCTTTCTCACGGGGCACAAGTAACGAAACACGGTGTCTTCTGACCCGATGACATTAGGATCTGTTTCATCATGAACATTTCTTCTCTTACTTCCTCCGTTTCCAGTAAACTCAGATTGGAAATTAGATCTCTTACCATGGATGTTCCTCATAGTACTAGCCATTTCAACAATGCCGCACGAAGCTGGAAACAAAAAAATAAACTATGAGAATTAATTCCGAGTTAAAGATTCTTGCTTTCCAAATAATCATATGATCCTCTCTATATATCAACAAATACTGAAGAAGAAATACGCAAAACAGAGCCGTAAAAAGTATCGTTGCGAGTTCTAAATCCAGGTCCATAGGGAGAGATGATAAAATTCAAATATAGTGATCAGATCTAGTAACTATCACACACACAATTGAATTACTAAAAGAGTAGCAGAATAATCTTAGTCCGTAATCCCGAAAGCCCAAAAACGCAATAGAAACACATTTTGAGTTTGACTTCATCCGGTCAACTATATGCTAAATCAGGAAACAAAAATCACTCGCGAAACAAGCATTAGATCAAAATCTCTTTCTAAAAATAGCTCTGTATGAAAATTGAGCCACGAAAACCATCGGATTCTTACGAACCCAACCGATCAAAAGATCCCATGACCGACAAAAATAGCCAGATTACATGAATTCGATTCTACGAACACTCATCGAATCAGAAATTTGAACATGCAATACTTACAGTAGGAGAATCAGTCAATGACCGGAGCTCTTGACGGAAAATGTATGTAGCAGCCACTCGGCTTCTCTCTTCGCCTTCTGCTTCTATGGTTTTTTTTGTTTGTTTGGGGGTTTGAAAGCAGAGAGAAATGCAAGTACTGGGGCTAACGTTTATAAATATAAAATATCTGGAGGTTGCGCGTGTGACAGGTGGCTTTTTAGTTTTTATCTCTTTTAACTGTTCTTCGGGACGTGACGGCACGTAATGTATAAGGGATGTAAACCCATATAATTATATATATATTTTTGTAACTGTAAATGACTATTTCCAGGATTATGACGAAATAATTAGTATGGCTTTTGAAAAAATAATGAATATTATAATCGTTTTATTTTGTGATGAACTGATGAATTAATAATACTCATATAGATCGACACAGTAAATGCATTTCTAAAATTCTGTTGTCACCAACTACATTGAAAATTAATGTTCAACTATCATGATAAGTTTGGTGAACTAATATTTTTGTATTGCTTAACGACGCCATACAAATGTTGACAAAAGAATAAAAGAGTAAAAATCAAATTATTATTATGACTTATAAAATTATAATTTTCTTATTCCACTTCTGTCTGGTCGTGGCATAGAATTATTGAGTAGCTGTGAATTATACATTTCTTGCAATATAATTACCCAACTAGTATGAATTAGTCTTTGTTTCAGCATGTGCTAGATTGAAATACATTCATATCTAAATTATATAGAATAGAAAAACAATTCATATTATCTGTTTATAAATAGTGGCAAACTACTATTTAAATTATATGTAATCCAATTGATAGGCTGTATAAACCACAAGGCATATTTTTTTTTTGTTCAAAATGGAATCGATGCTCAAAAGAGGTAACAGGCCCCATCATACTTCTGAAGCAGCCCATGCATTGTATCGAGACAGAGTTTCAGAGAGACAGATAGTACTTGTTTTGGTTTTTTTCAAATTATCTCAATAATTGCAAATGTTCATGGAAGCATGCGTTTACTATTCATCAACTTGACGGCTCCTCGTCTCTCAACATACGTACATGTCTCCGTTTAAAGTGGATACTGGATACCATTACTGTGGGCTAGCCCAAAAACACTGAAGTTTTGTTGGGCTTGTATTTTATTTTCCTTGTTCTCATGCTTTAAATTGAAAATCGTTTCTCGACAAAAATATCTTCCGCAGTTTTGAAAACATGTTGGTAAGATTTCAGAAACTTTTGTCAAAAATTGGACGATTTACAACAATTTATCTACAAACTTCTTTTTTTTTGTGTGTGTGTTAAAAGCACAATTTACCTTAAGATCTAAATACTTACGATAATTTTCGGAAGACTCATAAAATTTGTCAAATAAGGGTTATGTTATACAAACAAGCTGGGCAAATGTGAAGCTGTCTGTATTCGATTGATAAAGAGATATACTGTATACAAGAAAATATCCATAGTATAATTATTCAATTCAATATATGCAATAGTAGCATTAATTTTCATTGACTAGAATTCAATGAATACATTATTAATCCAAAATTAAATGCATTCCGACTTTTCTTTTGTCAGCAAATGCATTCAACCTATTAATCACATTGACTACTGATTTGCTATAACAGTCTTTCTTTCTCTTCATAATATAGTAATAGTAGTATCATTTAGATAGATAAAAAAAAAAAAAAAAAGGTAAAGGTAGAGATACAAACAGTACAGTAAAGAAGAAGCACAGTATCTCCCTCTTTCCAAGAAATTAGGGTTTTTTTCGATCGAATTCGCGGCAAGTAGGATCAATTTCTTCCGACAGCAGTAGCCTTCTTCCTGATTTTGCTCTACGACGAGTTTCGATGCAGTAAGCCCCTTTACTTTACTCATCTCTGCAAATCTTCTAACGAAGTACTTTACTGTCATTGTAAGATTCATTAACGCATTTTGCAATGAAAATCTCTGGCATAGAATCTCAACAATGTGGGCTATTCTTCGTTGTTTGATCTTCTTTCTGAAGAACAAAAAGCATTTCGAAAACTAAAGGTCCGATCTTTGCTAGTCGTATGAATGATTACTGGTTGGGTCGTTTCCAGATTTGATTTTTGTTTGTCCGTGAATTGCTACTATGTGGTGTTTATCTAGTGAGAACTATGCTAGTCTTTATATATCTCTCTGGGTAAGCTTTGGTACAATGTGAATTCAAAAAGTCCTGAGTAATGTTTTTTCTTTTTGGTGATTGAAAGTTTGAAACTTTTGGTGCTATATGATTCTTTCTCAGGTGTGCTAAGCTAAAGACAAGGAACAAACCCGAATCCAAATATGTTTTTGCCAAATTTGTCTCATAGTTTATGGATTTGGAGAGGTGTTTAAGCTTGATTTTGGAGTATCTTTAGACGTGTTGAAAAGCCGTAAGCTTGAGGGGTTTCTTAGCCAAAAGGGTCTGTCTAGTGAAATCAGCAAAGGATGGGTTCGCTCTGTTGTGTTGCTGCAAAGTCAGATAAATCAAATTCTGCAAGCCGGGATTTTTCGTTTGGCCCGTCTGAGCCTTACTGGAGAACGAATACAAGTTTCTCTCCACCTTCCTCGAGATGGGATGTCCACGGATTCATCGATGGTGTTAGCATTTATGGATCTTCCGCATCATCAAATGCCAATGTTCTTCGCAGTCCCGACCTTTCTCAGGCTCTTCATTGGACACCTAATGATTTTGAATCTGCTGCAACAACAAGAGGTTTTTGTTAGCACTAAAATTCACATTCTTCTGTTTTAACATCTTCACATCCACCAAGATCCTCTTTTCCTGGTTTGATCAGTGTATCTTTTTTGTTTTGTTTTTTTCATTTCTCTCTGCAGATCAGATTCTGAAGCAACTACCGGGTACATCAAGAAACGTCGGTACCGGGTGTTCGTTCTCGTCTTGTTCTGATATTGCTGACTCTGAACCTAACCGGAACTTCTCGAGCCGGCGATTTTTTCTGTCTAAGCCGGTTCATCCTATACTGCATCCTTCTGACAACGCTAGAGAAACAACATCCGACTCTGCGGATGCCTGTAGTTGGAGCAGCGGGACGACAGGCAGCATCGATTCTGTGGATGTTCCCGAGCCAGTTCTTGATTGGGATACTAATAACTCTGCCAAAGCACAAGGAGTAGTAGTTTCATCTTCATTTAAATGCGGATTGTGTAACAGACACCTCTCGCTGAAATCTCCTTGGGGGTCTCGGTCCATCGTAAGAAACCGAGACATGCCCATCACAGGGGTACTTCCATGTCAACACGTCTTTCATGCGGAGTGTCTTGACCAATCAACTCCAAAGGCTCACCGTAACGACCCACCTTGTCCAGTATGCTTCAAACATGAAGGAGAACACACCAAACTACACAACGTTGTCGAGAGGCTTAAACCGCTTCGTGAAGATGGGCCATCGACAAGACCGTGGGGCTGTGCTCAGGCCGGTGACTGTGTTGAAAGCGCTTTTAATGTGCCGCCGAGAAACACCATGGTAATGATTAACCGGAATCGGATAAGGAAAAACCTTCCGTTGAGAGGATATCCAAGAAAAGACTCTCCGAGGAAAATCAAGAAAAGTAGCTCAGTTTCCATTGAAAATCTGACGAATCAAGTCTCGCTTGTGCATTCTAGAGGGAAAGAGAAAGCTTAATGGGAAAAAGAAGCAGAAATATCAAAAGGTCGATTCTTTGACCTACTTAAATTTTAACCTTTTGACTGAGTAATTATTCTTGGAAATCATTAAAGGGCTGTAAAATTTGTTTACAGCTTTGACTGTTATTTTGGTCTTGTAATCATTCTATCTACCTGCTGGCCGACCATTTTAACCGGTTTATTACCCAATCGTCAAGCTTCCTTGGTTCGGTTTGTCTTGAAAATTGAGTAAAATTATGCCAAATCCGGTTTATCTAGACTGCTGAAAACCTTCACTGTGAAGCCAAAACTTTGACCCAATCTCATTTGACCTAATAAAGCTTCACAAATGAAACTAAAACTTATACTACCAAATTAAAACCGATGAAACATGAAGTTAATATGAAACAAGTTACAAGTCTAAACAATCTACAGTTTCAGCTAATCTATAACATGTATAATATTGTACATGCACTTTTCTCTCTTACAACACTCACCAAGAGAAACCAGAATCAATAATGAAGACCTCCATGAACATCATCATTTTCTTCGCAGTCGTTCTCTCCATTTCTGCATTCTCCTCAGCCAAAACGAGCCATGTGGAAGCTTGCATAAGAAGAAACCTCGCTCAGTCGCTTTCTCCTTCTCCTTCAAACGAACCCGAAACAACTCATTTCGAGGTGGCAGAAGAAATATGCGGAGACGAGACAAGAATCGTCATGTACTTCTTGAAACTGAACGGAAAGTTCCCACATTACTACGTCAGGGCGTTGTGCAATATATTTGGAGACGACGAAAAGGATGTGAAGGAATACGTTATTAAGAAATGGTTGATTCATTCGGAGAATCTCATCAACAGTTTAACGTGTGCTTCTCATTAAAAGATCTGTACTGTAATAGATTATTTGCCAAAATCGAAAAAGTAATCTAGTTTATTATAATGAGTTTCCTACAACACCCTCTCTTTAATTATTTCATCTCTTAATTCGGAATTACTAAAGAGATCTTAGCAATCATAACGACATTTGCAAATGTGTTTTTTCCAAGCCAAGATGACAGTGGGGTGATCAAAACATTGGCAACGCAATTTCTGTTCAGGTTCTTTCTTTTGCATTTCGTTTATGCACACATTGCTTCCCTCTTTGCCACATTTTCCCGGGAATTGATCTGCAAGTTCACACACTCCCTTTGTCTGCTGAGGAGCCGCTTCCACCTCTGTTTTCATATATATATTAACCACAAGACGTTGTTATATTGTAGTAAATAAATATATACATATTTAGATGAATAATTGACAAGATCAAAATTACCTTTCATATGGTGTAGAATGATGAACATCAGAAAACAAGATATCATTAACAACGTAGCAGATTTCATGATCAAAAAGAAATGATTAAAAGACTGTTTTGGTTTACTGCATAAACTGGTAAAGATAAATGGTTTTTCTTTGTCAGCATTTTACCAACAACACTTGTAGTTAAATATATTCAAGATAGGATAAAAATAGCTGTTCCAATTAACTTATGGGAAAAGGAAAAAATAAAAAAAACTGAAAGGTAGAGCTAAGTCAAGTAGTTCGACAAGATAGTGATAGTGATTTATTTTTAGAAAAAAAAGTATTGTGAAATAGTATTGTTGACAATAAACAAAAAGAAGTTAACTGAAGTTAGAGAAATTTAAAGAAAAGCTGGTATCATAATTCACAAAAATAGAGTCAGCTAAAAACTTTTTCAAACCCACCATCAGTTATAAGTGCCTTTTAAGAAATAAATAAACTAATCAAATAAATCCTCTTATCTTTTATAACTTTTCACTAGTATTCATCTTGAAAAATCTGTAAACAACTTTTGTTCTTTAGTTTGAATCTATTTCATTTGTGCTAATGTTTGGCTCGTTTAACTATTACTTTTTCTTAGCATTTGAACAAAACAAAAAAAAAACTATTACTTTTTCTTAATAAATCTTTTTTAATCACATGACTTGAATGTGTGTATCTTGTTTTGATACAGTCCTGAGTCCACTACACATTGCGTTAGATTTTTCAGACAGTGGTCGTCTCTTTTCATACTCTTTTTCATTTCTCATGCTGTTAGTTCTGGTAAAGGTTAATTGTTTCTTTTTTGTTTTTTGTTTTGTAATTAATGCTGTTGCTTCATCCACTCAAAATTTTAGTTGGAACAGCAAAAGGTAAAAATCATAATTATCCAGGGCCATAACTTTAAGGCATGGATATATGATTATGCAAGGAAAATTTCATAATTATCCAACAAAGATAGCATCATGATCTCTAACCATGCGCACCTTAGCAACAAACTTTTTTTAGCTATCTATTTGTTGACCATTTTCTCAGATCATTATGTCTACACTGTTAATGCCTTAAGAGACACAAAGTCATCACTTAGACTCACAACCTCTTCCACTATAAACCATATAATCACTTTTCTTCAGACAAAAATCTCGTCTTTGAGTCTTGAAAACATGTCTCCTCTTATGTTTATCTTTATCATTTCCATGTTCGTTAATCTGTCACAAGGTATTGTAGAGTGTCTTCTTGTTTTGAAGCCTAAAATATTGCCTTTTAGCTTTTGATGAAAATGTTGGTTGTTTGTTTTTCTGTCTGCAGGGATGCAAATGCCTTACATGACTTCTGATCCAATAGAAATCTCCGGCAAGTCATTCGACTACATAGTTGTTGGAGGCGGAACTGCGGGATGTTCCTTAGCCGCGACTCTGTCTGAGAAGTTCTCTGTTCTGATCATCGAGCGCGGTGGTTCGCCTTACGGAGATCCATTAGTAGAAGAAAGAAAGCTCTTTGGATACTCACTGCTGAAAACAGATGAATACTCATCGGTTGCGCAGAGTTTCACCTCCAGAGATGGAGTCGAGAATTACAGAGGACGCGTTCTTGGAGGGTCGTCTGCTATAAATGGCGGATTCTACAGCCGAGCTAGCGAAGAGTTCGTGAAGAAAGCTTGTTGGGACAAGGAACTGGTTCAAGACTCTTATAAATGGGTCGAGTCTAAAGTTGTCTTCATGCCGCAGCTTACTCAATGGCAATCCGTTGTGCAGTTAGGGTTTCTTGAAGCCGGCTTTTACCCTTATAACGGGTATAGTTTGGAGCACACGCAAGGGACAAAGATTGGTGGAAGCATATATGATGAGTGTGGGAAAAGGCATACATCTGCAGATCTTTTGGCATTTGGTAAACCAAACCGCATCACTGTTCTTCTAAAAGCAACGGTAAAGAGTTTAATCTTTGATGGTAACAAGACGCGTGTGGTTGGAGTTAGGTTTATGAAGAGTGATGGGAGCTCAAGTAAGAGCTATAAGGCTCATGTTGAGAAGCATAGAGGTGAGGTCATACTCGCGGCTGGAGCTTTAGGTAGTCCGCAGATTCTCCTCTTAAGCGGAATTGGACCAGAGAATCATCTAAAGGCTTTCGACATTCCTGTGGTTGTCAATCTCAAAGAAGTAGGAAGAAAAATGTCGGATAATCCAGCGATCTCTCTTCTCGTTGATAGATTCTCGCAGAACCGCACACTCGAGCCACCTCAAGTCGCAGCGATAGCAGAAGGTTACAAGTTCATACTCGAATCCGAGGTTCTTCCAACAGACATTACCACAACAAGGATCTCTATAGCAGCGAAGATCGCCTTTCCTAAGTCCAAAGGCAGGCTCAAGCTTAACAGCGTTAACCCTAGGGAGAATCCTTCAGTGAAATTCAATTACTTGGAGAGCGAGGAAGACCTAGAGGCATGCTTAGAGATGGTTCTGCTTCTGCAACACGTAGCGAGGTCAGAGACTGTGACGCTTTTCTTGGGGACACAGGCTCAGGAGAAGAAGCTCTTGGGAGGTGATGAAGAGCTTAAGGGCTTCTGTAAAAAGAATGTGAGGACTTATTATCATTACCATGGCGGCTGCGTTGTGGGATCTGTCGTGGACGAGGATTACAGAGTGAACGGTGTGAAGCGATTAAGAGTGGTTGATGGTTCGACGTTCGAAGAGTCACCAGGAACGAATCCTATGGCTACGGTTTTAATGTTGGGGAGGTATCAAGGAATCAAAATACTCAGAGACCGAGAAGCAGAGAAAGAAGAAGATGAGAGGATTCAGAGTCCACAAGGAAGCCCACAACCACAACCCTAGTGTTTTGTTTGAATCCCCACAAGAATCTTTTGTTTTGTGTTGTTTGTGGCAATGAATCATGTTCTTGTAATACAAAATCATGTTCTTGAACTTTTCAATTCCAGCATCAAATTTTTTTATTGAAATGGAAATTCATTCATTCAGGGAAAACAAAAGAACGAAAACATATACACAACTTTCTTCTACCAAAACCTAATCCTCTGTCGCATCTCGAGGGTTCGAGTCACCGTTACTTTGTCGTCTTCTTCCTCCGTCTTCTGCGCTTCTTCTTTCGCCGCCGTTGACAGAGAACCCAATCCAAACCCCGATTTTCTTCTCTCCTTGTTCTTGTTCAACGGGCATCTCGTACCTGCACAGAGGACACGTGGCGTGAACCCCCAACCACTCCTCCACACACTTGGAGTGGAACTTGTGCTTACAAGGCATCTCCGCAGCCACGTCACCTTCCGACCACTCCTCAAGACAAATCGCGCATGACCCTCCTCTCTCCTTATCTTCTCCGATCACGACACGTGGCATACTCTCCACCGATGCTTTCGACGCCGGCGATCGTCCCTGTTTCCCTAAAACGTTGCCGTTGAAGAAATCGCCGGGTCCCAAAGCCGATCTGATCATAACCACTCTCCGGTTCACCGGATCGATGACGATCTCTCTGTGTCCCGTCGTCTGATCGGTCGACTCTTCGTCCTCATCGGCTTCTCCGGCCAAAGCTAAAATCACCGGTAAGAATCTAGAGAGACCTTCGCCTCCTTCGATCATTCTCTCGAACATAGCCGAAAACTCGGCGAAATCAGTCTCGGAAGACATCACGCAAAAGTCTACTCTAGACGAAAGACGTAAGAGAGGAAAAGAGCGGTTTTTTTCGAGAGAACAAGAAAAGGAGCTAACTTTCTCGAGGAAAAAACTGAGTTCGAAGAAAAGTGAAAACTTAGATACAGATCGGCGCAGAAGGGCTCAGAAATTATATATGTTAGCGAAAGGTTTTACAGTAGTTCATGAGGAAAAAGGAGAAAACGGAAAGTTGCAGAAGAATCTAGAATCATTTGTTGAAAATGTTTAATCTTTTTTTTTAACTTTAAATATTTATTATCCTTATCCTCTTTGAAAAACGACAACAAAACGAAGAAAGATATTTTACTGCGGTGCTGAGCCCCACCAATGGATTAATGTACGATGCATATGTTTGGTCAGAAAATCAAATCGTTTGGAATACTTAAAATTTAATTTCCCATCTGTGAGAAGTATTTAAAATCCCAATTTCATATCTGCACAGAAGGTGTTTGATTAAATTACACATAGAACATAGGTCTTTTAAGTGGGCGAAATCTTTGGACTCTAGATGCTTCTCGAATGGTTTCTAGCATGGCTGCTTTGAGTTCCCTATCTTCTATTCAGTTCAGAGTCTCTGACATTCTCGGAACTTGTCTGAAACCTTGTGTCCTCTTTCCAATTCGAATAACAAGTAAGTGTTGATTCTCCTTATACCCTTGTTTTTCTTCTTCTTCTTCTTCTTCTTCTTCTTCTTCTTCCATGTTCTTGTCTTGTCTTCCTTAATTGGCTCACAATTTCGACCCTTTAATCAGATGTGCCCGTAAAGCCGTTTGTGATTGAAGCAAGAGGCAATTCTCGAGTCGAGAACCCAAAAACCAGGAACCGGAGGAGCAGGAAGAAGGTAACTTTGTGGCATTTCATATAATAATACACAGAAGTTTGAATCTTTTTGCAACATTGTTTTAAGTTTCTTTCGTTTTGGTACAGTTTAACGGAACACAAACAAAACCAAGACTTTCAGTATTCTGTTCAGACAAGCAACTCTATGCTATGTTGGTGGATGACTTTAACAAAAAGTGCTTGTTCTACGGTAGTACACTGCAGAAGTCCATTCGTGGAGATCCCCCATGTACTGTCATTGTAAGTTCGGCCACTTGAACATTTTTAAAATCTGTTGTGACACCTGAAAAAGCTTGGAACTTTGATTAGAGTTTAGCGCGTCTTAAGTAGCATATACTGTGATTTTGCATTAATTTTTGTGCGACTTATAGCATTGGTGCCATTCTTTTTGCTTCACTCATTATCGTTTAGTTCACAGATTTGGTTTCTTATATGAGACAATGGCTTAGGGGTACCCGCACTGAGTTCTTGATGTAATTGTCTCTGTTCATGTTTTGAAGTATCATTTCTGTAGTGTAGTAAGAATTCAGGGTCGAAGAAACTCGATCTTGAGCGACAGTTTTGTCTTTTGGTCTGAATATCTATCTCTGTTTTTGTTAATGTTTTTTTTCAGGAAGCAGCGAAACGTGTTGGAGAGGAGCTCATAAAGGCATCTATCGACCTCAAGATCAACGAGATATCATCTTATGATCGAAACGGAAATGCTCGTGGCGAAAGAATGCAAGCCTTTGAAATTGCAATTGCGCAACATGGGTTCTTACCATATTAGGTGTATGTAACTCTCTATTCAAAGACTCATCATAGTTATTAGAAGCTTCTTTACCTTCACTCTCTTATTGAAACACAAAACACGCTCACTCTCTCGTTTCTTAGGTAGTCGAAACAGAAGGCATAACACTTTGAGAGTCAGTACAGGAATCTGTCTTTGGGGACTTTGGAAACTTGATCTTAGAAGCACATGATCCATCCGGAACATACGGGCATTCCACAAACTCTTTCGCGTAATTATCAAGACATATATAGATCTGGAAAAGCTGCTTCTTCCCCTCTACATCTTCATTACATTCGATACCCGGTGCAAACCCGATCACGCACTTGATCGCGTTCTTGATCTCTTCTAAACCGTAAAACCCATCGTTCGGTTTGATTCCTACACAGAAACAAACAATGATCAATCTACAGAACTTTTCCTGTGGGTTTCTGTTTTCTTTTTGATACTTCTATATATATAATAGTACCACTTTGTTTGAGGATGTTGAGGAGATCGAGTTTTTGTCTGAATTTGAGATTGGTGTGGAAGTAAGAGTGTTGGTCGAAGATAGATTGGACGCACGTGCCATGCTTGTCCCACTCGTGTTCCCATAGCTTAGTCTCGTTGCTTGGACATGTCCACACACCCCACTCTCCCCATTTCCTCTCCATCCTGCTTATGAGATCTGATACCTGTCATTTTTTTTCAATATTCAGCTTCTTGAAAAATATGTATTATTTTCCGATTTTATTGAATTTTTCTTCGGGTGTTTGAATATTTACATGTGTACTAAGGAAGCAATGAATCTTGTAAAATAATCTCTACTACTGTATGTAGCGTTCTAATATCTCAAATATAAATTTTGTTAAATTTCTTCGTGAAATGAAATACGATTAGGCTTCACTACATCTAAAATGGAGCTAGTAAATGCCAAAGCAATCTGTTCTAGGAGATACTAGATGATAGATCTACATCACCTTGGAGATATCGAAGAGATTGGTTTGATCGCAGAAGGCAGGCCATGTGCCATTGTTGAACTGAGGCCAGAGTCCATGGATCATAAAATCCGACGACGTTTTGGCTTCCGGTGGAGGAGGACAACATCCTTTTTGGCTTTCGCATATTGCTCCTGGCCACTACCATATGTACGGTTAGATTAGAAAATGTATGTATGTATAAACAAATATATACAGTATATTTGTATATGTATGTGTTGTTGGAAACGTACGTAGGTGACCCAATAGAAGAAATTGAAGTCTGGTGCTGATTGAGATGAAGACACGACAAGACTCTGCAAAACTAAGAAGCTTACGATGATGATTCCTCTCATTTGTTTTGCTCTCTGTGTTTCCTTTTTTCTTTCTTGGATTTATTTCCCAAAGACGTTACGACAATACTTGCTTTTATATAAAAGGACCAACTCCTTTTCTTATTTTATTATTCTCTCAAGTCTCAACTTGTTTCTCCACTAATGAAAAATGTACAAAACAATGCAACAGTGACCTTATAATAACATTGTTGAGGCATTGATTATGACACCCTTTAATGATGGTATGTCATTCGGCAAGCTCTTCCACGTGAAATAATAACTCTTAACCAGACGGGCTTTTGTAAATTAAACGGGCTTTAAATGTATATTATAGAATTGATGGGTTCACATGTGTTAAAGAGAGTAGTTTAGGATAAGTGATGCCATTTTTTACACATCAATCACGATACGCACATTTATAGTAGTAGACAAATCGTATATGTTTTGGAAGTGGCTATATACATGTAAACCGGTAACTAAAGTATATACAATTGTACAATTTTCTACCAGTACTTTTCGCTGTTGGACAATTTCTTTTGCTGTTATAGCAACATTTGACCAATTATTAAAAACTAGACGGTGCAGGCAAAATATTTTATATGTTCAATTATGATTAATATAGTATTAAATATGTTTTATTTGTATATGATTAAATTAATAATAAAATAATAAACATTAGATAATAAAAAATAATGATAAATTATATATCAGATATTATATATTTCAATAGAAAATGAAGATAAAAATATTAACTAAGTTTATAAAACATATTTTGAATGAAAATGTAAATATAATAACTAAATAAACAGAAAAACATTAAAATATATAATATTTTTTTAATTTTTATTTTTTGTAACCTTTATGTTTTTAGATGATGCAGTTATTGGCGTTTAACAACAATCACGAAAATCGTGTCTATCATTTTGTATTTAATCAAAGTTTCTTATTTTTCAGCGTTTGATGATATATGGTTTTTCAATAAAAAAATATTTTAAAATTTTTTTATAAAATTTGTGAAATTCTCTAGTAGCTCTCATCTCATCTCTTCATCAAATTTTTTATTATCCGCAATCGCTCGCTTCCACAAACTCTTTGCAACCGAATCGTTTAAACCAATCAGATCTAAACTTATATGTATGTGTATGATTTATGGTGTAAAATAATATATTTAATATTTGATTGTTATTAAAAATTAAAAGTTTATATGTTCCTAACTTTAATATATCTGTTCATATAAATTATAATTGATCACAACATATACAAAACATGATTTATGAAATAATGTTTTAATATATTAGAAAAAATATATGCATTAAAGAATTAATATGTGTAAGATAATATTTTTAAATATTTCAAATAAAAACTTGAAATCAATCAAAATTATTCTTTTTTTTTGTCTTCTTTGACTCATACTTTTTTTCTTAACATTTAATAATATATTAAATATTAAGTTCATCTCCAATATATTTTTTTATTTTTTCCTCAAAAATATAAGTAGATTTCTCTCCAACCTATTTCTATTTTAGAGAAAAAAAAAGATTGTTATTTTTTCCTCCAATTATAAAGAAAAAAATAACAACATTTTTTGTTCTTCTAAATTAGAAGATTTAAAATAAATATGGGTTGAAGATGCTTTAAACTAAAAAGATAACCTGAGATTTTTGAGTTATTTACACTAAAAGATACTTATAAGTTTTAATTTACAATCAAAAGCACTTATTGCTCCTAAAGGACTTTAAAAGTGTTTCTGGATTGCAAAATACCTACTCTACCCTTAATGAATTCTCTTCACTTAACCCTTAATGTTTTTCTTTGGCCACATCAAGTACAAAGACGTTTTTGTTCAGTCTCGGTCTTCTTCTTCATTCTTTTTATTCTTTTTTTCTACTTTTTCAGATGTCATTATTTTTTTCATTATTTTCTTCTTATTGTTCTACAGATACAAATAACGATATTTGATATTTCTACTATTTTAGAACATCAGTTGTTCAACGAAGTAAACTTATATCTGAAACTCAATTGGATTCCACAATTCAAATTATTGATTCAATAGTAACATTAAAATGGTGAATTTAAACATAAATAGAATATCTGTAATTCAGGCTCAAAGTGGATAGTATGAGATGGATAATTGTATGAATGGCTTAAATAACATGTACAAGTTTTTATGGATGTATTTTGGTGGATATATTTCTATGGATATGTTTATGTAGATATTATCTCACTTTAATCGGTTTCATAAAATATGTGAAGTTGTCGTGGATAGTTTGTCATGGACAAGTTTTTGTTGAAATGATTATATTTATAACAAAGACAAAAATTCATTAACGATGGACTAAGATAAATGGATAAAGCTTTGTCATCTTGACGAAACATAATTAGCAATAAATTTATAGTATTTATAAAATATCGTGGATATGATTAAATGACTCATTCGGCAGTCATGAAATATATAATATATTGATCAAAATTAAACATATCCATGATAGTTTGTCCATCGAAACATATCCATCCACAAGTTTAATTTTATCAAGGTACCATATGTTCAAAAAATTACTACATCATTTTGGTCCAGTGACTTTAAACCATTTTCAACTTTTTTTTATCCATTTCTTTATTTTTATAGTTGTATTTTATTGCAAGGAATAAGGATTGAGGTTTTAAAAATCTTCCTATACTATCATTGATAATATTATTCATTTACTCTGTTTATACTATCCTAAAATATTATATGCAATTTTATAGGTCTAGTAATTTTACAAGCTGATAAACAATTCTCAGAACTCCAATTTTTATAGAGGCTTATCCACCAAAAAATGATCATACAATTTTGTCCACCAAAAGTTAACGATCTGAGTTTAAGAGAAATCACCAAATATCCTGCAACAAAAAATCTGAACATTATGAAGATGATGCAAAAACCAAAAGTTTATATTCTAACAAAAAAGTTTAATGCCAAAAAAATAAAAGCATAACAAAGGAAAACTAAATTTTACCTTTTAGTACTTCAATTGCACAAAAATCATATTAATTAATCGAAAATCATCTATTTTAGAAGCAAAGATTTTGAATTGCTGAATTTTCGAATCCAGATTGAAGATCTTTAGCTTGTGTAAATGGGAAATATCAAACTCACACAATCGTAATTGTTGTTTCTCACGGCGGTCAGTGAGATACATGCTAAAAAATAATATAAGTATGTCAATCTGAGAACCAAATAGAAAGAAGAAATTTCTAGCTTTCAATTGGGAAAAAAAATAAACAAATAAAAATTACAGGAAGAAGAAAGGTGAACGTGGAAAGTGAAAAGTTTCGAAACTCAAAACTATGGAAGGAGAGATATAGAGAGGAATTTTTTTTTTGTAAATTAAAAAGGTATAAGTGACTATACACATAAGTAAAGTGTGAGTAGCAAAAAGTATTTTTGTGTGTAATTACACTTTGCTAAAGTGCCTATGGGCGTAATTTTCTCGAGATTTTTACATAAAACCAAAATCATAAAGATTCATTTTTACTTTTACTTTTACTTTTTATTCATATATATAATATTATAATAAAAAGTTAGCTAACTGGATATTTATAATTTATTTTTCTATCTGTTTATTTTTTGTTTTATTTATAATTTTGAATTCTTGCTATATAATAAGAATTCATTCATATATAATATAAACTTTTCTTATTTAAAAATAAGATTTATTTAATTTTAACTTAACCAATCAAAATATTTCATTTATTTTAAGAAATTTGCAATATCACATTTATGAAATGTCATTATTTTATAATAACTTTTGCTAAAGTGATGACACATCAGATTGTTTTATTAAACATGTTTATCAAATAATAGTTAAAATATTTGTTTCCGTAAATACAACGAGATAACCAAGATAGACGACAACACATGATCTTCTTCGTCACAGCACATGTAAAGAAAACAACTGACCGGTTCTGGAGGCAGCTTCATTACTTGAGATTTCATGAAACATACGTATTTTGCATTAGAATATAACCCTATAATTTATAGAAATACTATTATACCAAAGTTTATCTTATTAAATATAGATAAAGTAACATAAACTGTCACGTTTTAGAGGCCACGTGAAATTTGGGGTATGGAAAGAGGAGAGAAATTTCAAAAGATTACAAAACGAGAGATATAATTAATTGTGATCATCTGCCACAACGAATTAAGCACTCAAAGAAAGATCATATAATTAAAACTTAGCAAACTGGAGCTGAGAAGGACATCTTCCTCTAGGCAAAACTGGACATTCAATAAACTCAGTTCCTGATGTATCGACGCAAATGTAGATCTGGTGAAGCTGGTCGTTACGCTCGGGATCTTTGTTACATTCGATTCCTGGCGTAAACCCAATCGCATCTTTTATCGCGTTTCTGATCTTTATAAGATCATAGAATCCATCATCTGGTTTGATTCCTATAATCCCCACCCAAAAAAAGAAGAAGTTACATATTGAGTTTATGTATAAATGAACAATGCATTGATTTGACTGAATGTATATACACATACCGGAGTTTGTGAGGATTTGGAGGAGATTGGCTTTGTCTCTGAGTTTAAGAGAATTATCAAAGTAGTCATGCTGGTCCATTACGGATTGTGAACATGTGCCGTGTTTTTCCCACTCGTGTTCCCAAAACTTGAACCCTTCGTTGCTCGGACACGCTAGTGTTGGCCACTTCTTTTTCAAACTACTTACCAGATCCGTTATCTATATTCATTCAAATGTAGGATTAACTAAATAAAAATATATTAATTGGTGTAAGTAAAAAAAGACGATTACACAATATTTTATACCTGAGATTTATCAAATTCACTATCGGGATCGCAATTGGATGGGTAGGAACCATCTTTGTAATTAGGCCAAAGACCGTGAATACCAAAATCTGCCGCAGGTTTACCGGATGTTGGATAGCAACAACTACGCTTTGTATCACAATAGGCTCCTGGCCACTGCATATATATACATACAGGTATTTAGTGGCTAATCAATTTTGTGATTTTATATTACTAAAACATATATCTATGCTTGTCAAAAAGAATGATATAATTGAAGTGGGTTAAATCAGAGTAGAAACCTGAAGAACTAAGTAGAAGAAATCAAAGTCTTCTTGGGAATGTGAAATGAAAAGACCTTGAAACATTAGAAGCTTGAGGATAAACCAACCCTTTGCTCCCATTTTTTTTTTGGGGGTATCTCTTCGTTTCCGCACTGCATAATTATGAAATTTCGGCTTCAAATTTATAGTCAAACACAAATCGCATATCCGCTTAGTACCATTTACAAATTTTATTTGTTTATTAGTGGCGTGCCTTCGTGATTAGTTAAAAGACTCGGCATGATCTTCGTGATTATACTAGCTAGTTGACAGTAAACTCAATCTTTTGAGAAAAAAACTGTAAAAGCTTATAGTGACAAAATAAAAATGTATCTCCTTCCTTATGCATGGAACTCCCGTTTCCAATATGCTTAACTGATTAGAAAATTTGGGAAGGAATAATTTTTAACACACGTTACAACATGTGAACATGTGCACCAAGCTCAAACAGTTAAATTCACACATATATAGCCGACTAATTAATGTACATATTAACGTTTACTTATTCGTTAATGAATGCTTTGTAAGAAAGGGTCAAAGACTCAAATGTAGTAATCCTGATTGACTGATTGTTAATGATCTGTCCACGATTAGCGTTACACATAATCTTCGATCTTATCTCTTCAAGGTTCGAATTATATATTAACCCTCTTAAGAAAATAAGCAACATCAAATAAGCGCTGAAGATTAAAAAAAAAAAAAAAACTAATCAATAATAGAGGAGATGGGTACGAGGATTTATAATGAGCAACCACTACTAATCCAGTGCTTCCCGTTGATACGTGCAAACCAATTTATACAGGTGATCATAGTTTTCTTTAATGATATAAATGATACTGGCCACCTGTCATAGTTAAATAATGTTGTTAAATTATTCTTTATATATTTCTTTTCTTTGGCCAAACAACATATAACTATATATTTGGAAACTTTTAGATATAAATTATGTAAAATATTAAATAACATTTGTCAATATTTTTGTGTGTGAAAACTAACTCTGTATATATGGAGAGAGAAAAAAAAAGATTGAACTCAAAATAGTTGCGAGGAGAGTTAAAAAATAATAAAAATATATATATATATATATATATACTTGCGAGGATCCGTGGGATATCCATTTTCTAATATGCTTAATTAATCACAAAATTTGGGAAGAACCTATATATATATTTCAAATATTTACAACATGCGACCACGTTCAAAATCACATGTAATTTAGCTCGCCAGATCAGGAAGCTTGTGGAAGGCGACGCGGCAAACAAAGCTTAAGGAAATGCATCAAACACATACCTTAACAACGCTCACGTACGTTCTACTTCCACACCTGAAAATCCACGAGGAAAAGAGTATATATATATATATATTTTTTTTTTTAAAAAACAATACAAAAGAGTATTCACATAATCACATTGTAAGTACGACTTCTGTGGTAACGCTAAACAATTTACAAGAATATGGATATGAATTAACGTCGAGTTCGTCGGTCATGCAGGGAGAAATATTATCATGGGTTATCTATACATTTTGATTTAATTCTATTTTTCAAATGGTTTTTTTTTTTAAAAACCATACAAATTACAATGGTCTAGTTAAGAGTAAAATCATGTTACAAAAAAAAAAAAAAGTAAACCCATGCATTTTGCATGAATCATGAGGGAAGATGTATTGGATAAAAGGGGAAATAAAACCAATATAACTATAATTTAAACACATACTATTAGTTATACCAAAATGTATTTTATTAATCTGGATGAAGTAACATCAAATGTAACATTTGAGAGAGTCTCCTTGAATTTAGACTCTGAAAATAGAAGAGAAATGATAATAGATAACAACAACAACACATGAGATAAAATGAAGATCTTCCAAAACAATGAAACACTCAAAGAAAGAAAGGTATGACTAGAACATGGCAAACTGGACTTGAGATGGACATCTTCCTCTAGGCAAGATTGGACATTCGATAAAGTTAGCTCCCGAGGTATCAACACAAAGAAAGATTTGATGTAGTTGGTCGTTACGCTCCGGATCTTTATTACATTGGATGCCTGGCGTAAACCCAATCGCATCTTTTATCGCGTCGCTGATCTTCTGTAGATCATAGAACCCGTCATCCGGTTTAATTCCTAGAAAATTGACCAAAAACGATCAGTTAATTGAGTTTATATTCATTTACAAAGTGACTTTTTTAGTTACTGTATATAACTTGGATATATATACCGGAGTCTGTGAGGGTTTGTAAGAGATTGGCTTGGTCTTTGAGTCTAAGAGTAGTATCAAAGTAGGCATGTAAGCTCAGTACGGATTCGGAACACGTGCCGTGTTTCCCCCACTCGTATTCCCAAAACTTGAATCCGTCATTGCTCGGACACGCTAGTGTTGGCCAATTCCTTTTCAATCTACTTACCAGATCCGATATCTAGACATTCACATGTACGATATATATACATTATAATAAAATCATTGTTTGAGGGGAAAAAAAGAAGAAGGAATATATATAACACACAGTCCTATATTATTAGATATACCTGAGATCTATCAAACTCACTGTCGGGATCACAGTTTGATGGCCATGAACCATCTTTATAGTTAGGCCAAAGACCGTGAATGCCAAAATCTGCCGCAGGTTTACCGGATGTTGGATAGCAACAAGTACGTTTTGTATCGCAATAGGCGCCTGGCCACTGCATATATGCAAACAAATCTTATTTGGCTATATATATATGTGCGTACGTGTGTTTTGTCAAAAATGAATAATAAAACTGAGTTGAATCAGAGTAGATTACCTGAAGAACTAAGTAGAAGAAATCAAAGTCTGCTTGGGGTTGGGGTGGTGAAATGAAAAGACCTTGAAACATTAGAAACTTGAGGATAAACCAGCCCTTTGCCCCCATTTTATTTTTTCTTCGTTTCTGCAATGCATAGTTAAGTCATTTTAGCTTCAAATATATAGACAAAACGTATGGCATATATATCCCTTTGTACATTATTTAATTAGTTGTTTATTGGTGTCCTCGTGAATCACGAGCGAGGATTGGATAAAATATGTAGTGAGTATATATATATTGGCAAATTCTGGAGGTTATGCATTTTTTTTTTTCATTTTCCCATTTACAAAATGCTTAAATTAACTATTTTTTTTATAATATGCTTGACTAGTTTTAAATTCTTAGAATGGAAGTAGACTAAACGCAAGTGGAACGTTACAACATGTGAACACGTGACCCAAGTTTAAAAAAAACGAGCTAATGTATATACTAATTATTCGCTAATTAACGCTTTGTAAGAAAGGGTCAAAATCTAGTCATAGTTATATGTTAAGGATCTGACCTGTCACGATTATATATAGCGTTAAGTTATACCATCAATCTTAGATCCAATCTCTTCACATTAGGAATAGTATTTATTATTTCTTTTTTTTTTGAATTTTTTTATGTATTATTTCTTTAACAGAAAAAAATAAGCAACATCAAATAAGAGTTGAACATAGAAAATTAATCAATGAAGGAGGATAAGAAACGAGGTATTATAATAAGCTAGCAACCATTACTTAGCCACTTCCCGTTGATTAACGTGCTTACAGATGGATGATATACTAATCATAGTAAATCATTCAATATCCTAAACCTAAAAAAAGACTAATAATATTATTCGTTTTTTTTTTTGGCCAAACAAAAGACAAATAAAATAATATATATAGACAGTTGTTAAAAATAATCTAGAAATTTTCAAAATAACCTCTGTTTTCATTTTTGTAGTTATGAAAGCTATATTTTATTTGGTTGGATAAAGACATTTGTACCTTTATATATATATATATTTTAATTCTCTTTATTTTGGTTAAAAGTTGAAAGACAATAAGTTGCGTTTGATTTAGAAGTTTAATGTTTTCCATGGGGTTAAAATATATCGTATGAATGTAAAATAGTTTGAACATTTATTTGATCAATGTTCTTAACTTAAAACCATGCAATGAAATGGTCTAACTAAAATGGTTTAGATATGGCCCGACCCGACCCCACCGCGAAGTTGAAGGAGTAGGTGTGAAGTTGTGATTTGTAAAGGTCGTAAATGACTAAAGAGGCGCTCGAGTGACCAATTTCTCTTCTCCAGTACGAAAACAGAGACTGTCTGAGGGCATCGGCGACCTTCATCGGCGACCTTCATCGGCGGCGGTCTCCGACGGCCCTATCGATCTCCGATTACCGAATTAGATTCTACACTAAGAAGAGGAAACTTCGAATTCACAAAAAAATATACATTGGGTCTCGTTTGTCTGTTCTTGCGTTTTTTTCATCACGTTCAGATCTCATGATTCCTAGCCCGATCTCGTTGCGGCTCACTAAACGTTGATGCACCGATCTCATGCTCGTTCCAGGTTGAAAACTAAATCAGAGATGGATCCTCTCAAGGATCAGACTCGACCTGGCCAACGATCACCGCCGCCGTCGACGGCGAACACGCCCGCCAAACCCAAGTGTAAACCGGCGAAACCGATTATCCTGCTACTCATCGCTTCCGTCGCTATCGCCTTGGGGGTATTACTCGTATGCTACTCAGTTTTACTCTCCGGAAGGAATCGGCGAGTTTCGCTCCGGTACAGCGTCGTGATTGACGGCGGTAGTTCTGGGACCCGGGTTCACGTGTTCGGGTACCGGATTGAATCTGGGAAACCCGTTTTCGATTTCGGCGGGGAGAGCTACGCTAGTATGAAGCTGAGTCCTGGTTTGTCCGCGTACGCTGATAATCCCGACGGAGCGAGGGTGTCAGTGGCTGAGCTTGTGGATTTCGCCAAGGGAAGAGTTCCGAAAGGAATGTTGAAGAAGAGTGACATTAGGTTAATGGCGACTGCTGGGATGAGATTGCTCGAAATGCCTGTCCAGGAGCAGATTCTCGAAGTTACGAGAAGCCTTCTTAGATCTTCTGGGTTTGAGTTTCGAGACGAATGGGCATCGGTTATCTCTGGTTAGTTTTCAAAATCAATTCTTTGTTTGATCAGATGCAATCGTTGTTGTTCAGGATCACTGACCTTCAGTCCTACATTGTGGGAGTGAAGGGAGGGTCTTTAGTGCTCTTAAAGCCCCTTGTCGTTAGTATTTGAGTGATTTTGATTCTCTCATGTTTCATTTTTCTTCCATCTTAGCGTAGTTGAGTTGTTTGAGTGATAGTAGATGTGCACTTATCAGGATCTGATGAAGGTATGTATGCTTGGGTTGTTGCCAATCACGCGCTCAGTTCTCTTGGAGGTGATCCGTTGCAAACAACGGGGATCGTTGAACTCGGTGGGGCTTCTGCTCAGGTTATTCTCTCTCTCGTCCCTTGGAATTTGATATCGGTACAAAAGTATGCTTTTTTAATACTAATCATGAGATTTCATCGGTGTGTCAAATGGTCGATTGAGAGCGATGATTGTTTGTGGATTTGTTTAGGTGACGTTTGTGTCAAGTGAGCTTCTGCCCCCTGAGTTCTCTCGTACGATATCCTATGGAAATGTTTCGTACAATCTCTACAGTCACAGCTTCCTCCACTTTGGGCAGGTAACTCCTGAGATCTTTGAGAAATTGTTTTGCTTTGATTCATGCTTTTAAAAGTTTGGTGCTTGGAAACTTTATGAAACTGTGTACCCCCATTTGCTGCTTGTTGAGTATCCTCAAAATTTTAAAACGTGCCACCGAAACAAAGGACTTTTCTTTTCTTTGCTAAATGTTGAAGAAGCTATTAAACTTGTGTCGCCTCGCAGGATGCAGCACATGAAAAGTTATCGGAATCACTCCACAGCTCAGGTCCGTTGTTGGTATATCTTTAAAGTAGTCACATTTTAGTTAACTGAACATGAAGATTTTGTAGCGTTAATAATTGCGCTTTTGAGTATATTAATCCTTGCAGCTGTAAACTCCACAGGGGGAGGACTAGTTACTGACCCGTGTACTCCAAAAGGATACATCATCGACAAAAACTCACAGAATGATTCATCCGGAATCTTAGCTGAAGAAAGCAGATTTACAGCCTCAGTTCAAGCTGCTGGTAATTTTTCAAAATGCCGATCCGCTACATTCGCCATGTTAGAGAAAGGAAAAGGTAAATAGCATTATTATTGGTATAGCTGAATATCGTTCCTCGTGTCGAACTTTCTTCATCTCTTAATGGGTTTAAGTTGAGTACAGAGAAATGTGCTTATAAGCACTGTTCTATTGGAGCAATATTCACACCTAAGCTTCAAGGAAGTTTTCTGGCTACAGAAAATTTCGTCCACACCTCGAAGGTAACATTTGAATTTCGTGTTGGTCGATGCCAAACATTATGTGTCTGAACTTTAGGAGAATTGTTTGAACATTCGTCCTGCCTTGAAACAGTTTTTTGGGTTGGGAGAAAAGAAGTGGCTGTCTGAAATGATTTTAGCCGGAAACAGATTCTGTGGAGAGGACTGGTCGAACTTGAAAGTGAAACATCCAACGTTTAAAGACGACAATTTGCTTCGGTATTGTTTCTCATCAGCATATATTGTCTCAATGCTTCACGATAGTTTTGGGTTTGCTCTTGATGATGAAAGGTAAATGTTACTGCCCAAATTCAAGAACATTAGATGAATTTCAGTTTTGGATCTCAATTTAAAATCATGTTTTTTCTTTGTGTTATTTATTATAATGCAGAATCGGGTTTGCGGATAAAGCAGGAGAAGACATACCACTAGATTGGGCATTGGGAGCTTTTATACTAAATACTGCCACAATCACTTCTGATCACAGTGGTAAATCTAGAAAAATTCTTGACTTCAGTAACGTAGCCAGATAAAAATATGATATTAGTTACTATAGAAAAGTATTTTTTTGCAGACATAACAAGTAGATCATATATTTGTATTTACGTTAACTCGTGTTTCAAAAAGAATTACAGTCTTCATTGATCTCTTTTGTGAAGCTCCCATACAAAATTGAAAACCAACTTGATTTGAAATGTAATTTGTTAAGTTTCGTATTGATATTCAAAGTTTCTTACATTATTACTAAAACAGTTCATTTCTCATAGGTAGATCACACTAAAAACACAACTTCTACTTGTATTGAAAATATTATTTTGGTTAGCTTTTTCACCAAAACCCCCCCAAAAAAACTACTTTGTTTTAAACAGCAAAATTAAAAATAAAAATAAAACCATTCATGGTTAAATATTAGGATTATATCCTCTATTCTGAATTTATGTCCATAAGTAGTGGTAATAAAACCAAATTGAAAATATGAAATGTGGGTTTCAGTATTCAGTAATGAACTGGACCACAGTTAAATAGACATGTGTCTCTGTGTCGCTTAGAAGAAAGGCTCGTTAATCACGTGTTTAAATATGACCCGACCCGACCCGTTCCGACCCGACCCGGCCCGACCCGGCCCGGCCCAATTAAGTATGTTCGTTGTAAATTGTAAAGTTTTTTTAATAAATAGGCGCTCGCTCCAATAACCAACTTCTTCACCACTACGAATAAACAAAGACACTGAGAGTAGCGACGAGCTTCATCGGCGGCGATTTTTGATCGGCCGTTACGAACTCCGATTTCTCACTGATCATAAAATCAGGTTCTAAACTAATTAATACGAAGAAAACTTCGAAATCACACAAAAATACATTGCCATTGCGTTACGTTTTTTCTCTAACGTTTTTTTTTTTTTTTTTTTTAATTTTCCTTTTTTTCATACGTTAAGATCTCACTATTATTATTTATCCCGGCAGTTTTCCTTTTTAGTTACCTTAACGTTAATTATAGTTTTCAGATTGGATAAAATGAATTCGGAGATGGAAGACGATCCTCTCATGGTTCAGATTCTACCCGACCACCAAACATCGCCGTCGCCGACTTACACTCTCACTAAGCCAAAACCCACGAAATCGATTTTCCTGGTGACCCTCGCTGCCTTCGTCTCCGTCGCTATGACGTTGGGGTTATTCTTCGTTTTCTGTTCAATTCCTTTCTCCGTACTGAATTGGACATGTCCGTTCCGGTACAGCGTCGTTATCGACGCCGGGAGTTCTGGGACACGAGCTCATGTGTTCCGGTACCGGACCGAATCCGGTAAACCGGTTTACGATTTCGGTCCCGAGAATTACGCTAGCTTGAAGCTGAGTCCCGGTTTGTCTTCGTACGCTGATAAACCGGACGGAGCAAGCGTATCAGTGGCTAAGCTTGTGGAATTCGCCAAAGGGAGAGTTCCCAGTGGAATGTTGAAGAAGAGTGACGTCAGGTTGATGGCGACTGCTGGGATGAGGTTGCTTGACGTAAGTGTTCAGGAAAAGATTCTTCAAGTCACCAGAGGAGTTCTTAGATCTTCTGGTTTTAACTTTCGAGACGAGTGGGCTTCGGTTATCTCCGGTTAGTGTTTTCAATCCATCCTTTTTCTTTCATTTGACCAGAATTTTTTTGTTTTTGTTTAAGGTTAGGGCTAAATCCATCCTTTTTCTTGGTGTTAGTATTGTTGTTTCTATATTTTACTTTAGCTTAGTTGAGTTGATAGTAATTAAGTGTGCTTTAATTATACACATTAGGCGCTAATTATATGAAAATTTTGGCAGGATCTGATGAAGGTGTATATGCTTGGGTTGTTGCAAATTACGCGCGTGGTTCGCTTGGAGGCGATCCTTTGCAAACAACGGGGACCGTTGAACTCGGTGGGGCTTCTGCGCAGGTTTTATCTCTTCTCTGTCAAATATTATGTAAAACTTCAACTATGTGGTAAAATTTAATGGTGGAAGATGACTGTTGTACAGGTGACGTTTGTGTCAAGTGAGACCCTGCCTCCTGGTTTCTCCCGTAAGATAACCTATGGAGGTGTTGCTTACAATCTCTACACTCACAGCTTCCTCCACTATGGGCAGGTAACTTCTCAGAGACCAGACCACTTGTTGTCCCTATTTGATGTTTATTGATCCTCTGCTTTTCCTCTGCTATCCTTTGAGCATATATTTTTCAAGAACCTATTAACTTTTGTCGCCTTGCAGGATGAAGCAGAAGAAGATCTGTTGGAATCACTCCGCAAATCAGGTTAGACGTTGCTGATAATAAACCCTTAAAAAGTACTAATCACTTTGTATATACCGAACTTGAAGATTATTATTTGTAATGTTAAATAATTAGCACTTTTTGAGTTTATGCAATTTGATATTTTCCCTCAAAACTCATAATACAGGGGAAGGAATAGTCGCTGACCCGTGCACTCCTAAAGGCTACAGTTACAACTTCGACAAAAATTCAAGCAGATTATCAGCATCAGTTCAAGCTGCTGGTGATTTTTCAAAATGCCGATCCCTTACAACCGCAATGTTGCAGAAAGGAACCGGTACGTAAGAGCATTATTTAGTATAGCTGTTATGTGGTTGTACAGTGTCACCGATGGAGCTTTGGTACTTTTGTTGTGTACAGAGAGTTGTGCTTATAATCATTGTTCTATTGGATCAACATTCACACCTCATCTTCAGGGAAGGTTTTTGGCTACAGAAAATTTCTACTACACCGCCAAAGTATATATATAGTCCCTTTATAATGATCATCATTTTGGTCGGCGTCAAGATTTGTGAAGAAATTTGTTTGAACATGATCTTATGTTTCTGTGTGTGAATCAGTTGTTTAAATTGGAAGAAAAGGGTTGGCTCTCTAAACTGGTTTCAGCCGGAAAGAGTTTCTGTGGAGAGGAATGGTCGAAACTGAAAGAGAAGTACCCAACAACTAAAGAAAAATATTTGCATGGATATTGCTTCTCATCAGCATATACTATCTCAATGCTTCACGATAGTCTTGGTTTCGCTCTTGATGATGAAAGGTAATAATATTAATGCACAGATTCAAGAACAAGTAAGATCAATAGACGTCGGCTTTTGGATTAGGGTTTCGATTCAAAACATTATATGTTTGTTTGTTTTGTTTGCAGAATCGAGTATGCGGATAAAGCTGGAGAAAAAGGCATACCACTAAATTGGGCATTGGGAGCTTTTATACTAAATACTGCCACAGCTACTTCTGATCACATTGCCAAATCTAGAAAAATGCTTGTCTGAAGTAACGTAGCCGAATGATATTGATTTACTATAAGTTATCATATTTCCAAAATGATGTCATGTATTTGTAGTTTACGTTGAATTTTTGATATCGTTTCCGTTTGTGAAATAAATTAGCTACTCGTATTATTTTTTGCGTAAACAATTATTTAAATATTAGATGCTGTAATTTATCTTTCATACAGCAAAATAACACTATTTACCATTAGATTCTTAACCCGAAGTCTACGTAAAATTTATTTTATATTAGGTCTGGAGAATACAATTGATGTACATCAGGAGAGAAACACATACCACTAGAATGGGAATTGGGGGCTTTTATCCTAAACACTGCCACAACCACTTCTGCTTACAGTGGTCTATCTAGATTCTAGAAAAATGCTCGACTTGAAGTAACGTAACGTATCAAAATAAAACAATTTGCTATCATGTATTTGTATTTTACGTTAACTTGTGTTTGATACTGTATTCGTCGTTTTTTCTTAATGAAATAAAATAAGTCAGCTACTTATAAAAAAAAAATTGAGTGCCAGGTTAATTTAAGGGAAATTTGGTTCAGTAACCAAAAAAAACTATAACCTAAAAATTTGTGTAACCATTTTCTCTTTTTCTTTCTTTCTATCTCTACACATTTGGTTAATTTTTAAACTACAATTCTTTTTTGTTATTCATCAAATTCACCCTTAATTCAGTTTTTACGATATCCATTATTGTCGGTAATATATATGTGGTGGTATGTGTGTAAATTTCGACAATTTAAGAACACATCTGCGACCTTACAATTATTTGAAATGCTATTTATAGTTTCGGTATTTTTTATTTTTGTTTGTAAATTGACTTTATTTTCTTTGAACTATTCAAGTCTACAACGATAAAAAGAAAAAAAGAAAAAAAACGATTAATCAACCTACAGTTTTTTTAATTAACCTGAATTCTACCTATCATTTATTCGAAAGTAGGTCTAGAGAATAAAATTCAATCATATTATCCTATAGGTATTAATTTATTCTGCTGATCACTACTTCATTTACAAAATATTTTTTTTTGTTACTCTGTAGATGTCAAAGTATGTGTAGACAGTATAGTAGCCAGTAAACATATTCGTTTCCTTCATTTTAACTAGACTTGAATATTCTGTAATTAAAAATTCAATTATCTGTGATAAATCGTTAACTCTACGTAAATCAGACCAAGCGTTTATATTCGCTAGGTTTCTTCATTTTTGAACTAATTAATTAAAACGCATATGAGATTTATATTCGTTAGGAGTGATCTAGAAGCATTCCAGTTTTGTATTCCATACAATTTTTTTTGTTTGCCATCTATGTAAGAGATAAAAGTCTTAATATAATAAAGCAAATAAATTTACATTCTTAATAACGTTTGAATCTAAATTTCTAACCGTTAATCTAAATTCTACTATAAGACTCGCAATTCCTAAAAACTATACATTTTCTCCGTACTGTACGCTCATTATAATAAAAGATTATTTAACGTCAAGAGCGTCTCTGTTCATTCACCTGTGTCAGATTTTATATTTAGTACGTGACCATGTCTTTCCTTATTGAATATTTTGACTATTTCTATAACTAAACAACGGTCAATAATTTTCAAAATACACAACTAGGACTATAATAAATAGACTCGAGAAATAAGTACCTCTGATCATCTCTGGTCAACGACGTTAATATGTTAATAAAAAAAAATAACATGCGAGTTCTTTAATATTCTTCAAACCAAGTGCTAACTTAGTGGGGGGGAAAAAGACCAAGTGTGTGCTTATTTTAATGAATCTTATACTTATTCTTCATAGTTGTACTTGTATCTTGTCTCCAACCTTTATCCATTCTAATAGAAAAAGACTAAAAAAAGTACTTGGTATGTATGTTTAATCAAAATAAAATATAAAAGGCTAAAAGTGATGTACTTAGCATAATATGAAATCTAGGAGTTTTGAACTCATCTTCGGATTAGAATAGTAAATGATTATTTGCTGTCTTATTTCAAGTTCTTAGACTCGGTTTTGCTTTAAAACAAACAACTTGTATTTGTATGTTTTTGTATAATCGTCGTAATTCCTTACCTAACTATAATCTATGTTGTTAATATTTAATAAGAATTATTATACAACTAAACGGACCCGTTATAACTCTGGTCAACGGCTACAACTAACGGAGCCGTTAAACATTTCAGACGTCGTTACCTCTGTCTGTCTCTCTCTCACTCTTGTGTTTTTGTTTCTTTCGCTATAAAAAGCTATTTTCCATTTGCTTGATTTACGGGAAAAATCTTTGCCTAGAAAACTTTCTGGGAGCAAACCACAAGTTCTTTTGCGTCCTCCCCAATTTTCAGCTCTTAAATCAAGGACGACAAAGCTTCCCTCTTCACGCTATAAACACATCTCTTCTCAAATTTCTCCAGGTGATTTTTTGTTTTTCTCCGATTTTTTTTTCCCCCGAATTCGGAAATCTCGATTCATATCTGATTTGAGTTGGTACACTTGGTGATTTTGTTGATCTGTATATAGATTGTTGGATTTGGATTTCGTAACGAGTGGTTTTCGGAAAAACTGAGATGAGTGATGGATTGATGCGGCCGGTTCGGTTACCACCGGTTATCTCGGAGGATAATGCAATTGATATCTACGACGGAGATACTTCGACGGAGGAGGATTCACTGATTTGGTCGGCGGAGTGTCGTATTTGTCAGGAGGAATCCGATATTAAGAATCTCGAGAGCCCATGCGCTTGCAATGGCAGCTTAAAGGTAGTTTTTGTATATATAATTTATTCATCGCTCCAGGAAAATCTGACAAAAACAGAGTATAATGAACTCAAATTTATGTTTTTTTGATCAGTATGCTCACAGGAAATGTGTTCAACATTGGTGCAATGAGAAGGGAAACACTATATGCGAGATCTGTCATCAGGTAATCTCTAGGATCCATGAGAGGTCTGATGAAACATTAGAGCACAAAAAACATTAGGCTATATGAGACTATATGCATAAAATCTAACACCTTTAAATTTTTTCTTTCTCCAGCCATACCAATCTGGATATACCTCTCCACCACCTCAACTTCAGTCTGAAGAAACTACTATTGACATTGGGTATGATCAGTTTCATGATTCTGTTCATACACGTAAAGGTTTTGGTTATATGTAATATGACTTGTAATGGTTCTGACTTTTTTTTAAAAATGTCTGTTTGTAGTGGAGGATGGACAATCTCAGGTTTGGATTTACATGATCCACGCCTCTTGGCGATCGCAGAAGCTGAACGCCAGATTTTAGAGTCGGAATATGATGATTACACAGCTCAAGATACCAGTTTAGCTGCATTTTTCCGCATATCTGCTCTTATAGTAAGCCTTCTCGACAAGTTTTAACCACTACCAAATTTTTGTAGAGTTGTAAATTCGATAACATCCCTCTCTTTCTGCAGATGATGACTCTTCTACTGCGATACGCACTGACTATTCCAGATTATGCAGATGGTGAAGATGAGGACCCTTCTTCAGTACTTTCTGTAAGTTTAAAAAATCAAGTTTCTGTAACAGATTACGCAAATGGTGAAGATGACATCATTTCATAACTTGAAACCACAAAATAATCTTAAAATCTCTTTGCAGCTTTTCTTATTCCGAGCTGTCAGTTTTCTCCTTCCTTGCTACATCATGGCATCAGCCATTAGTATGTTGCATCGGCGAAGGCAAAGACAGGTTAGCTTTTAAACATACTTGCTACATACTTTTGTTATCTTTTTGACACGGTCTTTAGGACATAACCAAAACACCTAAAACTGATTGAACAGGAAGCAGCGGCTTTGGCCACCCGGTTTGCGTTGGTGCTCAGCTCACATCAGCCTAGAGCTGTGATTAATTATTTGTCGATGGAGCCGTGATTTACTAGTTTTACACCAACATTCAGGAATATGATTTTCAATAATTTCATCAGAAAGCAACTTGCAATAAGTGGAAAGAAGAGAGGATTTATTGATTCTTCTTTTTTCCACTTCTTTGGAGTGCAATTGACACTCTTTTCTGATGAAACCGTTGAATCATAGATGGTGCAATCAAGATTCAGTAGCTACAGGGACTATCACAAGTTAAAGCGTAACAAAGCAGTGTCCTAACTTAGTGCAGAGTTTTTTTTTGTGTTTTTATAGTAAACGAATCTAAGAAAGATTCTGTGTATGTAGTAGAGTTCAGAGTTTCTGATTTGTGCATTGTGTAAACTGAAAAATTTGACTGTTTGTAATGTAGCATTGAGTTTCTCAATCTCAATAGCATTTCATCTATATCAATTTCGTTCATCCAACACTAACATGATCTTGCAATAAGGCTATAGTATCACATTAGATAACTTGACCAAAACTCAAATTATTACATAAAGTTTGAATTCTCTTGTCGAATACAAAAAAAAAAGGTTGCGAAAATCGATCCATAATGAAGCTTTTTCATGTTGAGTGCAGACAGAAACGAAGAGCAACGCTCAAAGCTAGCTTGCCTGCAATAGTTCCTTAATGTCATACCCTTGGATCTATAGAGAAATAAACAAAACATATGTTAGAAAGAGATGATCGGTCCTATTAACTTTGTAGTGATCATAGGAATGAGTTTTGTACCTGAAGAAAAGTAAGCAGCAAAATGACTCCTGAGTTCCAGAAACCGTGTATGATCATCGGTGTAATGAGATTGCGGGTTTGCGCATACGATAATCCCAGAACCGATCCTAAACCACATATAATTAAAAGGAAAGAGAGACATATTTGCAGTAAGAGCCTAAGAGATGTTTACAAACATGAGAAGATTGTTCTTGAGTAATGTTTTTTACCTAGAATAAACAACTGCGGGAATTCACCGGGTGTGAGATGGGCAAGGGCAAAAGCAGCTGAGCTGATAATGATCGCTATTGGGGTCGGAACCCTGAAATAGCGAAACAAAACTAAATGTAGTTAGCTTTTTGTCCAAAAGCAAATGAGAAGAAGACAAGACCTTTATAGTTTATACCATTTGGTAAGAGAGACCATGAAGAATCCGCGAAACACAGTCTCTTCAAGAAGTGGAGCAAGGATTCCAGTTATGCCCACTAAGCTCAAGGTGCTGTACAACCATCACACAATGCGATGTGATCAAAATTCTAGTATTATTAATTCTCAACGCAGTTTCCTATTTGTTTTTTGCGGAAATATACCTTATGTTCGAGGATCCAATTAACGGGAGAAGCTTCATCAAAGAGTCTACCTGAAAACATCAAACTAGCCACATTACTATTATCATCCATCACACACTTCAGAGAAAAACAAAAACATAGAATTAAGGTACTGAATCCTCCTAACCTCTCTTTCGGGTGTCTCTGTCCTGAACAAAGATAAAGCAACACCTGTTAACGCAATAGCACCAACAGCACCAACCAGACCGATTCCACCCCACACAAGCCATCCTTTTCGCAAGTTGAAGGGTTGTTTCAAATCTAAAAATTGAAGAAAAAGATCAAAGGCCAATAACAGAGCAAACAGAGCAAGACAATGCCAATAAATAAAGGCAAAAGTACCATAGCGCAAAATATCTTGAGGAAGTGGCTCGTAGGTTTTGGCAACACTGAATATGACAGCAAGTACCACTGCAGTTGTTAAGCTGCAAAGTATATTAAGATAAATTTATTCAACAAAAAGGCATTTCAACAACTTAAGAGCTCAAGAGAGAGAGCAAAATTTACAATGTACAATGGGTTAAAGTAATACAAGAGCTAAGACTGAGGCTAATGTAACTAGAAAACACAAAGATTAGAAGTTTAATGGTACCCTTGATCCAGGAATAGAATCTCGGCCTTTTCGTCCAAGCTCAGGTTCGCAACATCGATTCCTAAAAACGGTATGATCGCCATCTCGGTTAATCCTGTCAAAATAAAACTGCCTGGGAACAAAATTAATCTCACTCCATGACATTAAAATTATCTAAGAGCTAGATATGATCATATGTTCATAGACAGAGAAGATAGTCACTCAACATCTTACTATTGTAACCAACAAAGACAGATTATCTTTTCAGATCAATCTACTCAACCATCACATTTATCCTAACGCAGTTCTATGTTTCATCAAACTCCACCCCTACTTCATCCAAATGAAAAGCTTCTAATGGCGTCAGAAAATGGAGAGTACCTTAATCCACAAGCAAGCGAGGTTAACGAAACTGTCTGCCATTCCCATGGAACTTCCCATCTCTCAAGTATCGGCCACTCTGAGCTACTTCCCTGTAAATTATTTTTAAAAAAAATAACCAGTTAAAACTTCATATATTTAACATAGCCATGACATTTTCCAAAATATAATAGAATTTGGATTCAATTGAACAAAATGACATAGGCTGCTTTAGAAAGAAAAATAAAAGTAAACTGAAATTTTCCCGGAAACCAAACAGTCATCTAAGCAAGCTAGAGCCAGGAGCAATAGTAACCTTTTCCTCTCCTCCAGTTTCCTTCCCAGAGTTGAAAATGCTAGCGGATCTCCATTTCCTCCGATTAACCGTAGATAACCGGCGACTAGCAAATCCCCGAGATAACCGAATCAAACCGCTGCGGTTATAAGTCTTCGGAAGAAATAAGCTTCGGGGACTGAAGATGCAGGAAAGAGACGAAGATTGAGATAAACACGAGATTATCTGCGAAACCATTTGAATTGTTGAATTGTTAGACCGAATAATCTTAAGAAACTTCGACCAAAGCAACAACATTGTTAAGAGTGAGGAAGAGGATAAGGTCCGACTAAAACGGGTCGGGTTAGAAAAACCCGTATAAGTGTACTTGTTTTAAAACCTTGTCGTTTGGTTAATGGGGCTGACTTTATGTCAATAGAGGCCCAAGACTCTAAACGACCAAGTCGAAAAGGTGTTTTGTCAGTATGTAACAAAAATAAATACATCCCTCGTGATTCCTAATTTGTAATTTTGTTCCTTAGGAGAACGATGTCCACTTATTTTCTTTTTATTTAATAAAATTTTCATTTTCTTTATAACCAAGACAAAAAATAGTTAATATTATTTCAAGCATTAGCACAGAATCACTGGCAAGATGGCACTGTCGTCCCAGTAATGTGGACCCTACACCCATTGAACGATTGACACTTAGATTCAGAGAAAACCAGTAACTTCTCTCACGTTCCTCTATTTAACACCAAATCTAAATCATCCACAAGAAATAGTAATGCAGAAAACAAAAAAAAGAGAAATGGTTACTTTAACTTCATCTTCCTCAACTCCAAACAGATCTTTTGATTTCATGATGAACAATAACAACAGTAGCAGTCTCTATGGTCCTTTCTCTTCTTCTTCTACTTCTTTCTCTTACTTGACAAGCAAGGAAGATGCTCTCACGCAGAAGGAGCTAGTGAGTGGTATGAACATGAACATCATCAATCCAGAAGCGCTTGGTGTTCTTCAGAAGAAAGCTTCTGAAGATATGGAGATCAGTGTGTTTGGAGCTGAGAAGTATTTTAATGGAGATATGGATTCCGACCACAGTCCTAGACTTGTGTCTTCTCTGCCAAATCCAGAAGTTTCAATCGAGAGGATCTTCGTTGGTCCGAAGCAAAGCTCGAAGAACTCCTCGGAAACACCGAGTCTTCGGTCTGAATCCAGCTGGAATAGTCAGAGCTTGTTGCTTCAGAACAAATTTGAGAAGACGAACAAGAACAAGAACAACTCTAGCTGCAATAGTTACTTGCAGGAGAAGGCCATCAGTAGTAATCACAAGGTGAGCAACAAAAAGAGTTTTCTCTCGAATCTTGGCTGCAGATGCGTTTGTTCTAACTGGAATTCAGTGGATGTCGTCGACGAGAAGAGAAGAAACTCTGGTCTGAAGAAGATCAAAACCCAATCGAGTTTCTCTGCAGATCTAAGCTCAGAGATGAAGATTCATCAACAACAACAAGAAGCTATGTTAGAGCAGAGGAAGTCTCTGGAAATCTTTGGATCTCCTCTTCTTCAGAAGAGAATCATTCAGAAGAAATTTCCATGGGAATACTCAAACTCTGCGAAAACAGAGGAGCGTGGATTCTCTGTGAAGCATGAACAAGAAGAGGAAGATGGGAGTGTGAGCGATTTAAGTTCGGATCTTTTTGAGATTGAGAGCGTGACAGGGAAGGCAAAACCCTATCTTGCAAGGCAAGGAAGCAGCGATCCAGATTCACCGAATGGCTACGCACCAAGCGAGGTAAGCATAGCGTGGAGTGTAGTAACGGCTAGTGTGGCTGACTACTCTGTTATGTCTGAATGTGCGACGAGTCCTGTCAAAAACCGGTCTTTTCAGATCCCTCGAATCCCTCTGATGGCCAAATCAAACCGAGAACCGGCGCCTCAGAGACGAAAATCGAGCAGTGGCGGTTTATTATTGGGCTGCAAGAGTCATAAATCTGTTAGAGTTTCAGGTGATTCGTACACAAGCGTAAACAGAACACCGAGTTATGTTCCAAGATTCCCTGTAGAGGTTAATCCAACAAGTATCGAAACACGGAGGAAGATTAGCAGTAGTTCTGTTTCTCGCACGCCATCGCCTTTTCTGTATAATCAGTGATGCCACAAAAACCTGAGCTCCTTTCGCTTTACATGTAATGTGAATGTCTCTATTGAGTGAAAAAATATATTTTGTTTTGCTAGTGCCATATTCAAATTCTTGTACCTAAAAGTGATAATTCTGATCAATTTGCGTCTTCTATGAAATAATCGAGCTTGATTTAAAATCAGTCCTCAAGGATACAAATTTTTCCTGACCACAAATGAGTAAAGATGAAATGTGATCTAAGAACTCATCTATTATCGCCTGAGGTTCTTAGGGACTACAGTACCATGTGAATACTAGACACTAGTTTCTAATCTGCAAATAAGACATAACCGAAGAATGCGATTCCATGTGACCGACGAAGGTGTGATTATAACCATTTGTTGACTCAGGAGACATCATGTTTTAATGCAGCACACAGATTAGTCACAAAACAAAAATGGTCCACCTCATTTACATGTGCTTGTTTAAGAATAGAAAGGTACCTGATTAGTGCTTAGATTTAACGGTTTTAATCTAAGTCCGTACGAGTTGCCTGAAAGAGCCATTAATGAGGAAACCCAATCAATCAATGTGACAGTGTCATTTCACCTAACATGTCTTAAAAGCCAGTCCAGAATCTTTTGGTGCAGAACTCATCTCAAGACCATGTGACTGATAATGAGATAAAGTAGAAGTAGACAAAAACCTTAATTGTATCATTGATGATGATATGTCTCTGTAACCAACTCCTGAGGAATGTTAGGTTTTGGGAAAAAAACATGATTTGTAATACACATGAAAAGTTCAGATTCAAGACTCAGCACTCACCAGCTTGATGTAATCAAGAAACAAACTTTTGATCTTTTAACCAATACATTGATTAGTGGCACATCAAGTTTTCAGAAACATTTATGAAACCAAATTTGTAAAGAAAACATCAACACTGACTCCCAAAGTAACAATGGATCTTGTAGATAAGTATTATATCGTTTTCATAGGTCCACTGTTTGAATAATTGAGCAATCGCTAACTGGTCTTTGAAGCCAACTAGATAGAGAAAAACTAAGCAAGTTTACATGTGTAGAAGATAAGAACAACAAAAGTCGTAGTCGTATCGTGTTTGTGTGTGTGTCTATGTAAATTCGAAATAAAGGAGATGAATGAGAGAGTCACAGGTCTTGAAATCTGAAAATACAAGCAGATCATAACGACAGAGAAGAACTGAAGGTTTGGCTATTACAAAATGAATTTACTGCTAGCTTACACGGAAAGATATGCCCGCAGATTCGAAAATGTAGAAATTGGAATTGTATGTACAGTTACAACAAGTACACAGAGGTTACAGTGGTTCTCTAGCGAGCAAATGATAAAGGAACTTAGCAGTGATTCTTCCCAAAAGAAAAGAAAGAAAAGAGTTACTCGTCTTTGGATACTTTGATTGGCCGTGTTTCAAATCCTCCAGTGGCTCTCTTCTCAAGTGAGTAAGGCAAGTAAGTACCGAGAATCCTATCCCACATGACAAAGAATGGCTGCGAGAAATTGTATTTGCTTCCATAGAGTTGGTGGTGAACGTCATGGTAAGCAGAGTTATTACTGAAGAAGATGTGAAATGGATTTCCCGGGAGCCATAGCCCACAGTGATCATCTACTGTCTTGATGGTAGCGAAGGAGAAGAAGAAAATGGCGGTTCTTGGGGACATTCCAGAGAAGAGGAAAGACAAAGCACCACCAATGGTGTCCAAGAGAAGACCTTCTAACGGATGGTTGTATAGAGCTCCATATGCGTAAGGCACGATAAGGCGATGATGTTGAGAGTGGATGTGCTTGTATAAGAACTTGTTCAGGTGCATATAGCGGTGAATGAAGTATTGCCAAGTGTCAATTACGAGCATGGCGATGATGAATTGCCTAGTCAGAAGGAGAAGGGAGAATTTCTGCGTCGTATCAGCATCTGCATCACTTCCTGTTATCTAAAGAAGAAGAAGAAAAAAAAACAACATTTCAGCCAAAAAAGAAAAGACTGCTTGATGATGGTAAGATACAAACCCCAAACAACAACAAACATTAACATGAAAACTATAAACCTCAAAAACGATTTCTTCATCATTCTCACTATTCGTGTGTTTCAAAGTCATGAGCTTTAATGGTCTATACATTTCAAAAAAGGCAAAACTTTGCCACATGTGGATGATGGAGAAGAAAGATTGTACTCCTCCAACTGTTAGATGCAAGAAACAGGAGATGCGAGTATTGATTCATCTCAGGTAATAATTCCACAATTTAAACTCTTTCAGTTGCATCCTAAATCTACAATCTGTATTCAGCAGCTTCAGGATAACAAAGGTGCTTCAGAAACACCAATTTGAAGAAAACCTAACTCATTCTCTAGCCACAAATTAGATCGCTTAAGAGAGAAACTCTCGACATTTTCATCAACAAGGCCAAGGAGGACAACGACAACATAGCATAATCTGCACCTAAAATCCTATAAATTTTAGAGATTCGCCGCCAATTTTCCAGGTAGAGAGAGAGAGAGAGAGATACCTTGAAGAGAATAACCGAGATAATGGCCTGTAGAGTCTGCTGAAGAAGGACGCCCTTGACCACGGCAGATTTGGTAACGAGATTCTTCTCATCCTCGTCTATCTTCGAATGCAATCTATATCTCTCCAAAGATCCTAAGCAAATGTACATCCCCGAATACAACCAATACACCAGAATCGGCACGAATGTACCCAGAAATTCATCCGAAATCGCGAAACCCATCATCTCTAAGTCTATATGTCCTCCCAACCAGCTCGAAAAAACGAATCAGACACCGCCTGAAGAAGATCGCATCACTCTTCGCTAATTCCCTCTCTCAAGAGCTAAACAACGCGAAGAGATTAGAATCTTCTTCGTCGCTCGTTGTTTTCTCTCTCTCTCTCTCTCTCTCTTTCGGCGTCGAGAAGAAGAAGACGACGCAGAGGACGGAGAGATGAAGAAGATCTACGATATGATTTTTCAATTTCGATATTTAGGTGGGACCCGATTATTCGGAAATTACCACGTGGCTTTAAAGGACAGGTCAAGGCGCCAACTGGTTTTGATTTTAATGTGTGCTAATGTATTTCGTAGATTAAGTCGAAACTTCACATGCCAAAGTTTCATAAAAATATCTTAAGGAGAACATAATCATTGATTTGCCTCTCTGTTTTCTCTGTACATTTGGGTGGCTTCCTCGTGGGTTGCCAATAATTTGGTTTTTGTGTTTATTTACTTACTAGTTTCTTCTATATTGGAATTTTCCATGAGGAAACTTGAAAATAAATAAAAAACATTAGAGAAAATCTAGCCAAATGTGTATAAGATAACACGACAAACAAATAGTCTTTACGAATATAAATTATAATGTCTAATATGAAATAAAATTACACCAATAAGACAACTTTGTTCGCAAAACAGTTCCTTTGTGAAGGCTAAAAAAAATGGGGGACAAGAGCAATAGACAACATATAATGTAACTTTTAAGACTCTGATTTTGCCGGCTCCGATGATTCTTCCGGGGCTCCACTTTCTTCGACAAGCTGGATTAAGACGAGACAGCGAAGAACAGGCAAATGTTATCATAAGACGAGTAGGGTCGGTGAGCTAGTGAGTGAGTGAGATAAGAGAGTGAACATACCAAAGAACCGACTTGCTCATAGGCTCTCATTACTTTTGGATCTTCCTCGTATTCATATCCCAATTGTAGAATCCGTGGCCCGTTGACTGACCAAAATGCTCTTCGACCTGCCTCCTGCAACATCAGAACAAGTTTTAACAAATATCAGAGGACATTCTCAAGGTTTTTTTTGAGTTTGGTGGGTTCTTAATCAAGAATTCAGAAGAAGAAGAAGAAAATGCAAAGATGGAGGGAATTATTGAACCTCTAAGATGATCAAATATATAGCTTCGAGTGTCTGAACGCGAATATCGGGATCAGTAACTGGTTCTCGCTCAATGGAAAGTGCACTTCCAAGCTCAGGTGGCATTTTTGAGATATCTTCCTTACTGTAAATCTAATGTAAGGTATTAAAAAAACCAGTGGTCAAAAGCTGTTGTCCTGTAAAAGGAAAACAAGTAGCAAGCTTTAACGCATAATCAACAAACCTTACTGCCTGCAACTGGTAGGAGCAGAGCGGGCCAGAGAAACTCTGATATCAAGAGTATATTCTGGAGCTGGTTCTTGGCTTCAAAAGAGCAGTTACGAATAGTCCCAGCTACCTGAAAGCCGATAAGCATAACCCATGTTTATATTTTTCTAAAGCGTAGATTAAGCAACAGATTAATAATATGCCAAAACTCTTTTGAACGTACCCCTTTCTTACGCAATTGATTTGTTGAATCGAACTGCCTTATGATCTGTTTTAGTAGTCCTCTCTTTGGCTCCAGTAGCATTTTCCTCCCATCTTCTGTTTTCGATATGTTGACTAGGATTGAGCCAACATGCTCAAACTGGTCATCTGGTGCATAAATAAGAAGGAAAAAACCGACCAAATTATTCTAACTTTTATGGATAAGCAAAAGCAACACAATAAGGCACTAAACATAACCTTTCCTATGTGTACTGGAAACTACTTGAATGATTGAAATGCAAATATGAGTGGACAATTTATAACTAGTAACCTATTGGACTTTTAGACCTTTGAGTGTTACTGGGATTAGATATATGAAACAAAAACATGAATTAGCAGAGGAAAGTCGTATGTAGAAATAAAGAGATATTTACTTGGACAAATTACATAACCAGCTGAAAACTAAAGAGCTAAAAGAGAGCATACCAGCATTTTCTCCAGAAGACCTGCAAAATGACCTAACAAGCTTCATGATATGTAGTCCATGCATCTTCTCATCCTCAATCTAACAAAGCATAACGTTTAACATGATTAGCTACCTCACCATTAGACTACTAAAAGACAAACCCCACACACTCTTACACAAGTTTCACTTAAATGATGCAAAATCTACAAAGACAAATGACCTGAAGCAAGGAAGAAACGCCAGCATCTAACTGAGTGAGATTCACTAGAAGCATAACAAGCAATCTGGTAATACAAGACTCTGGCTTATACAACATGTCCATGGCCACTTTGATCAAACCCATTCGAATCATCTTCCCAGCCAATTCAGAGTTCTGGGAAAGATTTACAAGAGCCTGAGCTGCTGGCTCTGAGACCTCCTGAAAATTGAAATTTCAAAAAGTTTCAATCTTTATCAATACTAATCCAAATCCATAAAAATTAGAGCTTCTTAGTGTTATAACAATCCAAGGACCTTGCTTTCTATTAGGAGCCGAGACAGTGATGGAAGTAGAATCTCGGAGTACTTCGAGAGAGATTGTAAACCCTCCTCCGAACCAGTTAATCCACTAACAATTTCCACCGCAGCTTTCTTCACCTACATGGTTGTTTCCTCTTATAATCAGAATTCAACGGAAATCCCTAGAATCTAAAACTATCGGTGCATCCCATAACTCAGAAACAGATGAAATCAAAGTAACAAACAAAAAAAGCAAGCTTACAGGCGGAGAAGGAGACGACAAAAACTCGACAAGCTCTTCTAACTCCGTCGCCATATCTCTGGTCTCCGAAGAAGAATTTTGCCGTATTCGCGCCTGCTCCACAAACTTCTCTGCGCGCAATATCTCCGCCGGCGAACCCGAAAAATCGTCAGGGTTTTTGTTCCCATGACAAATCTAAACCCCCAACTTGAACCAGAAGGTTCGGTGAACCAAAAAGTACAAACAAAAAAAATGGAAACCGGTTCAAAATTAAAACCGAGATCGCCAATCATAAATGTTACGCCAGAGGAGCACATGTGGGATCAACAGAGTGTGTTTCCACTTTCCACTTTCCAGTTTCCTTACTACTTTGTAAATTCCGTTAAGTTTGAGGGTTATTTTGAAACCGTTTACATCTATGTGATTGTAGAGAAAAATCTTCACAGGTTGAACAGAGATGGAAGCTTGTTTCAGATGTTCACGAGGAAGCAATCCGCTGAGACCAGTCGCAAAATTCTCAGTTTCTCTCCGCTCTCCTTTCGTCTCTTTCAGCACTGGTTAGTTTCTGATTTCCTCTAAGAAGCATTTTGACTCATGTAAACCTCAAATTGGATATTCTGTCAATTAGGGTTCTTACCAACGAAAACCAAATGTAAATTCGATGAAGAAAGGCTCGTTGGTTTTAATTATGTTCATGTGGGTTTATCGTATATCTGTCAAAAACTGATTTTTTTTTATTCCTTACATTTATTGGTCGCTGTGAAGGTAAGCCGAGCAAGAAAGCTTATGATGGTTTGTTGATTGATGCTGGAGGAACCCTTTTGCAATTGTCGAGACCTGTCCATGAAACTTACGCTTCATTGGGCCAAAAATACGGTAACTTTCTTACCCTTTTTTGATTCAAAACCAATTTCGATTTACGCTTCTTCTTGCTTTTTTCGGATGATCTCAAGCTGTTGTTCTTTTTGTTCCTACTTCAGGTCTCAGGACTACTCCAGCTGAGATCAAGCAGGGTTTCAAGAGAGCTTTTGCTGCTCCTTGGCCTGAGAAGTTGCGTTACCAGGTCCCTGAAATGAGTGTAATCTCTTTGTTTTTTGTTTTTTCGTTACTTCAGATTCGATCTCTCATTGTTTCCTGCATTGTATTTTCAGGGAGATGGAAGACCGTTTTGGAAGCTCCTTGTCTCGGAGGCTACTGGTTGTTCTGATAATGACTACTTTGAAGAAGTGTACCAAGTGAGTATATAGAAGCTGGGTTTTGTTCTTTTACAGCAGGCTTCATCTTCCATTAACAATTGTGTGGCTTTGAAGCAGTATGTCACATTGATGGGTAAATCTTATGTTTTTTTCCTTAGTATTACGCTAATGGTGAGGCGTGGCATCTCCCAGAAGGAGCTTATGAGACAATGTCGCTACTGAAAGATGCTGGAGGTTGTTGTTACGTTGAAGAACTCGCTCCTTGTTTACGTAGATGACTTTTTGTATTGTGTTATTGCTTATTTCTGAAACTGGGGTTAAGATGATTGCAGTTAAGATGGCTGTTGTGTCTAATTTCGATACCAGGCTCAAAAAGCTATTGAAGGATCTTAATGTCATAGATATGTAAGCTTTGCCATCATCTGAATGCCATAGTAAACACCATAAATGGTCATTGCTAATGATATTTTGCCCTTTTACAGGTTCGACGCTGTGATTGTATCCTCAGAAGTCGGATACGAGAAGCCTGATGGTCGAATCTTCAAATCCGCTTTAGGTTCTGCATCATAAACTAAAGTGTTTCTTTCCTTTGAATAATTCATACAAAGGCTTCAGCTTTAAAGATCGAACGACTTAGACCTGTATATTCTGTGTCATGCGCAGAGCAAATCAGCATCGAGGCAAACAGAGCAGTGCATGTCGGAGATGATGAAGGAGCAGATAAAGGCGGAGCAAACGCCATGGGTATTGCTTGTTGGTGCGGCACAGATACCTTTTTTACTTCTTCTTGTTCTCTGTTTCGGATTTAGTGGAATTCTCATTGATCATATCCTTCTTGACAACATACTGTTTTTTATTTGTCTGTTTTCTTTGTAAAAAAAATAGGTTATGGGGAAAAGATGTGAAGACATTTTCAGACATACAAGATCGGATTTTGGTTTCAGAACACTAAGATATTGGTAATGAGGAAGAATGCAGCCCATCTACCTTGACGATATATATTTTGGGGTTGTGAATATTTGGCTACAGACGTTCAAGACTTATGGCACTTTAGGCATTAGTATGTATTTTATTAAAAAAAAAAAAAGAACCAATTATTATAAGCTAAAGAGCCAAGAAAACTTCGCCCCATAACATTATGGGTCAAATACTACATTGTGCATTGACAATAATCAAATTTATAAAACGGAGAACAAACTCGGGAAATAACAAAGAGCATCCCCAAGGAATTTAGCAGCAGTATCATATGATTTGGTATCAAGATCATATGTCATCAGTGTTCGGTGTGACACAATGTCATAAAACAGCAACTTTTTCTTCTTCTTTTTCTCCCCATCCAAAAGTGCCAGGGGCTGGACAGCGCATACTAGTGTTGGGATAGCAAACCGCAAAGAAACTGCATCAAGATCTATTGAACACAGTTGGTCCCATGTCTTGTTCCCTGAATTGAACGACCATATCACTTGGTTGGAGCACTTCTTCAAGGATACGCACAAGCGGTTGTGGAGGTTGCACATGGCCATCTCGTTAACCGGTGCATTGGCAAAGGGAGCCGAGACGGCTTGAAAAGCTTCCGTGTGAAGATCGAAAGATACAACTTTGGTTTCTTTGCATTCTGTGAACCAATGGACCGACCCATCGACGTACACGGGATGGTGGTAACCACTCAAAATTCGATAAGGAGAAGAGGGAGTGACATACCTCCAAGAGTTGGTGCTAAAGTCGAAAACTTCGCATGTGGTAGCGTTTTCTCGGCCTATTTCTGCAGAGTTGTAGAGCCAAACGGGCTTGTACGTGCCCGTGAATTTGTCTTTACCGAACCCAAGATTAGTGCATCCGTGTCTAAGCCTGTAGTAACCGTATCCTTTGTCGACAATGAGTCGCTGTAATTCACAGAGAGGAAGGACCCGATGCCATCTAGTGGTGGGATTGAACACAAAACCAGATCCGGATTTGATGTGCGCATTGTAGACACAAACGAGACCGTCACAACTACTCTGACAAACTAAGTATTGTTTCTTGTCCCAAGGAGTAGGGATTTCGACCAAAGATGATGAAACCAACGCAAGTGTTGCTAGAGATTCTACTTGGCCAGGATGGGATGAGGATGTCTGGGCACAATCAGTACATCTGGATCTCCTGATTGCTGACGATGCTTCAACTGTCTTCCTTGGAAGAACGGTGATTCGATCGTCGATCTCCATTGCTTCGATACAGCCTTGAACCTCATCAGAGGTTTCACCGGAAGTCTCTCAAGGATACGCTCTACGACATGGTGGGGCAGCGATTCCATACTAAATTTAAATTCCATCATCAAGCGACGTTTTTTCGACATCCTTGTTTTGTCTCGGTAACCATTGATGAGATGATGATACAGAAGCGTTGTTATATAAAAGTAATCTGACACACACAAAAAAAAGGAAAAAATCCTCAAAGCATAAGGAAACTCAAAAACCACGAGACATTTTTTTTCATAAATCTAAATTTTCAATAAGAATTTTCTAGGGGTTTCTTGATTTTCACCAGATCAAGGAAAAAAGGATTTTTTTTCTCTCTCTCTCTCCCTAAACACACAGATCTTCTCCTACCTAAACTCTGAAACCTCTTCGAACCCTATCTGTTCTTTTCTTTTTTCAACTAAATAATAGTAATATATAATCTCTCTTCTGCCGACAAAAAAAAAATAATAATAATCTCTCTTCTTGTTTTCCTTTGGTTTTCTTTACCCTGGCGCCTTTTGTTTACCCTTTTTCTTTGGGATCAGAACCCAGATATGATTTAAACCGACTGATGTTGTCTTCAGGATGAAATATTTCTTTAAATATTTTTACCTGATTTTTTCCCCTAGAAAATATTATTTGAATTTTTGGTGTAAAAAAATAATTATAAAAAATCTGATATTATTTGAATTTATTAACTCAGAGCCGACAACAAGAAAACAAAAAATGGTATCAGCCCCGAACACATCATATCTGACTTAGACAGATTGAAATCGTGTGGGACCCTACCAATCGACTAGATATGTATGTACTTTGAAGACGTTTAGGAGGTCTAAAAGCAGTTCCAATGCAAAGAGCCTTTTATGGGTTCTAAACATTATTTTAGTCATAAATTTTAATTTTTTTTAAATTAAAAACTTGTTTAAAAGTAATTAAAATTGTATAGTTCCAATGGTTAAACCTTTTTGAGATTCTAAAAAAATATATTATTTTGAAAATTAAAATATTTAAATAGAATTTATATTTTATAAAACTTAAATATTATTACATTTCATAAAATTTTAAACAAACATAACATAAAAGTATATTACAAATAGATATAGAAATCATAAACACAAATCATATTACAAATAAATATAGAAATTTTAATTATGTTTTAGATAGCAGAAGCTACTGTCAAGTGCGTACCTTGTTACCCATTACAAAATTTAAGGAATCAACACCACGCCTTGTATCTGCATCATCAAAGACATCATCGTGTAGAAGGCTTGCAACCTACAAATGACCAAAGCGTTACTGATTGAAATTAAAAAAGGATACTGGTCATATTGAATGTTATGATTAAACCTGTAGTTACTTACATGTATCATTTCGGTGATTTCAGCGATACCCCGTTGCCTTACGCGTAACTCTGATGGGACCATATCTGCTGATTCAGCAGCCAACGCTTCTGGTATGCGCACGTTGAGAGCTTTTGCCATCAACAGCAAAATCTATGATTGTGTCAGTTTGGTTAATGAAAAACAATGGCTTAAAGAACTTACATTAGCTGTGTTTTAGCCACCGATGTGAATCATTGGTCTATTAGCTGTCTTGGCGATGTCAAGCATTCCAACGTGTGCGGCTTTCTTCCTCTTCACCTGAAACCCCATTGTGAAATCTTATGTCTCAAAACACAAACCAGTCTTTGAAGAAAACAGATGAAAGATTTTGTGAAGATATGTTATAACCAGATGAAACAACTAAATATACATACAGCAGCGCCTATAATTTCCCTTAGCGCTTCGTCATCAGCACCAGAGCGGAGAGGATCTCTTAAAATAACCTGCTTACAAGAAAGTTACAGTGTCCTTAACGTTACTGAGAAGAAACCAAGTGAATGAGATGTTCTCAGCCATTTGAATCAACAAGAATTGGTTTTCAGTAACGAAGAAAAAGTTTGGAAATTTAGTTTTTACCTCTGAAGGGCCGAACAAGTACACTTTGAAGTTCCCATCTGCAAGTAATCTTAATCTATTGCAGCCAGAACAAAAGTGTTCCGTCATGGATGTGATGAAGATACAGAACCGCAATGCCCATCGATCGTAAAGTTCTTAGCTGTTTCAGTCCGGTGATCTTGCATACGTTTTATACTCGGAAAACGCTTTACCTGTTATAACACTATCTAGCATCAAACATCGTTCCACTACAATCAAATGGTGGAAGTGAAGGATTATTAATATGATACCGAGAGAGAAAATGATTTAGAACATGATGATAAGAAATGAAAAAATTAGAGAGATTATTATGGTCATTACAGTTGGACGATGGTGTTTTCCTTCCGCACCCTTTTTGAAGAAGTATTCAGCTGCAGAGGCAAGTTTCGGAACCTAAATAGCAGAATTCAGAAACAAATTTGCTTCTGCCATCAGAAAAGGAAGAGGAGAAATTTGTAACGTTTCAGCATTCAGCAATAACTTGAGATTTAAAAACACAGTGACCAATTTAATAAGATCAGTGACAAACAATGATAGACTCAATCAAGAAAATTAACAGTTGTTTTTTGACAGATTTTTCTTATACAAGTGAAGCAATGTCCAAAATTTAAAGTATACGTGAAAGTTTAACAATAGAGAATCATAGTTTAAGCTCATCGTGATGATTCAATAACAAAGCAAGGCAAAATAAAAACCAAATAATTTATTCAATAAACATCAGCTCCATGTTGATGATTAAACAGATCATAGTAAAAAAAAAAATACTACCCATGCAATCAAATTCTGCACAAAAGCTCAAAATCAGAAATCCCAAATCGAGCAATCGAACTGTTGAAATTACCTTGTGTGTAGAGTCAGAACAAGAGTGACTGTGATCGGGTGATTGGGGAGGATTGCGAGGCGATGAGAGGCGAGAGATTGAGAGCAGCCATAGAAGCTGCGGTTTCTCAAAAACTTGGAAGAAATCCGAGAATTACTCCTCGAGAATAACATGTTTTTTTTCTTTTCCTTTTTTCCTTATTTACGGATCCAAAAACAGAGGACGAGACTTGTTTGAATTGCAAATTTTGTGAATCTGAATAGAGAAAACCAAAAGTGAAGGAAAAGAAGAACGACGAAGACGGACCTGAATTTTTATTTTATTTTTTATTTAATTAAATTAACCAATGAGAACGAGGCTCCTACCAATCCTAAAACTTCCATATTCAGAATCGACTCTGATCAATTTAATTAGTTTTCATTTATTTTTTTGACTTTTTTGGTTAGAATTCTTGTTAAGAGGCTCGATTGGAGATGGTCTAAATTCTTTAGGATATTCTTGAAGGTTTTAGGAAAAGACTTCATCAAAAATTAGGAATTTTCTTCTAAATTTTTATTTTTTAGTAAACCTTCTAAAAACCATGGTCTAATATATAAGGATCGATTTCATAAATCGTGTGGGACTATTTATATAAAATATTTTAGTAAAGTAAGTTAAAGTTGTTAAACCCTGGTCTAATATATAAGGATCAATTTTATTGAAGATCATAATATCAAATCATATATATTTTGGGGTTGTGAATATTTTGGCTACAAACGTGATGACTTATGCATCTTTAGGCACTAGTACTATGTATTTTATTATAAAAAAAAAAAAAAAAAGAACCATCGTCTGTCTTGATTGTGGTTAATACTTCAGAGGTTTTTAGACTTTTTCGTAAGGGTAGTCACGAGAAGAAAGCTTTAGTCACATGAGCAAAACGTAAACTAATGTATTAAAGAAGCTCATATGTATTCTTTTCTTTTCTTTTTGTGGTCAAATACTCATATGTTAACTCGACCACCATTGAACTTTTACCCCTTTCGAATTTTAAAAGAGAATTTAAAAAAAAAAAACATGAAACAGCACTACAGTATATTAGTATCTTTGACCAATTACATAAACCAATTACAGGCTAACGAGCCAAGAAAACTTATTTCCATAACGGCTAGGCTACAACACAACCAAAAGACAAACCCCACATTCTCTTTCTTACAGAAAGTCAATTCAAGAGAAAATGGTAACTATTTAACGTGATGAAAGAAAAACAAGCAAGCAGGACCCTGGACCATATCTAGTAGAGTTGTAAACTTGGACAAGCAAACAGTTTGAAGAAAGATGGTAACAAAATCAAATATTACATTGTGCATTGACAATAATCAAATTTATAAAACGGAGAACAAACTCGGGAAATAACAAAGAGCATCCCCAAGGAATTTAGCAGCAGTATCATATGATTTGGTATCAAGATCATATGTCATCAGTGTTCGGTGTGACACAATGTCATAAAACAGCAACTTTTTCTTCTTCTTTTTCTCCCCATCCAAAAGTGCCAGGGGCTGGACAGCGCATACTAGTGTTGGGATAGCAAACCGCAAAGAAACTGCATCAAGATCTATTGAACACAGTTGGTCCCATGTCTTGTTCCCTGAATTGAACGACCATATCACTTGGTTGGAGCACTTCTTCAAGGATACGCACAAGCGGTTGTGGAGGTTGCACATGGCCATCTCGTTAACCGGTGCATTGGCAAAGGGAGCCGAGACGGCTTGAAAAGCTTCCGTGTGAAGATCGAAAGATACAACTTTGGTTTCTTTGCATTCTGTGAACCAATGGACCGACCCATCGACGTACACGGGATGGTGGTAACCACTCAAAATTCGATAAGGAGAAGAGGGAGTGACATACCTCCAAGAGTTGGTGCTAAAGTCGAAAACTTCGCATGTGGTAGCGTTTTCTCGGCCTATTTCTGCAGAGTTGTAGAGCCAAACGGGCTTGTACGTGCCCGTGAATTTGTCTTTACCGAACCCAAGATTAGTGCATCCGTGTCTAAGCCTGTAGTAACCGTATCCTTTGTCGACAATGAGTCGCTGTAATTCACAGAGAGGAAGGACCCGATGCCATCTAGTGGTGGGATTGAACACAAAACCAGATCCGGATTTGATGTGCGCATTGTAGACACAAACGAGACCGTCACAACTACTCTGACAAACTAAGTATTGTTTCTTGTCCCAAGGAGTAGGGATTTCGACCAAAGATGATGAAACCAACGCAAGTGTTGCTAGAGATTCTACTTGGCCAGGATGGGATGAGGATGTCTGGGCACAATCAGTACATCTGGATCTCCTGATTGCTGACGATGCTTCAACTGTCTTCCTTGGAAGAACGGTGATTCGATCGTCGATCTCCATTGCTTCGATACAGCCTTGAACCTCATCAGAGGTTTCACCGGAAGTCTCTCAAGGATACGCTCTACGACATGGTGGGGCAGCGATTCCATACTAAATTTAAATTCCATCATCAAGCGACGTTTTTTCGACATCCTGTCTCGGTAGCCATTGATGAGATACAGAGGGTTATTATATAAAAGTAATCGGACACACACACAAAAAGGAAAATCCTCAAAGGATAAGGAAATCTCAACAATTTCTTTCCGGATTGTTGACAAAAACAAAAATCAAGGAAAAGGATATTCTCTTTCTCCTAACTGAACTCACAAGCCACGAGATTTTAACAAATCTAATTTTTCAATAAGAATTTTCTAGGGATTTCAGATCAAGGAAAAGAGGGGTGGTTTTTTCTCTCTCTCAAACGACACAGATCCTATCTTAACTCGGGAACCTACGGCAACAAAAAAAAACCGTCTCTTTTATTCTCTTATACCCTTTTTCTTCTGGGCTTTTAAATTTCCGTGGGCTGAAGCCAAATATGATTTAAACCGACTGATCTTTGTCTTCGGATGAGATATTTCTTTATATATTTTTAACTTATTTTTTCCCAACATCCCCAAAACAAAAAATGGTGCCCAAATTATGGGCTCCGCTCTGTTCGAATTGCCGCGGAGTAGGTGCACTCGTGCGGGTCGGCCAAATTGAATATCAAATAAATAATGCAAACGCGTGGCGGATGCAGCTTAAAGGAGTATAGAGCATGTGCCTTACACTGATTTTTAAAATATTAATTTGTTTTAACCAATTATCAAAAAATATTGTGGTTCAAATAGTTAATTCTCTTATTTAATTAATTTGTACCACATAGAAAAATAGAGTGTAATTTAAAGAAGCGAGTTTGTGAGCGCCACACTGAGTCGTTTTTCAAAATTTGTTAGTATGTATGTGGGTCCACCACCTCTGTATGTGTTATAGAAAAAAAGTGTCGGTGGCATGATCAAAACCCTCCTTTTCCATCAATTTTCGAAGTAACAAACGGGAAAGCCAGCTTCTGTAAAACTGAACCATAAGATCTGGCTTGGGGATCATATATTAGTATATGCACCATACTGTCGATAACACTATAACTCGTTTTTTTCCAAACTTTTATCGAGTTATTTTGGTTACTGAGCTATAGGTGTTCTCCATGAACGGAATGGTGTGTAATTGTTCTTGAGGTTCAGAAACGTTCTCTTATATGATGCTCCATCATATTCTTCTGGAGAACCTTTTTTTGCAGCCAGGAGCCAAGAGATGCAAGTCATAAAACCACGAGGCGCATTCCCTTTCGCAGCCAGGAGCCTCTTGATTGCCTTTGTAAGAGTTCCATTCTTGTGGCTTAGAAACTAGAAGACACCGTCACTGACATACACAATCCATGGGTACTTATGATGGAACTCAAGTGCCCGGATATAAATTAGATGCCCAAGAAGAGTGAGGCACATGCATGTTTTGTAGTTCCAAACTTTTTAAAATCTTGTAATCATCCCATTAGGAAACTAGACGAGCACTAAGGTATTTGTAAGGAGGAAGAATGCAACCCATCTGCCTTTACAAATTACAATATATATATATGTATATATACACATATATATTATGAATTATATATGTATTGGCTATAAACGTGATGATAATTTAGGCATTGGTGTAATTAAAAAAAAAAAAAAATCATTGCATCTCTTGACTGTGGTTGAAACTTCAGTTCTTAACCTTTTTCGTAAGGGTAGTCACTAGAAGAAAGCTTAGTCACATGAGCAAAACGTAAACTAATGCATTACACAAACTCATATGATGTGTTCAAACCAAAAATGAAATTATATTTCCACAATATCTTTACAATAGAGAATTTAGCACCAATAATCAAAAACATTTTAATGATTAAATGTATAACTATAATAAAATGATATCTATTTATATTGTGTATACTTATATAAATATTACAATACTAACCCTCATTCAATAAACCACATATGTACATGTTTTTTACTATTTTATCATACCATACTTTTCTACTTATTATATAATGTATAGACAAATATTTTTATATTTTATACAGAATCTCTCTTGTTCCATCCCTCCTCCCATCCCATCCCCTCCTTATAGATTTAGGAAAGAGATTTAACTATTTAAGTAATTTTAAAAATATTATGTAGTTATTCTTTTCGACTTTCAAATCTATACTATATGCAAATCTATAATTAGAAAACAATATATTTCCATTTTTATTTTTGATATATTATACATATTTAATCAATTTTATTAATATATCAAACACTTATGTTTTACATGTACATATTTTATTATAATTATATAGGTTAGTACAGTTTATATTTATATGAATCAATCATTTCTGTAAATAGTATAGTATTAAATAATATAGTAGTATGTTGCTTTCTCTCACAATTTTAGTTTCAAGGGTGAAAAAGAAATTATATTATTTATTTACTGAAAAATATAATTATTCAATAAATTGACTATTTACAATATCCTACTTAGGAGAAATCAGTTATTAGTTAAGCCTAAAGAAGCGTTAAATTGATGAGAATCTTGATATTATACCTTAAATTGTTTGCTAGCGATCTAACCGACATATATAGTATTCAATTGATGAGACCAAACCTCAATCCTTTCTCTTTTGATTCTATCTATTAAATTTATCTTTCTCCAAATATAGCGTTTAGTGAAATTCATAATCTCTTTGAAAAAATGAAATAAATCTAATTCATGAGTCTTCTGCAAAAAATTATTCAAAGTCATAAGGAGACAGATAAAATAAATCAGTCTCAAACATATATGATTTCATTCGGTAGTCCATTATACTACTAATATCCATTTTTGAGATATTCAAAAATAATAATCACAATTTCAAGTATATATATATTACTTATACATATAAATGTATCGAAGTTGACGTAAAAAAATGTATCAAAATTATTTGAACAAATTTTGTACTGTTCAACATTTTCATTGTCCTCGTGAAAATATAGTAATTCAAAAAGAAAAAATTATACCAAATAAATATTAAAATTAAATGATAAAGAAGAGGAGGGCAAAGCCACCAACATAGGTACTACACCAGTGTATTTGGTTTGGAAGAAAAAGCAGTATCATATGATTTGGTTTCAATATCATATGTCATCAATGCTTGATGTGAGACACAAAGTCATGAAACATCAACTTCTTATTCCACATTTTATGCTTTGTCTTCAAGGCCATTGGTGAAGAGATATAGAGCTTAGACTAAATACAAATAGATACAACCTCTTTCCTCCTTAAAAAAAAATCATTGGACAAAGAAAAAGTATCTAATACTCTCTAACGACATATATTTTCTCTTAACTAAACTCAAAAATTTCATACTTATAAATTATATGCATATAATCTCATAAATTTTGGGAGTAATTAATTTTCTTATAAATATAATACTTTATTATTAATAAATCTCACATATTTACTTTAATCATTTAAAACACATAATAGAAATCTCATCTCTATTATTTTATAAATATCTCTACGATAATGAGTTTGTTTTATTGATATTTTTATTATTAGTTACAAACTTTTGTAAGTTATTAAAATTTTGTAGATTTCATTTAGTAACAATAAACATATAAAAAACTAAAACTTAATTTATTTATTATATTGTACCGTCTGTTTACTTTGTGTTTTAATGAGCATCTTATCTTTCACGAGAAAAGTTTTTTGATGTATTAATATGCTTTTTTATGTATTAATATGCCAAGTAAATAAAGCATATTCTCATTAGTAACCGAACGAAGAGTTGTTGTTTTTGTGTGTAGGTATGAACACTTTATCTTTAGTTACTTGAAAAGGCTATTGAGAAAATAATTTGGTACTTAAAAGAAAAGCTTATGGCCCTGGTGCTACTAAGACAAATGCTTACAGTTGTGATAATCAAGAATGGCTTCATATAGCGAAATTTGTAAAAAGAGCATCTTACAAATTTAAACGAGAATCAGAATTTGTGTCTATCATTGTTTAAGAGAAATTTTTTATTTAATAATGTCATAACTTTATGAAATAAACATATAAGTTTGTTTCTATTTTTTTTGGTAAAACATATAAGCTTTGTTATGTGTAACATTTTGTATTATCCATAAATATATGAGTTCTATTTCTTATAAAATACACTACTTTATATATTTTGAGTTTTTATTTATTATAAAACTATAATAGTTTTTGTATTAATTATAAATATTTTATAATTCAAGTTCTTTAATTAAAAATATACTGCTTAAAACCCAAGAAAACTAAAAGCCAGTTACAAATTCACCATTCAATTTTTTATTTTTAAACTATAAACACTACAAAAGTCTATTTTATAATTATGGGCTTTGAAGAAAGCCCATTAGTATTAAACCAACCTCCAAAACTTTTGTTGACCTTAGAAAATTTCGGATCTATAAATAATTAAGTCATTTCCTAGGGCATCTCCTTTTCGTTGAGCCGCCGCGCTTTTTGGCTGAGAAGGTGAAAGGAGAGACGCCATGGGAAGAAGTAAGTTTCTCGACCTCTCGTGTGTTTAGGGTTTCTGTGTTCATCGAATGTTAAATTGACTTAGGTTACACTTACTTGGATTTCATTAATCGCTCTTCTCCCACCAACTAGTTTTTACTCTGTTTTTTTTTTTGTTCATCCGTAAGCAAATGTCCCGTCGTTGCTTATTTATCGGAGTAGATTCATTGATTTAAGCTATGTTTTCCTTGATTTTGTGTTTGATAGACAATGTAGCTAAAAATGAATAAACTGAATCGTTTTGTAGGACCGGCTAGGTGTTACCGTCAGATCAAGGGGAAGCCATACCCGAAATCTCGGTACTGTCGCGGTGTGCCTGATCCCAAAATCAGGATCTACGATGTTGGTATGAAGAAGAAGGGTGTTGATGAGTTCCCTTTTTGTGTTCATTTGGTCTCATGGGAGAAGGAAAACGTCTCAAGCGAAGCCCTTGAAGCTGCCCGTATTGCTTGCAACAAGTATATGGTCAAATCCGCGGGAAAAGATGCTTTCCACCTGAGGATTAGGGTTCACCCTTTCCATGTTCTCCGGATCAACAAGATGCTCTCGTGTGCTGGAGCTGATAGGCTTCAGACCGGTATGAGAGGTGCTTTCGGGAAGGCTTTGGGTACTTGTGCTCGTGTCGCTATTGGACAGGTGCTTTTGTCTGTTCGCTGCAAGGACAACCATGGTCACCATGCTCAAGAGGCTCTCCGTCGTGCTAAGTTCAAGTTCCCAGGCCGTCAAAAGATTATTGTCAGCAGGAAATGGTACGTTTTCAAAGATTGATCCTTTTTCACTTCGAATCATTTTTGTTGTTTGGTTGTTAGCGAAATCGAAACTAACTCCATCAAGTTTGTGACTCTTTATATTCAGGGGATTCACGAAGTTTAACAGAGCAGACTTCACGAAGTTGAGGCAAGAGAAGCGTGTCGTTCCCGATGGTGTTAATGCTAAGGTAATCTCAATTATGCATCAAATGATCAGACTTTGATTCTTTGTGTTATTGTGACATTTCTGGTTATTGAATTTGACAATGTCTCTCTTCCTTTCGCAGTTCCTCTCATGTCATGGACCTCTGGCCAAACGTCAGCCGGGAAGTGCCTTTTTGCCAGCCACCTATTGAAGATTCAGAGCTGTAGTAGTCTCCTCTCTCCTGGTCGGTGAAGAATTATAATCACTCTGAAACTTTTTACTTGTCCTTGCAAGTATCGTTTAAGTTTTTAGTCGGACACATTCAGTATTCTGAATCTTTTGCGACTCTTTGTTTAATCTCTGAAATGATATTTGTTCTTTCGATGTTGGCTTCCTTCGCAAGTTTTTGTCGTCGGCCGTGAGATTCAATTGCCAAATCTTTCTGCAAAACTATATAAAATCAAAGTATTTGAAAAAACTAACATTGGTCAAATAATTTAGCATGCAGGTGTCGTAACAGTAACGTATGACTTGAAAGTTGTCAGTCTATTTGTTCGAATTTATTTCTTTCCAAATAATTGATTGGATCATTTATTCATTTTGATATCTCTTTATCTAGTATGTATGTGCTTGGATTTGAAGTTGGTAAAGCGTAGCTAGCTAATGTTAGATGGTTGTCCTTTTTATCATTTATGATCTAAGTATCTCATGAATTGTATTTAGTCCACGAGTGATCCGAAAGAAAATGACAGAAATCTACATGTCACAATCATATTCAAACTGCCATTTTCATTTGTAAATCCATCTTTGTTTTATAGTATTAAATTTTAAAGAATTTTATAGCCACGTTTTCTGAAGAAACAACTAAAAGGTCCAAAAAGATCAAGATAGCTTGCAACTTTCTCCATGAGATTAAAAAGCTTTTAATACTTCTTCTTTTTTCTGATTACTGAGAGGAGTACGAAACACAAAACACAGATAATACATTCTCTTCCGCGGAAAAAAATGAATGATTATACTGTAATTTATAAAATAAAATAAATTCAACAACTTTAACAGAACTGGAAATAATCTAGGACTTTCGAGCTTTCTCAACCAAAAACTTATTATAAAACCTGTTTCTGTCCTCTCCAAGAACATAACAATACCAGCAAGATGATCGTATAGAAATGAATCAAATTCTACAACCAAATAAATAAGAAAGAAAAAAAAAAGGCTGCAACTTTCGACTTCCCCAAGCAGCAAGAATCTTGATTCCAATTTGCAAAAAAAAATTATTGTTGAAACTTGAATCTGTATCAGCAACCCATGACGGCGCAATTGTAAACGAAATTCGAAGAGTGTTTCCTGTCGAGCAATGTCCATAGAGGCGGGCTTCGATCACTAGACGACGGTGTCCAAGAATTCAGCTCAATGAAACCTCCACCTGAGTTCTTAGGTCCGCCGATCACAATCAACCGCTCGCCGCAGGCTCTAAACGCCAGTCCCCAACCGTTAACCGAATCAGCTCTTTCCGGCAACCTCCCCAACGTAAACCACTTCTTACTCTCTTTATCATACTTCCTCACTTCCATATCAGCATGATCCGCCGCGTACAACTGGTTGTTCACAACCGCCACAAGCGGCGGCGCTTCCGCTGACGCCGGCATTTCCCGGCTCCTCGGAGGCGACATCTCCGGTACCTCTGTCCACTTCCTCGTCTCTAAATCGAACTCCTCGCCGCAGGTAAGCACCTTCGAGTCACTCCCGCCGATTCCTCCGATCACGTAGAACTTCCCGTCCATGAAAACACCAGAACACATCTTCCTCGGCTTGTTCATCTTCGGAAGCGTGGTCCAAGTCTGAAGCTCGGAGTTATACATCTCGGCGGAATCACTGGTTTTGCCGAGGTAGTCACAGCCGCCGGCGAAGATCGCAACCTCTCCTAGACTCGCCGAGCCGAACAAACACCTCGGAGAGTTCATCCTCACACCGGACGACCAAGAGTTGGTCAAAAGACTGTACCTGTATATAACATGCGAAGCATCGTCGTCTTTGCCCAGCACAAGCAAATCGGTGCCAACGGCGAGCGATTCTTTATCGGCGCACATGAACGTTACACCTGAAGGCATCGTTGGCAGATTCATCCACCGTCTCTCGACGGGATTGAAAGCAACCCATTCCAAGAGCTGGCAAGAGAAGTAAACCCAGTGTTCTACAATCCGGTTCTGTCTCCTGAGTCTGTAAATGTCCCCGGATTTAACCAGAGACCGGAAACTCCGGTTCACGGAAGCAATTGAACCGTAATCGGACCTCGAGCATCGGATCAAACAGCTTATCGAGTTGTCCCTGCCAATGTCGTTGATAAGTGGATCGTTGTCATAATCAGATTGTTCATTGGCGGCGTCGATCGAATCATTTCCGTGAATTGAAACCCCCATCAATTTGGGAGCTTTGCTTCGTCGGGGATCGTCTTTGAGCTCGACATCGTCCGATGCTCTTTTGCCGTTTCTGAGATTGGATTCAGAGGAATCTTCTCCTTCGGGGTACATGTACGGCCACTTGGTTTCGGACATACGAGAAGTTGAGAAAACCCTCGATAACAGATATGTCCGATCTTCCACCATGTTTTCTCGATTCTGATGTTTCAATCACAAACTTGTTTCAACACGAATGCAGAGAGAAACAGAGAGAGAGAGAGAGAGAGAGAATCTCCGATAAAAATCCGAGAAATCAGGAGAGACGGATTCAAGTGAAAGACGGATTCAGAGTATTCTCATTTTCGATAGATCATCCCCAAATCCCGAATTAGATGGATTCCGAATCAGCGATCCAACCACCAAATAACAAACACTCAGATCCCCCAGATTCCAATTTCGAAACCCAATTTAGGAAAACAACAAAAAAATGAACACCCAGGAGACTCAAACGATAGGAATCACTGATCCCGATCTGAACAACCAAGGAGAAGAGAAGAAGAAGAAGAAGAAGAAGAAGGAAAGAGGGAGAATCTTCCAAAAGAAGAACGAAGAGAAAGAGAAGAGATTATATAATAATTACAGGAAGTCAGGAAGGTACTTACGGATTGGATTAACGAAAGAAAAAAAATAAATTTAAACTTTTTCTGTTTTCGTTGCGGTTCTGTCGTCTCTTGCAAACTCTCTGCGCGAATCGGAGTGAAGCGTATGAGTCTCTCAGGGCTCAAAGTTAAAACCTTTGGAGGTCGAATTCAACTTTCCTCTCTCTCTCTCTCTCTCTTTCCTGATTAACGTTTCTCTCTCCTGTTTGTTCTCTGTTTAGTTTTTTTTTGGGTTAAAGAAGTGATGAGAATATGTACTGATAAATTGATTAGTTTAAACTACTGTTTAAAAAGCTTTTCTCTTTCCACATGACGTTGGAGTCCAAATATATATAGATAAGATTTTTTTTCTTTTTCAGACTGGTTAACGTATTAAAACCAAGAAATTCAAACTGTTTCTAATTTTGTTTTGTAGTGAGTGTAAATGTTCTAAAAGTTTCAGTACTTTTTACCTGTTATTTTTCCTCTGGTCAAAGGAAGTTAAATTGCTTTGTAATAAAACTTCATGTACGTCATAAAACCAAATATTTTGGTATGTTTTTCTTTTTTACCTGTCTCTCTCTTTTTCTAAACGTAACTGAGCATCAAAAATCTTTTGAAACAAATAGTTTTCGTTTTTAAACAGTTAAAATCTCTGTAGTCCTGATTAATTAGTGATTTTAAACCTGGAAGTATGAGATTTTAATTCTCAAAAAATATAATTTATGCAAATTAGTGAAAGCAAACTCATCCTAAATGATCTCCACAATGAAAATTGAACTATTCGTCCTAGATATGCAAATTTATCATGAATACTTGTAAACCAAATAAATTATGCGTTAAACATTATTTTAGTAATAAAAAAATCACAATTTATAAATAAATAATACTTTAAACATCCAATAAATAATAATAATTGAAATTTCCTCTAGTTAGTTCTTTCTCCCTTTAAATAAATTGAAATAAAACCAAATTTCTACTGAACCTACATTGTAGCAGAATCAGCCAAAAGTTATAGAAGGTGAGAAACAACAAAACAGAGAGCTATCTCAAATCTCTAGCTTCAAACATGTTATGTTAGTCATGGTAACTGTACCACTAGTCTAGAAGAATTTTTGCCTCTTGGTGTAATTAATTATCTGATCCTAAAACGGACTATAATTGTAGAGAAGCTTCTACATCAGCTAAACCCAACAAAATCTTAATTTTGTAACACCAAAACCGAATAAAGCTATTCATTTTTATTTATATTTGTTAAAGAAATAGGTGTTCATACCATCATATTAATTCACAATAAGGAAAGTCAGAGTAATATTAAATTACTAACGAACTACTATTATTTATTGGTTTCTGTAAAAGTAAAACAATTGAAAATAACAAAGATTTATTTGAATATTAAATACATTTTTAAATATGGATTTCAAAATTACTACAGTTTTTTTACTGCCGTCACTTGTGTAGGCTTTATATTTAAATCCACCGAAAATATTAATGGGTTTCCCGGCCAGATATATTAATTCACTGGAATATACAGTAGTGCATTTCCACAAAATATATAGGAATATAATGCTTCTTTTTCACCAAATATAGTATTCCTTTTTATGTTTTTCATATAAGTGTATAACTTCAACAAAACTGTACGGGAAAGAGCATGTATGTTATCAGCAGAGCTGAACAGAGATATAATTAAGGAATACGAGAAAGCTGTCGACAAAGTAAATCTAGGTTCACGAAGCACGTGTCGACGCACGTGGGATTATATTTTTGCGCATAAACCATGAAATTAGTGTCGTATATTTTAATACTATGGTTATTAGTTTATTATTACAAGGATTTTCGAGATTACTGCATTACTTAACTCGTGTGGTGGGCGTTGAGCCGTTGATCAAAAACTATAACCTATGTGGTGGGCTCTTTTATCTTCCACGAAATGTTATTCGTCCGTTTCCTTTGACATGTACGTGTTTTATCATATATTTTCAGCTACATATGTGTTTAATTTATCGTTAAACAAGGGATACTCCCAAAACATAGATAGACATAAATTAACTTCTATATATAGAAATGTTTTTTTAACTTTTAATATATATATAGAAATGTTTTTTAAGAACAATATATATATATATGTATAAATGTTATAGTAGTGTTATATGCAATTTTAAATTAATTACAATAGCAATAACGATAAATTCCCGGATTAACAGTGGACTTATTCTCTCTGATTTTAGTATTTTAAAAAAAAAAATTGGACCGAGAATCATCTATATAACTGGAGTTAGAAATTTAAAAATTGGTAATCAGTCATTTTAAGTTTTTAATTATCTTCGTCAAAATTTGTAAGGACAATTACTATCAAACGAAAAGCTATATTGAAATGTTAATAAGACATCAAAAATGTTATTATCTTGTCCATACATAACTTATTCTACCCACTGACTATAGTTTCTATAAATCGGAGTTTGAGTAGCGCCGAAAGATTATAGCGTGCAACTAAAGGATTATTATAATTTATTGCTAGTTGTGACCTTGTGAATCTTGCCAGCTTTAATCCACTCACTGACTGCCACGTGTAAGAGCCGTCTTAAACGTTATTTGGACGGTAGCAAAAGTGCGTTAACCGCTTTTTCTTTTAATTTTTTAATTATCTATGTGTAGTATTTTTGAAGCTTGTTTGTTTTTAATTCTCTTAAGGCCAAGGGTTTTTTTTAAATGTTTGATATTTGGGTAGCCAAATATGAAGAACATACATATGTAGTTGAGTGTGTCAATAAGGTATTTTCCAATTTCATGACACCTTTCTTTCGTATTGGCTGTAAAAACTGTAATGAAACATAAATTTGATAGATTCGATAAAGTCAAATTAGTAGCAATTTATAAATTCAAACAAAAAAACATTGGGGGCATTTTAGATGTTTTTAACAATCATCTGTGATAAGAAATTCCATAATTTTTGTGAACTTATTTTTCAACTGGAATTTCCAATTATTATCAAATACTGGTAGTCAACGGTCAATCACTATGAATTTTATATTTTCATTATCAACGATGTTTAGATCTTTATTCGCACTTTCGCAGAAATGCATTTAAGCTTCAAATGAATTTGTATGATATCGAATGAATTATATCTTCATATAAAGGTTTAGCTTTTCTGTTCTCTTTCCGTTTTTAATGAATATTGGTTGGCAAAAAGGTATTTTTTGCTTTTTAATTTTCTTGCAAAATGATCGAATATGTGACTGTATTTTTGGGTGTATCTTAGTGACTTGTGTCTGAAAGTGAAGCCCTAAGAGCTGTCCACGTGATCTGTTTGTTTTGTGTTCACATTCCTTTTCCTTCCACATTAATCTATCTTAGTTAAGAGTCTCAATCGTTGGAAAAATTAAGAGTCTTAATCAATAATTACATTCCTAATTTATACATGCGAAAGTGTTATTTAAAGCCTAAGTGTTATCATATATTAAGTATATTACATTACATTATCCCATTAGGGTCTACTATTGCTAAAGAAAAACCACAAACAATTTGAATAATTAATCTGATTTACTTTCTCATTTGACTTCATTACTTGATGAGCCATCATCCGACGCGTGACAGCCCACGCTACATCTGTAATCACTATCGAGGAAAAGGACAAATTTCCCAACAAAATATTAGGTTAACAAATTTATCATTACAAGCTTACAATTTATTCAAAAAAACTCTTCTCTTTATAAAAATATATTATAAGCGAGTTGTATTAGAATGATCCGTCTCTATTAGAGGACGTGGCGGCTCCTAATACCTTTACTTTATCCTCCTTCGCCAATGCCTTATCACCCAAGTCAACGTCGAAATCCAACACGTGCTGTGCGTAAAATCAAATTTTATGTAGGAACGAATGCTACTACATAATTTAATCTTCTTTTTCACATTTCCGTCATTTCCGTCTGTTTGGACAGTGTAAAATAAGAGTAAGTTTATACTATATAGTAAACGCATTTTGATCATTGTCTTTAACGTAGTATATCTTTTTGGATCGCCGTATTCAAATACATTTGTGTTTTGTTTTGGGCTAGTCCTAAATCTACGGCCATTAGGTTAAGACGTAAAATCGATACATGATTAGCAGTTAATTTAGCACCAAACCACCCCACGTCCCATCAATAAAAGGTTTGTTGTTATAATGAAATAATGGGGAATATTATCAACGACTAATCTCAAAAGAAATAAGAATCACATATGATGTAGCTTTCTAGATGACTAGATATATATGTATAATGACAATAGAAATAAATATTATTATTAGTCATTTTTGAGGAAAGAGGGGAGATATCAACTCGGAATGGGATTCTTTGAATCGACTAAATCGAGTCAACGAAAGACAAAAAAAAAATTATGATTTAAAAAATTTAGGTGAGATTGATAAAACACGTTGTAGATATATATCTCCAAATTGACGTGAACATATAACAAAATCTTTCTATGATCGTCATTCCTCACTATGAAAATTGAAATCCGAACCTAAAACTAAGCAAGAGAGACGTTTAGACTAGACCATATAGTCAAGTTTTTTATTTCATATTCTTGGCCATATACGGTAAAAGAGAATGGTTCTTGCCTTCTTGGACCATACTCAGTTTTTTTTTTTTTTTGGGTCAAACTTAGATGATACTCAACTATCTCTTGTAATCTATACTATTGAGTATTTATTTTTCTTTAAATACGATAACGGTTTTCTTCTCTTTCTTTTGTTTTATCAAAAATACTAGTGGTCGTCCAATTTATTTAGACACCAACAATATTTTAATTTGAAGACCTTTTAACATAAAAATAAAATAAAAAATACTAACGGTCTTATTTATTTCATTTAATATAATCGTAAGATTTGAAACCTTTATACTTGGAATTGTAAAACCATAATAGCACCTTGTTTTTGTTCAATAAGTAAAAAAAAAATGTAATTGTCTTATAACTTTGAGTTAATCGAGATTTATGTGCATGCATGGTACAAAGAGTTGTAATGAACTTTGGTTACCCAAAGTCCTCTTATTGTTGTTGGATAAGTGAACGTTAGAACCGTTAAAAATTCAGATGGATTTGTCCAATATTTTTATTTCAACTATGGCTTTGTTATAGAGAGATAATAGTTCTTCAACCATTTGTTATGATCAATCTTAAGTCGGATTGTTCAAATCAATTTCGGAACATAAATTCTTTTATTTTGTGTGTGGGCGAACACAATTCATACTCTAGGTATTACCATATACATATCAAAGTTTAAATATTTCTAACTAAAACTCAATTAATATTATATTGACTAATTTTCTGTTTAATTTTCGCATCACTTTAGTCACATCTTATATCATATATGTATTGATCTATTTATTTTATATGAACAACAATGAATTTTTGATTTCCATGAAGATACATTGCAGCAAGGTCAGATGATACAACCATGGTTCGGTCGTACGTAGATATTATTTGCATATATATAAATTAATATGAATTTTTCACTGCTTACGTTTGATACAGGTAGCGACAAAAATAGTTTGATATACAGATGGCCGTGGAGAAAAGTACCAATAGACAATGAGAGATAGAGAAAGAGAGACGTATGTATTGATTTTGCCACCAGCCGCTCATAATAAGTCATATGCAAGAAAGAATAATAATGTTCTTTGCGTTTTTTTTTTTCCAATACATCGAACATTTGTTAGGCGCACGTCTTTTTGTTACCTTTATTTTCTGTTGAATTTCTCGGATACTGTCATACATTAGTAATTTTATAATTATTTATGTGTTACACATGTCGATATATTTCTGTAAGAGACAAACGAATTATCACGGGAAAAGCCTTTACCTGTTTGGACGGTTGGACAGATAACATCCAAGTTTTATCCAACATGCAACATACATAATGTATATATGCATTGGTTAAAAAAAACATTTGATAGAATAAGTAACAGTGTTTTTTCTACTAAGAACCACTATCTACGATTCCACATAATCTTTTTAGTTAAAAAGTTGATTTTTAAATCCTATTTGTTCGGTACCTAAAAAAATATAAATAAATAAAAAGTATTCAGAGGTTTTATTTTATTTATGTGCTAGAGTAATATCACCAATAAAATAGAAATTTCAAATTGAAGATTTGCCGTTATAATAATTGTTTGGGCTGGACTGGAAAAATAATCTCAATCATATTGAGCCTTTCGTACAGATCTTTTGTTTATGAGCCCACTCAGAATATGAAAGCCCCATTAAGTTTGCTCGAGTGGATAACGACGCCGTTTTGACCTTTCAAATTGCGTTTGTTTCGTTCTCTAGAAAAAAGGTCGTCCCTCTCCCGTCATCAGCTACTTCATCACTATCGTCTCTCTTTCAAGCTTCTCCGTGTGTGTGTGTTGGTCAACAGCAGGTAAGTTCGATCCTTCGATTTATTTTGAAGTTCTTCTCTAGATCTGTACCAATACGTTGTGCGAATCAACGATTTGATGTTCTCGATGCCTTTTGCAATCCGTCCTTGGTTAGAGTTTCGCTTAAAATCGTGTCCCAGGATTGAATATTCAGTTCATGTAAAGCTAAATCGGTATGAGGTAGAAATCGAAAAGTTTTTATGTAGTATTTATGATTCTCGATTTCGTGCTAGTTCCCGAAGTTTGGATCACGAACTGGAGATGATCCATCTATCGAAGTCTTCCGTTATGCTGAAATTTTAGGTATTTTTATCTTCTGAGAGACGAAGTTGTTATGTTTTATAGGATACTGTAGAAGCTTATAGATTCGTTGGGTATCATAAGCTACTGAACAAGATGAATCATCAAAATGGATATGGTGTGGAAGTTACTGGGTTATCTCCAGCTGTTACTGAGAAAGATCTCATCGACTTCTTCTCCTTCTCTGGTGCGATCGAACATATTGATATTGTCAAGTGAGTCTTACTTCCACCAATTTTGATATTTCACAGTGCTTTTTCTGCATTTTCTGGATTCACAATCTGGTGTGTTGTTAACGAGATAAAGGTCGGGTGAGCAAGCGTGCACTGCTTATGTCATGTTCAAGGATTCCTATTCTCAGGAAACTGCTGTTTTACTCAGTGTATGCCTTTTCTGGATTTGATTCACTCTTTTCGTTTCCTTTTTGGGATTGTCGAATCACTCACTTCTTTGGAATTCTCGATTACTTTAGGGCGCAACGATATTGGAGCAGCGCGTTTGCATAACTCGTTGGGGACAGCATCACCAGGAGTTTGACTTCTGGAACGGGACTCCACGGGGTTTTGAAGATGAAACGTACTCACATGTACAATCACTGGACTGCAAATCAAATCATGTTCAGACTCAGTAGTCTTTATGTTGAAGTTTGATGCTTGTTCTCATTTCTAAGTTCTTTTGGCTCTTGAATCATGTAGACTCCTCCTCAACGAGGTGAGTTCAACGCTGGAGAAGCAGTGACGAAAGCCCAAGAAGTCGTGAAAACAATGCTAGCCACCGGGTTCGTGCTAGGGAAAGACGCTTTAACCAAGGCTAAAGGATTTGACGAATCCCACGGCGTATCAGCTGCTGCAGCTGCTAGAGTATCTCAACTTGACCAGAGGATCGGTCTCACTGACAAAATCTTCGCCGGAGTTGAAGCGGTCAGATTGACCGACCAAAAGTACCATGTTTCAGACAAAGCCAAATCAGCCGTCTCTGCCACAGGTAGAACCGCGGCGGCTGCTGCAACAAGTGTTGTCAATAGCAGTTACTTCTCCAGCGGAGCTCTTTGGCTGTCCGGTGCGTTAGAGCGGGCGTCTAAGGCTGCGTCTGATCTTGGTAGCCGCGGCTCAAGGCAGTGAATTGACTGACGAACCGATAAGAACCATAATCCTCTGCGATTGTTATTGGCCCAATACTATAAAAAAACGTTTTTGCAACTTAAATCACATGAAACCGTGTCTGAACTTAGTTACATTTCTTGAAGCTTAATTGTATACATTAATTAGCTTACTAGTAGCATAATCTATCGTCAAAATAACTTCAAATGTATTTTTCTCATTCTTTAAACTGAAGTCAAATTAAAATATGATGTATCTAGTCAAATGACATTAGACTAGTTCCATCAATTTAGTGTACTAATTGGACGTGACAAAGAAAGAAAGAAAAGTATTAATAGGGGAGAAAATGCGAATATCAAAACTGTTGGGATCTACATAATGTAAAATTGGTTTCTCATTTGCTTGCCGGCACATTTGTGGCTTTCTCTCTTCTATTAGCGACATTTCTCTTTTTTTTCTCCCTTACCTTGCGCTTTCTGTTTTCTATATTCTTCTTCTGCTGCTCACTAAGTTCACTTTGAGGGGTTTTGTCTTTCTTCTTCTTCTTCTTCTTGTGGGTATGTTCACTCGGAGCGTCAAAGCTTCTGTTTCTCTTCCTCTTCTTGTTCCGGTTGTGTTCACTCGGAGGAGCGTCTATCTTCACTACCGCATTCCCTCGGTATGATGGGACTTGCTTCGACACTTGTTCGTTCTGGAAAATAGTATTTGTACGCAACGCCGCTTCTGAGCTGATGTGCGCCTGCGAATTTATAGTTTGTAGCACAAGTCTGTGTGCTGCCTTCCCAAGCCTATCCCCAGAAATGGATCCTTGTGGGTTATACCTGCAACCACACATTATTAACCACAATCCGTAAACAAAAGGCCCTTCCAAAAACTTTGTCAATTGCAAGGATTTGTACTCTTCACCTCTTGACTTTTATTATCTTTGCAGGAGCTCGTCTTTTGTCACCATCTTCATGCCATAGATTAGCTCCAGCTTTCAAATCCACTAGCTGCACAGTCTGAGAAGACGATACATGAACAAAACTGTAATTACTAACCAGTACAAACAACTTATGTTTTTGGTTCTAGTAAAATCCAACAAAGCAAGCTTTCTTTATACTTCACCACAACTTCAAATCCAAAAATCGGAAGCCATCTAGAGCGAATAGTTATTATCTCAACTACCTTTTTAGGGAGCACCACTCCTGGAGGTAGGCGAGAAATCTCGCTGCCTCTAACATCATCTGGAAGTTTGTATATGGCACAACTGAAAAAATAATAATGCTATTAGATTGATAAAGCTCAAGGAGATTGCCAACAAAGAAAGTAAAAAAAGACCAAGTTGTTGATCAAGTGCTTACATGACTTGATTGGCTAAAACATCTTCCATGCCTTCGATTGGGGAAGGGAAGCACGGAGGCTGACTATCTCCACCACATGAAGCTAAGTAACCATTCATCCCTTCACTGCATTTATCAAGAATTTTCCAATAGTTATTTTACTTTTCCAACTTGCCTTCCTCACTAAATTATCCATTTTCTACTAAATCGACACTACTGAACTGACTATTCTCAAGATTCAAACACAAACCTTAGTACAGGGTCCACTGTTTCCGTAATTGTTCCTTGCTCTTCATTGCTCAATTTCATGGTACGGCTATTAAGAGAACGGATGAGCTCAGCAAGTGGATGAGATGCAACTACAAAGAGCATGTCACACAACACACTGTTTCTTCGAATTTCCTCCTCCTGCACAAGATAAATGAGAAGTAAAACAAAGTTACATGTGATTGTACAACTGTCGTATACAGAAAAACCACAATAGCGATTAATATCTAAAACCGGAGATAGGCATATAGGCTGTACCGTCAGTGAGTGCTCCACTCTTGCGGCTGCATCCAGAAGACGCCTTTCTTCAATAAAAGGCAGTTTTGCTATACCCTTTACAAGGAAAGATATAGAAAATATGAGACCGTAGAATTATTACATATAACCAAACCATCAATACTGCCATAATCAGAATGAAAAGACGATCAAACCTGCCAAGAATAGCGCTTTCCATTCATGTCAATCTCAAAATCTGCACACCACAAAAGGTAAATGAGAGACATGGATTGCACAATACCACAATAAAAGAGACCAAACTGCCAAAAAAAAACCTCATACCTGAAGGATAAAAATCAGCTATAGGTGAGTTTGGATCTGTCATCAATGTCCTAAAGCACTCTGGGAGAGCATGCGCACTGAGAACGGAATCCAGTTAGCAAATAAGTGAAGTGACAGGAATGCATACAGAGATGATGAAGACTCAGAGATACCGATAGAATACCTTGCAGATGGCAGAACTGCCAGAAGCTGATTAAATGGTTTAAAAGGGGAACCTACTTCGAACTTAATCTCTAGCTTATCAAGGAACTTGAGATCAGATGCGAAAGGTGCATAATGATATGGATAAAACCTGCAAACAAATGGTAGAAAAGAAGAGTGTGGATCAGTTCGCTCATATCTGCTAAGATTGCTATTGGGATAAAATAAAATAAAAACCACTTTCCGATCAGACATAAGCAAAAATTTGAAACATCTCAGCTGAATTTCTAGAGGATATATTATTTTAACCAGTCTACTAAAATGTGTAGCATGATGCGTAAATAAAAATGAGCATCACAATCCTAAACGACAATATCAAGCGTACTAATCATCATGCTTAAATATATTACACGAAAAGGACCACAAAGAAAATAATCAAATGTGAAAAGTATACTATATACGTAGGAGGGTGGCAAGAAACTGACCAATTCCAGGAACAAACACCATGATAATAATAATGCATTATCCAACAAAGGCCTTCTGTATACTTCAACACCTAGCCAATAATAACAAACCAGTAAATTGGTGCGTTCTGATTGACTTGAGCATAATTTATTTTCATCAAATTACACGCATGGGGAACTCACAACATCTCTGCGTATTTGTTCCATTTCCTCCACGGACTTAGCTGTGAATTTTTCCTCATAGTATCTTTCCCTCCATCCTTGTACATCTAGCCTAACCTGATCATACAGCAGCCATATAGAATTGTCAGCTTGATTAAATGATTGATTCGGCAGATATCAAAAACAAAATCATGAAAACTAAGCAATCATGGAATCATTGGTGGAAACACATATTTTGATTCCATGCTGATTATGGTAGCAAAAGTTGATAAAAATGACCTTATCTTGTTCGCCTTTCCCTGTGCTGAACCCATCCGATTTTTCCCGCAACAGTTTCTTAAGCTTAAACTTCAATTCTTCTTTGTTATCTAGTTCCTGAAAACCAATGTATATCAGTACATTTTAAACGAGAAAGCAAAGCACTGTCCCTAAACAACATCAAGCAGAAAAAACAGTAAAACTGAAAAGTTTTACTGAACGTGAAATGCAGAATAAGCAACAGTTTACAAGACGACTTACTTCTGCTTTGATGCTACATTCTGTTTCAACATTTACGTCATCAATGCTATCATCCAAAGACAGTCGCAAACACTTTGGTGGAGGTATGGCATGCGATGAAGTAGGCTCTTCAACTAGATTCTCTAGTTGCACAACCTGGCCATTATTAGATTTTCTGCTTGCTTGAGTTCTATCACGGCTAAACCTTTCCGATTGCCTCTGTAACAGATATCACAACAAATGCACCATTCAAAAACTAATTAGAAGTTTATCAGAAACTGTAGATTTATCATGTTTTTAAAGCTCTCGTTTTTTTCTTGTTACAAAGGGGTGTAAAGCAAAAAAATCGGTGAGGTAGCAGAAAGAGAGGCATATGCCCATCTTTCAGAAATCAAACAGATAAGTATCTCCACTGCGTTAGTTGGAGGGTAATGATATCTCTAATTGTGTAGCTTCCATCATAATACCTTAAAATGAAACGAAATGCAGAAAACTGAAGGGAACTAAATTATAAACGGACACTAACCTGATGAGTTTGTGCTCTCCTCTTAAATATATTATTTTCAAAGAGCCCAACGGCCTGGATAAAATGCTCCACATTTTTCAAGTTCAGCTGAAATTTAGCAGATAAACGTTAAAACCATAATCCAAAAGCCACGTCAAGTAAGATAAAGTATGTTAAATCAATGCACCTCGCTTCCATTGCTTAAGTAGCTTGCTATCGATCCAAATTCCTTCTTGTACACAGACATCAGTAATTCTATAGCACCCTACAATATAACAAAATGGTTAATCAGAAAACAATTTTTTGATTATTTTTTCAAATTTGCCAAGCTGTGCTAAGCAAGCTCATAGACTTTCATTGACACCAAGATGCGTCAATTTTATAGACAGAAAGAACACAGACTGAATCAATATGTACAAAGCTATCGAATACCAAAGCAGTATCAACTACACTATAGATCTCTACGAAGTGATCTCCGACATGGAAAAAACTGATACAGGAACAGGGAAAGCTCCTATATCTAAGATATACTATATTTTCAGCAGATATCAAAGAATTTAAGATAATAAAAATGTCAGGACACACTCTACCAGACGTTTTGGCAGCTAGAAGAAAGTTAAAGTACGATGGAACAAACCTCCCGTATTTCTAGCGTAGGCATATGCGGCAAGAAATCATTCCCAACAAAAAAACAGATGAAGATGAAGTCATCGATTATGCGGTCCAAACATTTTTGAAATTGTGAGTTAGGTATCTGCATGTCGTGCTCCAAATACTCTCGAAGCGTCCAGATATTGACGAGCTGCCAAAAGATAAGGGAGTTTAATGATTATGTTAAAAATATTAATGAGTCCTTCACATAACATGCATATTTTTGAAATATAGTAGTATTGACTCAGGTGCATAACCCTGATATATACCTGGTATGGCTTCTTCTTAGCTACGAGATCTGTCTCACTATTATCAAGCATATCTCCTGCCTTCCTCTTTACCTTGCCCTCACAATCTGCTGCTCGGTGCCCCATCTGGCCACACAAGAAGCATTTGTCTTGTTGTCCAGGAGTGAAAACAACCTAGGTGAAGTCACCACGGGGGAAAACACAGTTATATTGGCATTAAGAGAAGCATAAACAAAAATTCGACTAGTGAGTCTTGATTATGACTATTTGACATGTTATTCACATGTCAAAGCGTATAGGTTGAGATTATAAACGAGATAAGAGTGGTCACTGATTGGCTAGGAATAAAAACCCATAAGGAACACTGTTACAAACCTCACGAAGGATTGATATATGAACTTCGTGGGTAGCCAACGCTAGCATGATCAAATCTGCGTCCTGTTATTCATAAATAATGAGTAGAAAGGCCTTATTGACTAGCTCGATCAAGATCACAGAATCTTATTGCAAAGCTAAACATGTAGGTATGTGAGAAAATAAGAAATAGAGGGAGGTTACATACCAAACCATACAGACAATGACAAGTGTTTGCGTTGTAACCAGGATGATTCTTTTGAAGACGTATGTATGACATGATCTTGTGTTCCCCCTCACCAGGAACATTAGCATCCGAGAGGATAACCTTCAGAAAAAGAAAAATCATGAGCAAAACCTGAAGTACGCAGTAATCAACCATAAGACAAAATTTCAGAGACTGCAATTAGTACCTTAATCTTTTTCCACCCAGGATCAGAATTCAGTCTAACGTGGATGTAGTACTGCAACGCAATTGACAGAGTAGACATGAACTGTGTTCCAGGAGTTATGACATTAGAGTCAAAAACTTGAGAATCCAATTTAGGAGGCAGCCTCCTCCCTTCACTCGCAAACTCTTGCCGCAGCCGCTCTTCTTCAGCTGCCTAAAATAGCAGGAACTAGGTTAAAATTCTAAACATTTCTTCAACTGTAGCATGACCAGTAGCTAAGTATAACATGAAGGGGTTAAGTAATGGAATTGCAAGAGGAGATCAGTGGAGAAAAACGTGAACAACTGTTTTCAATGTAGTGACTGTTTCATCTATCCAAAAGTAGAATTGTATGATCATACAAGATTGAAATGTGGATCAATTGGTGCAACTAATTATTAAGTTTTAAATGATGAGTAAACAACTTAGAGCGAAATAAAAAGACAACTGATACAAAATTAAAAATAAAGCACAAAGTGTAATAGTGTAGAGATTGGTACATACTGCTTCTTCTGCATCCTTCGCAGCTCTAAACCGTCTGGATCTCTGTTGATTCATTTTCGCCCTTGGAGCAACACCGTCTATGAAAGTTGAATAAATCACAACACAGATATAAAACAAAAACCACTAAGAACGAACAATCAATGTAGTAGGTGCAAAGAAAGAACAATACACTCACCAATAGCCAAGTATAACAGCTTCCGGGGTCGAACCATCACGAAAAGTCTGTCTATGTAATCGAACATACATTGAAACACCTCGGAAAACGTTGTCGGAGAAGGCTGAGAGGAGAAGGTAATAATAAATCAAAAACACAGAACCGATGAATGAATCCGTATTTCGAGACAGAAGAGAAGCCCAGCGAGAGAAAAAAAACCGGACCTTGTCTTCGGGATGGAAGCATGGATGAATGATTCCGTTCATGTCGAGATACAAATTATCATACTCGAGGCCATTAGGATTAGGTTTGCTAGTGTCGACAGGGACCGTGGCGCCGCCGCCGATTTCGAGCGGTTCTTCTTCAATGACATCTTGCAAAATCAACGGATATCTCTCGATTAACCACCTGTAGAACGATGGTACTCCCATCGGAACCCTAAAACCCTAGCTACAGAGAGACTTGCGCTAGTGCTACGGCGGTAGTGAATGGCGACGGAATGGGGAATCAATGCAGAGGAGAGTGGACGAAACAACAAGCGTAGCAGTTTCTGAATTGGGCTTTTTAACAATTTGGCCCAATCCATTCCCGCCCGAACTGGCAGGGTTCTCTCAACTCGACACATCTGTTGTTTCCAAACCCAACCGAATAAATTAATTGTATCGTGGTTTAAATTGGTCCGACCAGGTTTCTTGAATTTTTATAATTCATTGGTTACACTTGGATTCATTCAATTTTAGTGGCCATGAAAATATGTGTACACTTGTATTTTTGGATAGATCTGCTTTCGATAGAGCTTAGGACACGTGGCCCAATGTAAGCCAAAAACCGAATCCAACAAAAACAAATCTCATCCTCTTTCGCCTCCAATCACTCTAGATCATATCTCATGGCTGCTTCTTCGATTCCGCCGTTAACCGCCGCAACCTACGGCGTTCGTAAATCGATCCTCCTCTCTACCACCTTCTCCTTCCCCGCTTCTTCATTGCCTCCCACTACCAAATCACAAAGACACATTCAGAGATTGCTCCAAGCTTCCTCCGCCGCCTCTGCCGTTCCTTCAGATTCTAAACCGGCGAAGAAAGAGACAGTCTATTTCGACGGCGGAGCTCATTACGGAGATCTATTGGCCAATCTCGTCTTAGGTCTAACCATCCTGTGGCTCCCACTAACCTTAGCCGCCGTGTCTCGAGCGTTTAACCTCCGTTACAGGTTCACCAACCTCCGCGTGACGGTGATATCGGGTCTCACCGGAGAAGATCGGAGCGATTTCTCGTACAAGGTGATTAAGGACGTGCAGGTTGTGCCGAGGTTCATCGGAGAATGGGGTGACATCATCATCACGTTGAAAGATGGAACGAAAGTTGATCTGAGAAGCGTTCCCAAGTTCAGAGAGATTGCTAAATACTGCCTATCGATGGCCGATCAACCTGCCGTCTTGAAAGAATCTGGTGCCAAAGGCTTTTGATATTTTCTCAATTCTGATCATATGTTTATCTCTTTGTGTTGTGTGAATTTTTCAAATAGAAATCGACTTATGTTCATCTCACTGCATCTTCTTGTATCTTACCGACGAGAGATACGTTAAAGACGATGGTGTTTACGCGCGCTTTTGGCTCTTCAAAGAGAAACAGCGTATGTTGGTTTACATTGGAAACGGCGAGTAGTTTCCTTTCCGATAGAAGAATGGACATTTTAAGATTCTGTTGGATAAACGGGCATGGTGGATATTATTAGTTTCAGTAGTTTACAAATAATGGCCCGTTATATATGTTTTTGGCATTTACTCATCGTAAGATAGTTTAGGTTCACTTGGTTTAACTAACATTTAGCAATCAATTTTAAACTTAGTTTTCCTCCAATGATCGTATAGCAAATTTAAACTTATACCATTATAGTTCTTGTGTAAAAGCCAATTTGATGATAAGAAGTAGAGAGGCTACAAAGCTTTTAACTTCACTTTGATTTCTGACACATTCTCATCAAATCTTAGGCAGTCTTCCACATTTCCCAATTTTGACCAAATCATTCTTTGTTTTATTCATTTTTTATCCGATAGGTTTATTATATACACATCCTTTCGGTAACTCCATTAAATAAGACATAATACATTTAGATATTTAATTATGCGAGAGTGTCATTACATACACCGTCGTTTGTTGACATTTGGGTTCTACAAAACTACGTGCCGTTTTCTTAGAAGAATGTGTCACGTAGTTCCAGTTTTCTTGGAATTTTGGAAACGAATCCACATCTGCTGGCCAATGAGAAACGCCATGTCATATCTCCTATCTAATGATACAGGTTCACTCATAGATTCTGTAATTTCCTAACTTCTAAATCATTTACAAGTTTGTATGTGATATAATCATATATATAATGATTGCGAGAGATTTCTAGCATGTTATAAATTTAAGTAGTTGACCAAATGAATATGAAAAATAAGGCATGGAGTATAAAATTCAACTTTTACATAATTAGCTTAAATTACACAGTTTTTTAATTTATACGTCGACATTTGTGCAAAAATCGCTAATTTTTATATTCTTTTAATTTTATGGAATGTTTGAATGTTTGAATGGAAGTTTTTGATAGAGATCTTACTTTTTTTTATCCACTCGACCTAACATTGGAGTCACACCGACCCTACCGTAGTTCTAGAGATCGAGACAGTTGCTGTACTTTGAAGTCCATAATTGAACATGGAAGTCTTTCTTCTCAGGAGAAGAGTGAGAAGGACTCAACAGCTAAACACAAGGTATGTTGAGAAAAAGAGTTTCATTATTTATCCTAGAATTTTTTTTTTATTTTCTTATATAGCTTGTATCCACTTGGCCTAACATGGAATCACTTGACCGTACTGTTAGTATTAAAATCATGGCTAATGGGTCTCACAAATGTTTGAACTTTTGTATCGGCGACTTTGATCTGAAGTGTCTAAAAGTGAAAGTTTAGATGGTGTCTTAGATGATTTCACTAAGTAGAATTTGATATGATTTCAGGAGGAGAAGGGTGAGAAGGAGAGTTCTTTTAAACGGCTTCCAAGTTGTTTTCAAGAGGATCCAGATGGTGAAGAGGAAGAGAAATCAGCTGAAACTCAGGTTCTTAAAGCCAGGGTGATAAGAAACTACATGTAAGCTTGCAAGTTTACAGTTGTATAAAAGAGATAAGTGAACATTTGATTCATCTATTTTTTACTGTTACAAAAATTCTCTTTTGTCCATGTTTTGAATATTACTTTAAACAAAGTTGATTCGGTATGTTATGAATAGAAAAACATTGATGGAGTGTTTAACTAAATTATGTCTACAAAAAGGAAAAACAAAAGGAAACGAATTCATGCCTAAGTAGCAAGTAGGTCACGATATCGGACAAACATAACGTGTTACATGTATTTTATTTTAATTTTATCTATGAAGTATCTTAAATCAGTCCAATAGTACAACTTGTGTTTATCATGCCAGCCACGAAAATGGTGCCATTTATAGTTGATTTAATGAGTAGGAGAAGACTAGAAGCAGACTTCATACTTCATAGTCCTTTTCTTATTTCTTTGTATACTGTAGTTCACCGTCTAGTAGCAAGGGTGTTTTCACTAAAACCTATTTATTTCAGCATCTATACGCGTGTTAATAGGTAACTAAATATAAGTATAAGAAAAATACATGTATGTGAGGTCTCAAAGCCGAAAAATTATAATTAATACTCTGGATAGCATGATCGTACGTGGTCCGATTGCGACGGCTTTTTTTCTTAATCTCATCAACTTGGGTTACTGTACTTCGAAGCCCATAACTACGTGACATATTATTCTAAGAAAACGGTCGTCTCCCTGTTGTTGTTGTTGTTGGTTTTGACGTGATGTTGATGCGTTTGATGCAACCAGTAGTCGTCTTCTAAATTAGAAAAACGTACGCGTACGGTTCAAAGATTTTCTCGTTCGTGTAGTCCAAAGTATCAAAAGGGCATAAACCACACTTTCTTTATTGATGTTTAAGTTGCTATCACAATCCGGTTTCATATTGTGCATATGCAAAATTGCAATATAGATAGTGAACAATGAATAAAAAATGTTTAGCGAAAATCATGACTTCTACCACAACTTTTTAAAAAATTCAAAATTTTCACAAATATGTATAGTTGATGAAGTTTTTAAAAATTTAAGAATCATTCTTAAATTACTCCTTCAGACCCACGAATTTGTGGTATTTGTGATTTTGGAAAAGGGAAGGAGTTATAGAGAACAAAACTAGCAACATTTTATTTTACATAATGTTATTGTATATACAGAAAATTATGATGAACTGTTAAACACATACTGTATCATATTTCGCATGCATCTATTCATACAATCATTATTCCAGATGCCGTATTGACCATGTTTTGATATGTATATCTCCATTGGATTCCAACTAATTTCGTTAGAAAAATATTAGTTGTACATTTTGAAGAAATAAATGGATTATAAAAGACAGTTTTGTAAGGGGGGTAGCTGGTTGATGTGATGATAAGAAGTAGAGAGGCTACAAAGCTTTTAACTTCGCTTTGATTTCTGACACATTCTCATCAGATCTTAGGTAGTCTTCCACATTTCCCAATTTTGACCATACCATTCTTTGTTATATTCATTTTTTATCCGATAGGTTTATTATATACACATTTTTCCAGTAACTCCATTAAATAAGACATACTACATTGAGATATTTAATTATGCGAGAGTGTCGTTACATACACCGGCGTTTGTTGACATTCACCGCTGGTTATGGTGACATTCAGTGATAAGTTACTTAATTAATTACTTCACGTAAATTCTATAGATATAGAGATTCTTTCTTTTTTGGTCAAAGATTTTATAGATATATAGAGATTCATAACGAAGAGACAACATTGAGTTATTCATGTCTAATCATGGGAATTTCAAACTTTCAAGTAACCCATACTGAAATAGAAGTTATATACTTTTCTTCAATATTGCTTCAGTGTTTGCTAATATCCTTAACTTGAAGAGATCTTTCCAATCACTCTCCATTCGAACAATGAGCAGATTCTATATCCAAATTCAAATGCGAGGCTAGAGAGAGCAATTAACAAGATTGTAAGAAGCTAGTTTGCAGTGTGAGTTTACAGAATATTGCATAAAGTATATTTGACTCCGTCTCAACTTCCAACTTTCAATAAAGACGAAGTTTGCAGAATTAATTTAGATTCCTCTCTTTATACCCAAGCTTTAAGTCACATTGTTTCACATGCATGATGCGTGAACAATGTCATTGTCATACATGTACGTGTGCATATCTGTATTTTTTCATTTCTACACGTGTGAAATATTATGCGTGTTACGTTGAATACACATACGTTTCTCTAAAATGAATGCCTATTCGCGAAAAAAAACCTCAAATAAAGTGGGAATATATATATCGATTGGTTTCTTACTTTCTTCGGATGTTAACTTATGGAGTAATTTATATTTTAAAAAAAAACAAAACACTATATAACTGGTTAAACTTTAGCCAAAAAAGGAAAGCTGTTGAATCTGAAGTGGTCAATCTTTTTTTTCTTTTCTTAAAGGAACAAAAAAAGTAAACAAAAATGGGCGGCGCATAGTAGAGTTTTGGTCAAATGTCAGGCTAACAAGCATCCTTAAAGTATGCAAGGATGTCTTGATTTTTCATTTTTTTTTTTTTAATTTTTCCGCATATCAAATAAAAACTGAAGCGGTTAATATAGATTTTCAACAATTTTCAGAAGGAGAGTCTATGTATATATGTAAACTTTTAGCAAAACAAGAAGAACAAAATTGGCCGTCAACAAAAAGAAAAGATATTAATAATTGAGGCAATGAAAAGAGTAAAATCCGAAATATAAGAAACCCAAAAATTAATTATAATTACGGGGGAATAATTAAGTAGAATTAAAATGAACATCGGATTCCTAGAAGCCTTTTCCTTGTAGCCTTGTAGGCACAAGAAGATATTTTAAAAGAAGTAGAAGTGGTTTTAGGGTTCTACAAAAGCTGGTTCAAATTTCTGTATTCAGGTCCCACGCGATTGTAGGAATCCCAAGCAATCTAACCTCTTCTAAACGTATATTTCAACTGTGGTTACAGTAATTCTCAATAAACCACACCCCCCACCCCAAAAAATAAAATTCTCAAACGCCTTTTATTTGCACACGTGTGGCAAATCTATATGTATATTTTCTTTATTATTATTGGGATAAATATTAATCCAAAGAGAAACGCAATAATACTTTTGAGTGTTTCCACCAAATAAATTAAATTTCATCGATTTAGTATACATTTATGATAATTATTTAGATCTTATAAGAGATGACTAGCTAGTTATAAAAAAACGTGCCCAACTTGTTATAAAGAGTAACAGTTTAGGGTTTTACCTTGTGAAAATTTGTTTTTAAGTAAAAGTTATAGGTTTTATTAAGGATGCTTCGTTTAAAAAACATATCATATTCTCTTTAATATCTTCAGTCTTCTTTCTTTTGTTAAATAACATGAGTTCCATACGATGTGGCGAATAAAAGATAAGAAAGGCAACCTAATGATGATGTATTGATGATAATGGAGCGGCATGATACCCAATAGCCAATACCACGAGCACGGCCTAATTGTAGCATATATAAGTGTATACACTGTTGGATTAGGAATCGGTCAAAAGTTATATATATCAACGGCAATAAGGAAATGTCGAATACTTTTCTGCAATACCAAAACGAACGAAAAGAATCTTTGGGCCAAGACGTGCAGAAGCCCAAATTCAATATGACCAAGCCCAGTCAACAACCTGCAACGGTTATCTCACTTCACGACAACATAAGTAAATACAGAGATGGAGAAGCTCGTACGAAAGAGACGTTGCAGTTGCAGACTAGTATGGTAAAACCACTAAAGCTGGCAAATCGCTTCTCAACCCTTGATGAGCTTACTACCTCCTGATGTTGACATCTGTCAATTACTATTAGGGTTTTACATCAATTATATAAATAAGTCTTCTTTGTATTGAGAAACTTAAGATAAGAAAAGCAATAAACAGAACAAATGTTTATCACTCTCGGATCATTTTTCTGAGTCTTATTTTCACTTTTAATATATTGTTATTAGAAAATACGATCTACTTTTGTGAACAAATCTATTTAGAGTAATAGATAAGATTTTTGCATGACAACAACTAGTATCGATTTAATGGTTTAATCCTCTAAAGTTACCATTCACATGATGGAAGTTCAAATTCGTTTAAGTAGAGTTAAATGGTATATGAACATTAACTATCTCCTGAGTAGCTTTGAATTTAGGGATTGGACCCAAACTTTTCACTCCTTTTACCTCTATTCAAATATACAGTATCTGATCTATTCATGAATTGTTATATCTCGTTTAAATTTTTTACTTTTTTATACCACGATGTTTAATTAAAGTAACAACAAGGGTTGGATATTCTCCTTTAATAGTTCTACCTCAAATTTCACACACTTTTTATCTACTACAATTACATACGACACAATTTTATATTGATATGTCAACTTGAGATTAAAAAAAACCAATCGAACCACCATCATGCTAGCTAGAGTATGAATTATTATTTTAGAACTTTGAAACCTCACATGTATTTATCTTATACTATATATATTATTTTTAGTTATCAATTAACACGCTTATAAATGCTGAAATAAGTTTTATATACTTAAAGCAAATCCTTAATTCTTAACAAATGAACTAACATTTATAAGTTGAAGGCATAGTGCATTGAGGGCGTCCACATAGAATTAAAAAATTCGATCTGATTGGTCCACATCAGCATATTCATTAAATAAAAAATGTTAAGTATGATTAGGACGGAAAACTTGATATAATTGGTCCACATCAGCTTTTAAATCAAACCAAAAATTATTAAGTATAATTAAAACATTAAAAGTTAATTTAACAAATTATGTCCAACAAAAAAGTAAATTCAATCTGATTGATTCAAATCAACATATTTATTAAATCAGAAAATGTTAATATGGTTTAAAATTTTAAAAGTTAAATAAAAAATTTAACAATTAACAATACATGTATAAAAAAGTAACCATTATCAATTATCAATTTAAAAAAATTTACAACAACTCGATTCAACAATTAAAACAATAAAAAACTGAATAAAAATATAACATAAAACTCTTAGAAGACATGATAGAGAAGGAAAAATGGTTTTGCATGATCATTACATCTTTCTAACAAAATTAAATGCTAATCAACATGAATCATGGATTATATATACAGTGGTAC